TTTTGTTACGTTCGATTTAGGGAACGACATAAAGGGAGGGGATAAAGTTGGGGAATAAGGAGTTGGAGGAAGGGTAGGTTTGTGTTGTGATTTTTATTGTTTATATCTGGGTAAATTCATAAAGCTTTCTTGACGCCAGCACAGTCCTAAGAATTGTGTTTGAATTTTGGAACCTCTATGCCATTCACTACCAGAAGTGTCGTGCTATATATATACCTAGTCACCCTTCGAAGCTAATCCCTATGCGGCTTTCTTCGCTATAAATTCATAGAACTATCGAGTAATGCGAAGATAAATAAATCATCAAGCTCGACTCTATGAGATATTTCTGTATGGTGTTTTCCTATGATCTGGTTTAATGAAAAGAAGGCGGCGGATTAATGGAGTACCATTGAAGTAGTAGGGAATAAGTATGTCCTAAACAGCTACAGGATGAGATTAGTTAGATGAATTTACAAACCGGAAAATAAGGTACCCCCAAACATCATCTCCCTCGCGTTTACCACATTATACAGTTTTGGAGATCCACATGGCCTTGTATCTATAGCATGTCGCGTATCCCCGTCGAGAAAACCATATCAACCGTACCACTACCCCGCCCATCCTCACCACATCCACGATCTCCCTTCTCCTCACCAAGAGGTTCATCGAATTCCTACCACACCCCCAAAAAAGCCATCTCACCACCGTAACACAATCCACCCGATTCCAATCCGTTCACACTAAAAAGTCTTCCTGAACGGTCCACTCACCCACCAAAACGGTATCTGTTCATCATCGTTCTTGACTCTCTTCTTACGTGTACTACTGCTATTCTATTTCGGCCCCTTCCCACCATTCGTCAATGGAATACTTGTGATTTTTGTATTTTCGTGTGTTATTGTAATTTGGGAGATTGGTTTTGTTATTTTGTTAAGGGGGTTTCTTGCTTTACGTGGGATGGGGAGGATGAGGGTTGGTAGATACTGGGATGGGGATGGGGATTGATGGGGATGAGAGGAGGGGGTAGGGTGTATGGGGTGTTGGGGGTGTTTTGTGGGTAGTGTGTGTGATTTGTAGAATAGCGGAAGGCTTTCGTGTGTGTTTTGATCTCATTAGTGTCACTTGCCTGCTAGGCTCTTCTAACAGGCATGAGAAGCAGGCTGTTAGTTGAATTCGGAGGAGGATTTTGGTCTAGAAAAGTGTATTTTAAGGGCGGGGAGAGTGATGTTAGATGAGGTTATGTTGATTGAACGGAGTCTTTTTTGGTATGTATATTCCTTGGGGCTTAGGGTTTGTTTTGGCGGTGGAAAAGCTGATTTTAGAGGTTTGTAATACGAGAGAGACGAGTTAAAAAGATTATGTTACGGGTTTTATATGTGTTTAACTCTAGAAATCCATACCATATAACCATTGCCTAAACACATCAAATTCCACAAACAAAATCCCTCATCTGAAAACTCTCGTGTCAATAGAGTATAAAACAGGAGTTGGGAATCTAGGGAAGACTTTTTCCTACAGAGTATCCTGGAACAGCCAAAGTCAAACACTTCAGGAGGGATTCGTCAGAGTAAAAGCAAGCGAGATAAGAAATGGAAGGGACTAGACATCCCGAGTCAAGAAGAGACAGTAATACCTTGAACAATCCTACACTGGCTTCCTAGCGAATCCCTGATGTTCGAGATGGAAAGATGTCTGTCTTTTGCTGTCGAAAATACTGGTACTGTCGATTTGCTTCCTTCCTTCAGTACTTCTGGTCTACAAAGAGATGGAATGGTTTGAGGGAGTCGAAAAAGTTGGAAGGTTTTAAGCGGGGATGTTGTGGTTGGAGAAACGGGGGTTAGGAGTAGAGTTGTGGTGGAGGCATTCTTGGCCTTCAGATTTGCTTCCAGGGATACTGGGAATGAATAGAGTATGAGACTAGATGTTTTTTATACACGGAACCTTTGACTACGTGGTCATAAATCATGGTGCGATCCCTCGGAATTTGTATCATGTTTCCTGAGGGCCATGTTTAAATCTCGCTACAGTATCTTTGGTGAAATGATCTGATAATACATGATTTTATTTCAACTTCTCGTTGGCAGTATCATGCTCTGCCAATTTCGCTATATGATAATTTGAAAAGAGTATAGCGGTTCTGCTGTTGAGAGAGGAAGTCTTATTTCCGGTAAAGTGAACAGCCCTGTGACTACTTCAACTTATCAAATGCTAATACGCAACAAGCAAGCTGAGCCAATATAGATGGGATCCTTGAAAGAGTTGAATTAGAACCGTAGATTGACCAGTGAAGCTGTGGCACAAGATTCTTTCTCCACAAATCCTCAGATCTAGGCGAGGAGAAGTAGGGGAATGAAACTGAACAGAGTGCTAGCAGTGTTATATTTAAAATCTTATGTTTTGGGTAGGAAGATCCTTCTAGTTGTTGGAATCTGCAAGTCTAACTATTCGAGCATCAAAGAATGCTAGATACCGTCTAGAATATCAAATCATCAAAGGCCTTGAAGTGAAGCGTATGAATTGAGTAAGGCAACGATGGAAGAATAATTGTCATAACCTCAACCGTTGTGAACTTGTGACATACTAATGTAACAGCTTATAGCCACATAGGTTCGCAGCAAGTTGCAAACCTTTTGTGATACGAGAAGAGACGATGCCAAATCACTTTATAAGGTTAACATCGTTGAAACATGAACTACCATGCTCAATGTTTCGTAGCAATCGCCGCCCCAAATGCGGTCCATAGAAATTCAAAAGTCTAGGTGAGGGAGAAGTACGGTCCTGACCTAGACATAGAGCAGCAGCAAATTTGACATCTCATATCATAGGCAGCCTAACCTATTTAGTTCTTCTTGATATTTTCAACTCTGGCTTGTGCTGTCGAAAGTTAAGCTACTGTCAATTCAAGAAAATTTGTTGTAGACCAATGTAGCTGTAGAGTTTCACAGGTTATGACGTTTAGAGGAAGTATTTTAAAGACATCTCTTGGTGTAACACTTCCTTCTACGGAAATTAGGGCATGATTTATGTCTGGAGGTCAAGTCGTCAATCAGTACAGTAACGTCTTTAGATCCACGAAGTTTGGCTTGTAAGTTAGTTTATAAGCACAGAGGAAGCTTTTATACGAATACGTCTTCTTTGATACTATCAAGTCTGTACGAGAATGTGCTTTTCTCTCTTTCAGGGATTTTGGGATAACCTTTTATGACAATGTTTATTTAATGAGGAGGTTGTGTTTGGTCACAAGAACGTCTCAATCACAACACAGTGTTATCCTCTAGTGTCCTAATTACAGTTATACGAAGCATAAGTAGACCACAAACAAAGAATTCTGAGGCATTGGGACAAGTTAAAAGAACGGGGTCTCAAGAAAGTCGATGATCTCAACCTTAAAATCTTCATAGAGGCAAGCAAAGCTGGGAAACCTTTCTGAAGAGTTCAAATTCTTCAATCCGGTGACATCTTACATTTGTCTTGGCATAGTAAATTCTGGGTATACATGGAAGAGGTTTATATATGAATTGTTTTCCAGTGCTTTTTTATACCTTGTAGTAAGCCAGGGGAGAAAATCTGGTGGAAGGGGGACCATAAACACTATGGAAGCTTATGGATGTAGCCACAAAGGGGTTGTGCGACTACTCAGAGTGAACTCAGTACTACCACTGAGGGGAAACATATCAATGTTTTCTCCACGTCAGATAGCCAAAGAGGATCTCTGTATCTCACATTGGACTAATAGGACAAAGACCCTGAATGTTTCACAAATTCTGCTATTGGAGACAACAAGGAGACTGCAGAACTTTCACACTGATTCTTACTCCAAATTTGCACTAAAATGGCGGCTTTCGATAGACGCTTGTGCTAAAGAGAAAACAATCGCCAGAATAGATTCTATCTGCTGATGCTTATGTTTATTGATAAGGTCTAAAGTGAGTCAACATAGAAAAGACCTTGCAAATGGGCCCCCAGAAGCTCTTTAGAAGCTTTTGTACAGAAAACGCAAGGTGGATCTCAGGCATCCTGTGGTTTCCAGAAGGAGAATTGCAGCCAAACAATTCATGAGAAGCTTAATTGTATCACTTACGCAAGTCACGTGAAATTTAGTCGACCTCTTCCTCGTCCTCTTCATCATTAACGGCGATGGTTTTCTTGTTATTTGAGAGGAAATATTGTTTCACTTTCTGAAGAAGTGAGGCTGTGTGCTACCGCCAGCAACAGTGTTGTTGAGGAAGGAGCGACATGCACTGATGTCACCATAACAGGACCTCACTGTCTTACAGTAGCTCTCTCTCCCTTTCCAATTCAACATCATAAGCCCAAACCAACACCTAAAGCTTTCACACTTCAATTGCCAGGAATTCAATACAACAATCCGGAGGACTGGTGCCCACGACTCCTGGCGTTTGATCTCACATAAATCGACAGCACTGAACGTTGAGATTGAATCCTGCAAAAGGCATCAAATCAACAAGTCTTCTTAAGCTGGGTTATGCAGGAGCGAATCTGCATGTCCACTTCAGCTTTACTGTCCTAGCTTCTGGTTCTCTACATAACCGCTTTAACCTTTTCATCTCACTCTATTTGATCTCAACCACAACTTTTATTCAACAACCTTTCTTTCGTAGATTGAGAACTTCATCTTTAAACCAGCACATCGATCAATTCTCGCGATCACTTCTACTGTTCATCAGCTTTCAAAAACGAGTTATTGCTATCTGCCTGCCGCATCTCCCCCCACACAACAAGGTTGTTTCGCCTTCAAACCAGCACAGGAGGTTTTCACTTCCAATTTCCTACCATCTCTTCTTCACTTATCTTATCCAAATTCACAACAACTTTAAAAACACACTCTCCAGCTATCTTCCTTTTTATCGCCATATTCCAACAACCTTACTGTCCCGGAAGGTATCTCAACCATCATCACCACACTCCTGCAGATAGCGCCTCTCAGCAGATGCTTTCTTATTTTCCCCTGAACGAACTTCTATTCTGCTGTTTCTGAAACACGACATTCGCCCATCATGAGGTCCCCATGCTGCGAGTTTCTCATTTCTGGTGATCCCAGCCCTTGCTTTATCACTCAAAAGAAATCTGAGGCTTCATATTCAGGTATGTGAATTATTATTGCAACCCCAACTTCTCAATTACCCTCAAGAGCTAGAGCAGCACCATGGATGTGGTTCTTCTCACACCTGTTGCCAAAGATTCCCCGCAGTGAAATCTTTGTTTTTTCTTTGTCTTTACTTCTACCAAAAGTTATCAAGCTTGCGGGTTCAGGAAGCGCACAATCTCCAAAGACTTTCATTGCCCCTCAGCTTTATCCTACATTTCTATACTGCCAATATTTAGGATCGATCTACGAGTTTGTGGTTGCCAATCTCGCTAACAGCCAACACAGGAAGCACAATTACGCCACCTAAGATGAACAACAATTCTCTAGCGATTGAAATCTCCGATGACGAGATGGATACGTACCCAATTGAAATCTCCGAAAATAAACCAGTGATCGATCTGACCAACGAAATATCTCCTTTCGCGTCTAATATCAAGACAATGATGTCAGAAACCGTAATTGATTTTACGCATGAGATATCCACTCCAAGTCTGAACGTCACGGAGGTCAAATCAGAGAATATCAAATTGGAGAATGTCAAATCCGAGATGGACACTGACCAGATTATCGAGATACCCTCTTCTCCAACTCAAAACACCACAGAAATCCAACGGGAGCTGGAGGATGAAGAACCTTTACCCCCTCTGACCACAGATGATTACTCCAACGAGCCAAATAATGCTGCTATAATTGACCGTTGTAGGGCGGACCTGTTTGTCAGTGATAATGAGATGGATTTAGACTCATCGGAAATCCAAGGAGAGCATTTCAAAAAGGAGAGATCAACAAAAAAACGCAACACAAGCAAAGGCGAGAAGGTTTCCCAAAAGCGCAAACGGCATGAAAAGTCGGCGCGAACCAATTCATCGAAGAAACGTAAGACGTCAAAAATGGGGCGCAATGGCACTGGCATTTTCCGCGACGCGACCTCGTTTACCAGAATGTCTTTTCTCTTTTCTACATCACGTCCTGCAATCGAGCCTGAACAAGCAGCGGAGTTCTCTGCATCAACGAGGAAAAAGCAATTTGAGAATCTTCTGAAAACCCTTCTGTTGGTACGACCTGGTAGTCGTAAAAGGGTGATAAACAAATGTAATCTCTGTTTGTATTCATTCGTGTATGAAGAGTGAAGGTAAAGAGAGGTGGTACCCTACAAGCTTAAGTATATGAGTGGCAAGCCACTCACATGACCTAAAGCATATAGATCCACCAGGCTCTCGTACAAGGTGCTATTCACCAGAATTATATACCGACACCTTCCAAAAACCGCGAATAGTAGAAGTGCTAGAATGGATATCGCGGCTATCAACAAAGCAGCAGCAACATTTGGGCAGCACGTCGTGAAAGTTGATGGCGACAAGTACATCATGAAAGAAATGAACACACGTAAGCTGTTCCAACCAGTTCTCAAATCTTTTCGCTGACCGATGTCATTCACAGCTCTTTATCTCCACCAGCTCATGGGTGTATCCTGGATGTACAAGCGAGAGAAATGCACTGATAGAAGCTTACCGAGAGGTGGTATTTGCGCCGACGCAATGGTGAGCATGCACAATTTGCTAAATCTATGGAAAACAACTTACATGGAGGTCTAGGGGCTGGGGAAGACAATCGAAGCAATTGCAACAATCCAGGCAAATACTGCGAAGAGTCGCTCGTCGAACGCTCCTAAAACGACGTTGATTATAGTACCGGCCTCTGTCAAAGAGCAATGGTTTTCAGAAATTGAACGACACGGCAATTTTCCCCGGGTTTTGACATACAAATCAACCGACAAATGCAAAGCTATTCATTACACCGACCAAGATATCTTGCTTACCACTTGGTGGGAGCTCTCAAGAAGTTGCCCCTTCCCTTCAAAAGAACGAAAGAACTTAATCATGGGTAGACGTGCAGATAGTAACGCAGTTGATTCCGCTGAGACTGGGTCTTCGCCGATACTTCAATGGATTGAAGACAATCGCGAACAAGGAGGTCCTTTGCACAAAATTGAGTGGTATAGAGTATGTTTCATCATCTTATATTCTATCGTGTATTGCTTACCTATGCTTGGATCATACTTGATGAGTCCGTAAGTGACAGAGTCTTGACACGCTTTAATTCCTGCGTTTAATTCAAGATAGCATGGAATAAAGAATCATTGGAGTCGACAAAGTCTAGCTGCTTCAGCTCTGAAGGGGAAATATCGCTGGGCCCTGAGCGGAGTAAGTTTTGGAAATCCCGTTGTTTTCATACTGTCTATTAATACCCGTTACAGACGCCGATAATGAACTGTCTCGAAGGTACTATGGCGCGATCACTATGGTGTATAAAGCATTAACGAAATCAGAAATCTATCCATATATGCGGTTTCTAAAGCATTCAGCTGGTGCTCTGAGTCGTCAAAAGTAATAGAGAGTACGCATTTTGTTTTGGCAAACGGGCTAATTGCTTGTTTCTAGGTTTGTGGCTGATTACTGTGATTGGGCAAATGTTTTTCACTCTTTTCCAAGATTAGTCAAATTTCAGCTAATAAGACCACAGAAAGAGTCTATGGGACGTCTAGACGACTTGCTTTCAGAGTTGATGCTTCGGTAAGTTCAAAATTTTGTGAGAGCCTAACTAGAATTTCAAACGACACGCCTCTCTGTGAAGTCGCTAGGGGGTTTGCCATAATTTTTGAGATTCCAAAGCTGACAAAACGTCATGAAGACGTACAATGAGCGATCAGCTGCTCGGCCGGCCTTTGGCCAGCCTGCCTAAACCCGCAGAGCACGTTCTGAAGATCAGATTTGCTCCAGCAGAAAAGATTCTTTACCGTGCTTTTTGAAGCTCGTTTAATTGAGCTTATGATGGCGGAGTCTGATACGAAGAGTGAACGAGATAAGTTGAGATATGCCATTGTTCAGCTTACTAGATTACGCCAGTTTACTGCTTCTTGAATTGTGGTCGGAAGACAACTAAAGGTGAACTGCGGCCGTCCACACTATGATTGATTATGCTCACACTTTATAGCTTGTTCTCCAAATTAAAGATCTCAAAATAGTTAAGAAGAAGATGCTTGAACTGGGCCAGTCCGCAGATAAGGATCTTTGTGCAAGTAAGTCATATGGATTGAAGAACTGGCCACTAGCTGAATGAGTCACGTTTAGCAATCGACGAATGGATCACCGAAAAGGCTGCAGTAATTGAAAGAGCCAAAAAAATGGCAAGAAGGCCCCGTCTGAAGATCCCGAGGATGAACATATCTGTGGTATCTGCAATGATCTAGCAGAAGACCCACATTTCATTAACGTGAGAGGTTGCAAGCACAAATTCTGCCAGACGTGCATTTCAGACGATGCTGCTCGTAGACTTGAAATGGCAGACGATGTTGGCGACAACGATGATGTAAGTGAACTTCTCATTCAGACAGGATTTCGTTGAGAAGCAATAGGTTGTTTGTCCCGAATGCAAAACACCATATACCTTCCACAAGAATCTGAAACGCTGGTCATCGGCCTTTTCCATTGAGCCGTTTACGCCTCGGAAGGGCAAAGATGCATTGAAATTCCACCCGAACATGGAGACTTCCAACTGGGTCACAAAATACGACAGAGGACGAATCCCACTATCCATGAGCGCAAAATTGGCAGAACTTAGAGAGCAGGTTCAAGTATGGTCTCGTGAGGCTCCTACTGAAAAGGTCATTATTTTCACACAGTGGCGCCCTGTTGCAGCTCTGATTGGTCGTATAATTTAAGAAGATAAGATTAAATTCATTTACTATACTGTAAGAGCAGTAACGGTTGTCACGCTATCACAGCTAACTCTTCCAAGGGCGACAAGAGTGCCTTGAAATGCGATGAGGCAGTAAGAAAAATTGAAAATACGCCTGATATTAAAGTAATGATATGTGACTTGAAATGTGGAGGAGTTGGTCTGAACCTCGCATTTGCCAGCCGGGTTATCAACGTGTAAGTAATTTGATGAAAGTATCGTTTTATCTGCTAAAAGGTCAACAGCGATCTTTGGTGGAATACCTGCATGTAAGTTGCAACATAATTCGCAAATTGGAACTATCTACTGACCATCTTGAACAGCGAGCAGCAAGCGTTCTGTCGGGTTTACCGAATCCCGCAGCCACTTGAGACACATTTCACGCGGCTCATTGTAGAGGATTCGGTCGATTGGCGTATTTATGAGCGTAAGTTCATTTTTCTTATCTATGATGGGTACTAGGTTACTTATTAGCAACAGTTCAGCTCAAAAAAAAGGCCATAATCGATCCCACGATGAAGGGCAAGCTCACCACCTTGGAGCTAGCTGGCTTATTTGGTCGTGCATACTTCGGTGAGTTCATGAGCTTGTGTTTCATATATCAATAGCCACTTGCTAACGACGACTTCAATTCAAGATGACAATGACAAACTTATCGTTGAACCTGATCACCGTGATACAGATAACCACACTGAAGAAGATGGTCTGGAAGGAGCTGAACTCATCTCAACAGACAGAGAATCAGTTGAAGATTTCGATAGCGATTATGCTGATCGATAAAACTGGTCTCAAACTCTCACGCCACCACATTTCAGCAAGTTCGTCACATTTAACACAAAAAGAGTTCCAAATTCTTAGATTGAATCCTCCCATGGAAGTCTCAGTATTCAGCATACATTGGTGTTTCTCAACAAAGCCATCGTATTCCAGACGGAGAAGATTTCCAATATACTTCCCCATTTCCCTTCCAAAAACAGCTCCCATATTCAACATATCCTTTCGTATTTTCATCATACTCACCATAGGAAGACTATGATATTCAACATCGGGTCAATACTTAGCATCACTGTCATACAATTCAGAAAAATCTTCAATATCCAACGCACCGAATTACCTCCATACTTCTCTTCAACAAAGAACATTTCACGCTTTCATATCTCTCATGCTTCACAACAACATTCTGCCTTTGGAGGTGCTCTCCTTCGATATCATCTCGTATTAAAAAGATCTGCATACAGGAATCAACCTCAGAGGAAACCTTCTCAAGTGGCTATTTGGCCTGCTCTTGCTTCTGGGCTCTGTCGAAAGGAAAGCTCTGCAACCAGTACTTGAGAACGTTTCTCGGAAATATGCCATGTATCTAGAAAAAGGTTCATAGGAGAATGCGAAACATATTTAATGCCACACAGATAATACATTGAAGAGTGCGCATTCCCTGGAATGATAATTGAATTCACTCCCATCGTTTGAGGGGAAGGTTTAGGTAAGATTACACTAGACAATCGTATGATATGATAAATACTGAATATTTTTGAGTTCTATCTAGTATTTTGGTCATCCAGATACACTAGAAGAACTAATAAGCAACTGCAGATATCTATCGTGAGAAGGTTGATAATGACTGATGTTTAAAAACGTGATCGTTCACGTGACTTACAAAACTCCCTCAACGTAGAGAAAAGAGGCAATATTTTCGAGTAGCGAAGAGAAAGGGTTGAATGAACTAGAACAGTGAAGATGCGTAATTAGAGATTGAAGTATATGAGTCGGTCAGTTGCGTTAATAGTAAATGTGGAATAGCTAGAGAGTTCTTTGCTATTATTAACCTTTTGGTCTGCGGAAGATTATTATAGGTTCTGGTAAAAGGGGTTCTATCTAAATTCAGATATCTTTGATGGGAATTCGCCCAACCATTTCGGTGAAACCTAAACTCTGAATAACATTTATACATGATCGTGGTCGTGGGAACAGGGTTGTTTCTATGGGTCCTTTCATCAGATGATAGCTCTTTTCTCCGAAAGGGAGCTCGTTTGGCAGCCAGTAAGTAATCAATGGATATCGCGTTGGATGGGCTGAAGCATGAAATAACGGAGTATTGGGTGGTTACCTTGCGGAAGCCATCCACAGAATTCTTGGTTGAGATATGGGGCTTGTTTACCATGAAGCGAGAAATGAAACAAGGCGGTTGGAAATAATTGGCTGTGTGCGAAGTCAGAAATTGGGGGCTCAGGAGCTATGAAGAAGTGAGAGGCTTCACCTGTGGATTGTTCAGTCCAAATCTGAACGTGAAGAATCAATTTGCTCGAAGATTAGTACGAGTAAATTCGAGAGAATTGGGAATTGTGACCTTCATCATTTTAGCGGATTGTCGATTATAAAGTGTTCTAGTATTACAAGCATTTCCGTACCGGCTGACTGGCTGGGAAACGAGAAGGTCTCTGGTGCCTCTCTTCTCAGGGCAAAGATGCTATTGAGTCAACGGTTGGCGAATGGAACTCGATTCCATGAAATTATTTTCTGACCGGAATCTTTCTAGAGCTCTTCCTGGAGGGAGTGGAATGTTCTATCGAATAGACCCTGGAATGCCAGAGGATATAAGTCATGAGACTTTCGACTAATAATGTGCAAGATTCAAGATGAGTGCACCAGAGTGCTATATCAAGTAATCGACAGCTCATTGCTTTACCTCCGTACTGAGCTTACTGTTTAGACAGCTTCCGAAGTTAAACCGAAAAGGATCTCGGGTGTTATCGAGGAGAAATGCCCCCAATAGAGAGCCCCAATAGCTTGAAAATAGCTTACTGCAGGAAAGAACCCTAGGGATTTTTATCAGATGTGTTTGTGGCTGTAGAAGTATCTAACCTTTCCTGAAATTAGTGCGCAATCATTCAATCACACACTAAGTTCAGTAATAATCTACACCGCTTCAAGTAGCTCAATTCACAATGTGTTTATTTTTATATCATTGCAATTCCTTGTCAGGTAGAATACCAACAGTGATAGATCCACAAACATAGAGTTTCGCACATCTGAGTACCAATCGGCACCGGATTTACACATTGCCAATGTATGAAGAACACGAAGTGTAATGACAATCAACGCTTTTGCGAAACATTGAAGTCAAGCGAGTCTAGTAAGGCCCTAGCATGTCCAAGGTCGGCTGATATGGCCTCTGCTTACAACAAAGTAACCACATACTGTATGACTTTAGTTTCATTCGGAAAAAAGCTTGTCTATAGATAGGCTAGCTATTTAAGCCCGAGAAAGTGAAATATAACGACGTCCTTCATTTGGTGTAACTTTCAGCTTGAGTTACATACACTGAAATTGGTCTCAAACTGGTGAGTACAATCCATTGCCATGCCCTCTCCTGAAACCGAGCGCGACTGTCAATTGATTGGTAAGAAGTATACCATCTACCAATATAGATTTAATTCCTCCAGAACGTTGTTCTAAACACCGGAGGGCGGAAGACGAGAAATATAATGCGTAGCCAAATCCTCACAGGCAGCCCAGATGCGTCTCCGATTGGCAAGGCCCAACATCCAGTGCTTCAACTCGAACTTTGGTGTGGTTACCCTATCAGCCCAGCGCAACATGCCCTTCACATCTCGTCCTTTGGTAAGACCCTCCTGTATGAATCCGTGCAACTCGTAGAACCATGGCATCTCCCGCTGGATAATATTTCCCCAGAAGACATAATCCTTGCTGAGAAGCATGTGAGCTGCACCAGACGCCTTCAGCAAGTTGAACAGTGATTCAGTAGGGAGTTAGTATGCTATCTTGCACGCGAGTTCCAATGAAAGAGTGCCAAATGGGTCGAACCGAATGTGAGGTCTGAAATCATGAGTGATTGCTGGGAAGCCAAATTGAGGACCGAGTAATGCGCAGAAAAGATCTTTGTTGGGACTAATCGAAAATGGGAATGCCACGAAGTATTCTTCCCAAATTTCGACTGCTATTTGCTACTGTTTGGGCGAGGTGGGTTGCCGTAATTTATGGTGAGACGGACGCGTTCAACAGGTTCGACTAGATGCTTCATCGCACCATAGAGTGAGAGCCAATTCAGGCTATCCAGACCAGCCAATTCATCTATGACCAACATGAAGATTTCCAGACAACACATGTGTACAGGAAATACTGGCAGGGAGTTACGTAAGGCTCTTGGATCGACATAGCAAGGCGCTTCGAGCATTGGGGCTGAGGGAGGATCTTTGAGGTTCCGGTGAAAGCAGGCGTTGCCGTTAGGTTTAATGAAGCCAGTACCACTCAAATATCCCCTAATAATTTAGGTACGCACTGTTGACCATAATCTGTGCCTTGGGTATATTGATCAGAATTGTACTCACTCAGTGATTGTAAGACCGATGGAAATGACATGCAGTTCAGAAGTCCACTGGGCCGATGATTCAGAGACAAGCGACGGATCGTAGATAGTGCATGTTTCCTCGAATGCAGATTTCCACTTATGTTGCGAGCGGTCCTGGGAATTGTCGAAGGGCATCGTATTACGTTGGCGCAAGAGACCAATATCTACCCATCGTTCGATTGATCGCAAAGGTCCTGCGAAAATAGCACAGCACACATCGCGGTCGCGACTCTGACGTTGAGCTTGAGCAGCCATATAGGCCACTGGTGCTGGTGCGTGTTGTGGTGTGGAGGGTTGTCTTGTGGAGAGGTTGGGCTGGCACCTCGAGATAGATCTCAAGAAGTGGATCTTCCAGAGAGTGTGCCAGTCAATCGACTAGCGTTGACAGAGGATACAGGAGTTACATATGTGTATCTAGGGGGCAATTCTAATTCTACTTGAACAAAAAGACCAGAAAAATTATCCCAGTCGTTAAAGAAGGCCAGGTTTTCTATATATTCAATCGTTTCAATTCTGCTGTATTTGCAGAAAAGCGAGGAAACCCTAGGGCATTTGGAGTCTACTGAATATATCTATGGACGCTCTTGTGGCCTTGTTGCACAGTGGGGCTGAGGTTATCAAGTTCGTGGCGAGAATTTGCAAACATAGAACGATATACTCTAATTTCCACCACAAACGTCATTTCTAGCATATTGAGTTTTGACAAGAGAGCAAACAAACCATAGAAACGAAAAAAACGTCTTTTCATCTCTACACATGAGGAGTTTGTTGAGTAATTCACTTCCACAGTAATGAGCTAAAGGTGTTGACGCGTCTAGGCGAGATCCGGAATTACCCCTTTCCGCATAACCTGATAAAAGATCAACAAAGACCTTTAACTGGCTTATCGGCCCGTCTCTTATCGAACACCGTCATTTTAATTTTGTACCCCACCATCAAAATATCAACTTTGTGCTCACGACATCTCCTTCAACCCAGCACAATATCAATCTTGGTTGCCACAAGAACACTGCACAATACCAAGACAAACTGAGTCTAAAGATCGAACGCCAACCATTGCATTACACTCACGAATTCTTTCCATCATTTCTCTGATCAATCGATACAAATCCTGTTGTGGAGCTGTCCAACGAGAACGCCAACGACAACGCTCCTGGTTAGTTACTTGAACCCTCTCCCCACTAGGTACGATTGATAACTGACATCTCTTGCTACAGAATGTTACTCTGAACCTTAGCTCATCGTCTGCTCCTCAACTGAGGAGGAATTGAACTCGCGTACAGAGCACTTCTCTGTCGTTTCCAAGTTTCCAAGTGTCGCAGTAAGCCAATCCATTGTATTTTGCTTGATCTCTTCAAGAAACACAAGACTAACACACTGTAACTTTCAAGGAGACTACACAAGCTTCAACCATTACGCTCTGCCGGTCAGTGTGTATCATCCACCATTACCTCACCACTTTATTACCAACAACCGTCCTTCATGTACCTAGAATTTGAAGGGGGAATACGCCAGAGGAATAAAGTCAAACAACATACAGCGGCGACCTCCGATCTTTCCAGAACAGGTGAATGACTTATAAGTCATTCCAACCAGCCAGTGGTCAACACACAAACCCAACTTCGCTCGCCTGAACATAACAGGACATAACCGGACATACCGGCCATAGCGGACATAGTCGGAGACCTTACCTGCATTCCTCTCTTACGACTTGATCAATTCACTTGCCATCCATCCAATCGTCTGTCGTCTTTCCACTTTCCCTGCGATCAACCAAGCTTAACACCGAAATTGTGGCCTTTCTACCCACTAAGCCTCTTTCGTCTGATCAGCCCAAATATCAATCCGCTCAGTCAGCATTTCAGGAAGTCAAAAAGTACCTTAGAGGCTCAGTCTTGTTTGTGCCGCTTCACCCAAACTGGAACCGGATACCTATCTCCTCACATCACACCACGATCCAATTACTGCTGTGTCCAACCACGCAGGACTCCTTACGATACTCTGACGCTCGTTGTCTCTCCAGGGTGTAAAGCATTTGAGCCTCAATTCGACCCAGTTTTCGCATCCACTTATACACACTTTGCGGCATGCAAGCACCTGTGTGCTTGCGGGTGAATGGAAGAATATGTCAAGTCATCGACCGGCTCATGTACCAGTACTTGAACTAGTTCAACAGTTGAACAAGAGCGTTGGATGGTTCTTGACTCCTATCATTGTCAACGGACATCTAGTCAAGAAACTAGTCAATAAACCATCCAACGCTCTTGTCAACTCAACCGCGATTGTTGACAAGATAGGACTGGGAGTTGTATTAGTGCTTGTTGAGTCAGGGCAAGAAATTGACTCTAAAACATAAGTACAAATCTTGGTCCTATCTTGTCCACCACCGTGGTGAAGTACAGGAGAATCTGTGTGCCGGCTGCAAAAACGGCAAAAGTCCATACCAAGATTGTAGCTGGGCTGGCACACGGATTCTCCTGTTCTTCATTGTGGGGGATATGCTGTAGGTTTTTGTGGGCTTTGGAGTGGGGGGTGGGTTGAGGGAGGGGGTTTGGATGTATCAATGTTTGGGGCGAAGAACAGGAGAATCCATGCGGCTGTTGGCACCAAGAACAGCAGTGCTGTCCGTGCCGTTAGGCAAATTTCTGCCGCTGCGGCGGCTAAGTGGGTTCTCCTGTTCTTCGTCGTGTAGAGTCTGTGNAATGAAGCTAATTTTTCTTTTGCTCGTGTCTTTAATAGAGTCCCGCTCATTGCGTCTAATAATGGCGCCTATTGAAGTGGGAGGGTCTTGTGACAACTGCTATTTTGTGATCCTGGATGTAGAACATGGATTTCGACTACGGGTAGACTGCTTGAAATCCAGGTTTCCCAACAAGTACTCTATACCCTAATAATCTCTTTTTGCACACCTTGCGGATTATTTTATGTTTCCCGTCCCGAACAGTGTTTTCTTGCCCTCTCACAATCAAGAAACTTTTTGTCGACCGCCTACACTGATAAAAGGCAATTTGAAAGTGCGTGCTAAACCAGTGCTCTTTTGGAGGATTCAAGAACCCTGATATCTACAACTGCCCCTTAGTCGGCAGGCGCGAGCCAATATGTTGGGGAAATCTCTGCCCAGAGGCAGGTTTGCACTTGAACGCAATTTCACGTTCATATGCAGGATACGCCACAAGGACTTCATTATCTCGTGGAAAATGCAGTGATCTAGATTTTAGCATGAGACCTCCACTTGGGCACAGTATGTCCAAGCCCTTGGCATAAGTAGTGGCTATTTATGGTAGGTACAACGAGGTCTTTCCGGGGATTCTAAATTACAGGTCATGTCTATTTCTCTGTAAGTACGTAAATCGGTACATGCAGATATGCCAGTCTTCCAGCCACGTGGTTTGTGACAGAACGCAAGCGAGGCAAAAGCAGCTTAATAGTTAACATCTACAGAATAACAGACAATCGATTGTTGGAAGCCTTATAGGACTTTCCTTGAGTGTAAGAGTTCCAAGGCTGCAATAGGAAGACAAGAAAGATACTCGGATAGGCTGTAATCGTGAAGTATTGTTCAGTGTCTGGCATGTATAAGCGAAGGAAGCGAAGTCACTGAACGATCCGTTTTGACTCTTTCCAGAACCCAGCCAGGACTAGTCGAATATTCTCCAGGTCTGAGATGACCTGTATGTTAATTGAATAATAAGAGATAGTCCTAAATAACGCATATCTTCGCACTCGTCATCCACAGTAAGCGAATGATATCTGTTTGGACTCCTGTGACTCTAAGACATACCACTGAATTATTGAACGCGTGTAGCCATCTTTTCATATTCCAGGAGGAGGAAGGCGAGACATAATTTGCTGGCTAAAACGCGAGATGCTGTCAGAACAATCTGATGGATGTGATAAGGCTCCGAATTGTGAAAATGCTGTCCGGGACGGGCAAATGGGCCAGGCTGCGAGATTTAAGAACATGGATGAAAAGTCTAATGCAGAATTTCGATGGTATTATGAGTTTTACCAAAAGGCTTACCGACATACACGTACTTTTCCATACAACTGGCTGAAGCAGGGAAATTAGAAGTTGAAGGCACTCGTTTAGCATCATTCTCAATCCCTCCGAACTCGGAAGATTTGCATATTATAGCTATAAAGAGTGTTCGTCGTCAAGACAAAAGAGCTGTTTGGAGATTCTCGTTGGCGGGAAGTGGGGTTTTGAAAGTATAGGATTTGTTTCTTCTGGCAGCTTGAGACTTGAAGACATCAACCAAATGCTGTATTCGTCATCGTTAAGTGCAAATTGAAGGTAAATTCCACAGATATTTAGTAATGATAGCAATGAGTATGAATTCATAATTCTAGATATTTTAATAAGGTATGCTGAACGGAGATGCTTGATGCCTTGCAGCGTCCAAACCTAGATATTGATCTGGCAACTCGGAGGTTGAACGTGTGAAGAAGACACCACCCCCTCTAATCATTACACACTCGGTGAAGCAGCAGATTGATAGTCTCGAGACTTGATTTTATCAGCTGGAATCGCAGGAACGGAGTAACAAGTATGCTGTGGATCTTGAACGAAACTCTTCGATCTCTCGATACCTCTCAGGAAACATTCAGAATCTGGTTTGGAGAGAAGAGCTAATCCCCAAGCCACCATGTTGAACTCGCGTTCCTAATTTGTACCTAAATTGGCGAATCCACCCCAAGGCTTTGAATATTTGGCAGCTTTGGAGACGGGACGGTCGCACCATGCAGTTTGGTTTTTTCAGTGGAATTCCTTTTTTGTATGACGCCTTTCGCGCGCACGACTCATGCCAAAGATTCTGAAGATTGATGGCAGTTCCAAAGAGCGTCATCATGACCCCAGGGATTTTTGAAGCTTCACATGGACGATGCGACGACTTCCTTTGCTGTCCACAAACTTGACCGCCAGCATATTTGGTCTCCCTTCCAGTTCTTCACATCATCTGTTGATCTCCAAGCACTTCTTCGAGAGCGAGAGCAATAATTCGCCAGTCACATGGGGAGAACAGTCGGCGGTATATCACATTAGAACCTCGACTACAGATCTTTTCATCGACAGCTGGAGAGCAAGAGAGCGCCTCTTTGTCATGAGCAAACCCCCTCGTGGGATATCTGGTCTTCCATCCGAGGTCACTCGCCACAGATTTGTGTTTTTCGAGTAATCTCTCGAGGTTGCTACCTGCCGGAGGATCAAAGTGGAGAACGAAAGCCAGTCGCATAAATACACACCACCATCATCCTTTGCTGTCCTCGGAAATCGCAGATCGACAGTCTCAAGACTCCCATGCCGCCTGGCAAATCAGAATAAGCTGTCAATGGTTATTTTGTCACAGATGTTAGAATGCGAGCGATTGCATTTTGAAATTAATGGATGAAGCCTAATCGAAAGCGCGGAGAGATATCGCACTATTGTCTCCGCAGATCTACTCCTACCGAAATCTTGAGTCGAACTACAACATGAAAGAACAAACCGCCGAGAGCCAAATATGATACAATTCAAACATTCCAAGAGCTCAGAACATCTGTTATCAGCTAGTAAACTCGGCCAAATGCCTTCATACTTCGCCCTTGGCGAACTCCACCACGATATATCATATATAAACCAAGGAAAATATAAAGGCACAGGAACGACAGAACCAAAGTGAAGGTGAACCTGCGAGAAGTCTCAAAGGCACCGATTGGATCAAATCGAATTCACTGAGAACCCGGATCTTGACCACCAAGAAGAAAGTTGACAGCCGAACGAAGGGCTCATTTTCCTCTCTGAGTGCCAAGACCCGCTTTCAAGACCTTTCAGACCCAGAAGAAGAAAACACAAAAATGATCAAGTAGCCTCCCACTTCATTTGATACATCTGGGGAGCTACTTGATGTTATGTGGTATTGATGTTTCCCCCAATTTTGGAAAAGCTTCCAGTGTATGTGTCACGTGCGCCCCTTTCTTGGTGGGGTTCGGACTCAAGTGAGCATCATTAAGCGAGGTTGAGGCTCAAGTGAGGATGTCGAAAGTGCATGACAGAAGACCGAAAACCCTGTGATTCACCGCTGCGGGGTAGTTTGACTCAACATTCATGTTTGAAAGGTAGCGCCTTTCGATGGCTGGGAGATCCATCGCCAGCCAGAGTAAATCTTGGCATTGGCAGATCGAAGGATTTCCATGCCGCGAAAAGATTCTTAAGATGATATATGTTGCTTGCGTTTATTTGAAAGGTTTTGGATTTTATATATAACGGTTATGGTAGGGAAGTATTAGTTGTGGTTTTTGAGATGGCTGATGTATTGCAAAGCCAAGAACTGGTGGGCACCTCGATTCACCTTTTTCAAGACTTGAAAGCGCAAAGACACCTGTGCTGCAAGAAAATGGATGCATCGTTTTGATGCACTATCAACTTCAACAAGATTCATGGGCTCTCTGCTATTTTGTCGAATTTAGTGTGATTAGAAATGTGGTGGCTGGCAGCGGGAAAGGTGATTGTCGGTTCTGATGTATGTTGGGTTGCGTGAATGTCTAGCCATGCCTGAGAGTCAGGGTTGATGACGACTTCCCTTCTCGGTAGACACTGCTACCTGCAACATGTGAGCACTGGGACAGATCCAGACTTATCAACCAATGTTGGCTCATCGCTCTTTCCCTACGGACAGCCGGTCCACGCCACTCAAAACTTGGTTGCTCCCGCAAGTCTGATCCCAACTTGGTGATTCCAATTCTATGTGATATTTCTCGAATCATCTTTGAATCACCCCAACTTCACTTAATTCGTGCTTTGCAGCTGTGCAGTCATTCTCGGTGAATCTTTCCTCCACCAACCTAGAGCAGGGGTCCTACGAGGCGGGTTTCCAGTCCCCAAGACCTTCTCAGTCTGCTCACCTTTACCACCTGGCAACCTACCGACAAAAATCAGGTACACACAATCTCATTCTTCTTTCTTAGAGCCTCCCCCATTTAGATGCTGCGCTGGTCATAGCTCTTCACCATCCCATTATTCCCAAGTCTCGTTGCTGTCTGGACTTCTTTTCGCTCCCGTCCAAGAAGTCCCCAGTCAGTCCAAGTGCTTTATTGCAGACACAAGCAAGACAATACAAGCATTCAACCCCCAAGAACAGTAAGTCCACATATACTCTCTTCATATGCATATGTAAAGGCTTTCATGCCTACTGTTGCTAATCGTCTTTTTCAACTGGATAGACTAGCATTTACCCCTTAGCTGTTGGCACGTCAATCCTGTCCAAATTGCTTTGCGTGCCGCTTCGATGCCAACCATGTCGCCTGCTCGAAAGACTCGTTCAATGGCACCCGCGCGCTTTAAGGGTGGCCGCCGTTCTCCTAATGTGGGAGTTGCTCAAGTTCACAAGACATACAGTGAGACCTTCAATGCTCAGATCCTTGCTCTACAGCTTGACCAAGAAGATCCCATAGTTTCTGCTGCCAACGAACGAAAGAGAATTATGACAATGTTCGCAGATAGAGAGAGTGTCAAGGAGGACAGTCGAGCAGCTCGAATTTTCAAGAACTTTCCAACAGAGGTAAGGTTTCTTTGCTTTGACTCACCTTCCTTCACCTGGAGATTCGGCCCGGATCTCCCGACCAATTACTTGAGTTGTTGTACGATGGATGCGCCGCCTTCTTGACACTCTCAATTTTTCCAGTAACCCACAACTTCTATCGCAATGCTAACTTACTTGAAATAGCTTCATGAAAAGATTGTCAAGTTCCTGCCCCATGATAGAGATGTGGCAAGCTACATGTTGATTTGCAAGAGCTCAGGATCAGCAATTTGTGACTTCGTGTGGCGCATGCGATTTGAGGAGAAATACGACTTGCCTCGTCTTCCTACAGGCTCATCCAAGCCTGACACACGCTCGCTTGCTATCCAATACCGCTGCAGACAACTCGTTCTATCTCAATACACCACATTCAACGTCAATAGAATTGGGGGCCGCATTGATGACAAAGTTCGTTTGGCGCTGATAAGAAAGCAACAAAACTGCTTGGACTTGTTGAAGGACCTTCTCATTGGTAAGATCAAGCCTTTAATATCTGGAAGTGTGTGATCTGATATTTAACAGAATCCAATGCCTGTGTTGTCGAAGAGAATGGCATCAGGAAGGTTTCTGGCCAGAACATTGATGTCATCCGAAATATGGTATCTTATGTTGGAGAGGGGTCGCACGTCGATATTCTGGATGCGGTTCTTTGCACCAGCCACCGGTACCATAAGTACGACGACATTGGTTCGACATATTGCTCTGATACCTTGGTCTTCGTCATTCAACTTGCTTTGACACCCCTCTCTCTAGACCCAAGTTTTGCTACTCAACCAGTGGCGCACTTTGATTTGTCACAATCTCAAGTCTACGCTACCGCAAAAACACAACCTGTTTTCGTGGGCAAATATAAGCAATATATTAATGCGCTATGGTTGCTGAACTGCGTTAACCATTTCAAGTTTCACCTCAAGACCCGTGGTGACGGTCTCTTATCGCAGGAGTACTATGATCTGGAACCGCATTTGCGACCGCAGTTCTGGACTGGTTTATTGAAATCGGGTACTCGGGTATTGAAGCGGCACTGGAAGGGTGCTCACAGTTTGTCGGCTCGTCCTTCTTCTTAAATCTGGCTTGCTAATCATGAATTAGGCTTTGTTAATTTACTTGATCTCGATGCAATTAGAAATGACAGAGGCAGGCTTCGAGATATCTACCAAGATGATGGAGATGATGCATTGAACGTATATTTATCCTATGATTGCCCTAATTAGTCGCCGCTCTAACCAGTATCAGGATTTCGTGCTTGTTTTTGACGAGCAAAACTTCCCGAGCAAAAAATGGCCAGAAGATTGGGACCACGAACTCTGTAGCAACCCTTACTCCCATCCACCGACTCAGACTGGAACTCATATCGGTTCAGCCAGGTCTTCCCCTCGCAAGCGACGGCGTATCGAGGAGGAAGAGATAACCAAGCCTGAATCAATGTCATTCTATGGCACCGCTGGCGACATCAATGGAAATGGTACTGCATTTATGTATGGTCAAATTCATTCTCTACCAGAACAACATGGGATTCCCGGCTTTCAGAGAATTGTCATGAAGCGATTTGGATTCATAAACGACATGATCAGCCCTGACCGCTGCTACAACTATGAAGGCTGCGTTTTTCCAGGAGGTACCATAATGGCCGGGCGCTGGTGGACAGCCGGCTCTGATCCAACGCGTGATTCCACGTATTCGGGACCGTTCCTCTGGTGGAGCTGTGAGGATAGCGTTGAAGAAGATTTGCCAGCACCAGCCGACGATATCATTGAACTTGCTAGACTATTCATGGGTTGATTTCTGCTATTTTCCAATGCGGACGCCCCAGGATAGCGACCTTCATTGGTGCTGCGAGACTCGAAATACCTACCCATCTTCCAGGAGATGATTCAAGTCTTTTTACCATATCCTTCTAGCCCACGAAATATTTGGTATCTGCCATACACGACCAAACAGACCAACCTCGAAAGATCCGTACAAACCAGGTCGACTCATACATTCGTCCTGAGGGTCTTTAGCTTATCGCATCAACATTTTACCACTTTTCAATACTTAGTACGTAGGAATTGAAGTCGGGAGGGATGTTGAGAAGAACGCTCACCTATCACTTGTTTGGCCTTACACGGCTGATCACACACTCTTTACTTTGTTTTTCCCTCTCTCTTTATGCATTACTGGATCTTATTCTCCACTTGTTCTCTCCTTGGGCGCCCAATTTCCTGCTTCTATTTCCTGTTCTCTTGACCGGCCAACTTAATCAAAAATAATTACACGCCATGGGGTCATCGCAGAACTGTGAGTCATTTCGTTATGCTTTTGAATTTTAGCCTAGTTTATTCCCTGCATCTCTTTCTTCTTCCCCCCCTTTTATTTCCTTGGGGGCGCTTTTTCTTGTTGTTGTTGTTTGAGGAGTCGGAGGTTGAAGGAGGTGTAGTTGTTGGTTGTGCAGGATGGAATTGAGATAGGGGGGCGATGATAGATGCTGGATGCTCGGGTGAGCGAGATGGAGTGAGGGTCGGCTAGTTGGATGGTTGTCATTGGTGGATTTCGAGGGTGGAAAAAAGATTCAAGTCAGTTGATAGTTAATAGGATGGGCGATTTCTTTTAGATATCTCTTATGTGATGTAGTCAGATGAATGGGAGATGATGAGATGATTCTTTTTGGTTCTTGTGATGAAATTGTGACGTGATATTATCTGAGTTTGAGAAGCTGATGATAGGTAAGAGATGTAGTCAGGACCCTGAACGTACCTATGTTGGAATGATATTATCCTAACACCCTCGCACAACGAGTATCATTATACGAACGATCTGGGAGAATTAAAAGCAATGTATCTTTATTGCCCTAAGTGGTTTCGGACAATCAAGTTGATTATTTTGGGGATTCTAGGATATTCTAATAGGCTCGTAGAGTGTGGTTGGGAAGGAGCGATGGATGGATCTGGATCTGCGATTTAGTTATTTGGATTAATTATTAAACCAGGATACCGCTGTTAATTAATCCGCTATAGCAAATTCTGGCAGTTTTACAAGAGCTGAAGCAATTACTCGTAGAAAAGCAAAATCCATCCCTTCTGGAAGGTTCATTACTGTATTCTTACATTTCTTCCTTACTCGCCACCCCTATATATCTGGCCTGGCCGCAGCTAAGGCACACAGTCTCTCTAATCCACACTTGACTATTCGACGCGGGCCGTGGCTGGGTATGTCGGTACTCAATCAACACCGCAACACCCGAAATACAGCCGCTCCAACCAATCAACCCACCTCGCTTACCCTCATACCCACAAAAGTCGCAAAATAATATTGATATCCCCAAATGCCACGATTCCACTCTCCAAAACTGGTCCTGCTCGCCTGGTCCAGTCAGTTAGTGTGTGATCAAATCCAGACGCGTCACGCACACTAATTGTCGCGCATACGTATACAGGAAGTAAGACGATCGTGTTGGTGGGGCCCTACACTGGAGAAAAAAATCAAAAACTCAGTTCGTCTGGTTATTGAACCTGGTAGGAGGTTTTTTTTGCAGTTTTTTGAGTTGGTGGATTGCTTGGTGGGGTAGGGTGTAGAAGGGAAAGATGGGATTGAGATAATGGGTTGATTTGTAATTGGAAGGTGAACGTGTGAGGCTTGTAATTCTTTTTGAAATGACATTGGTTTTAAAAAGCCACCAGATTTTCTGTGAGAAATATAATCCCCGCATATGAAGGAGTATGAGAAGCTTGACAATTGAACCCGTGAGCTGATTTTGCATCACTGGATACATGATGGCTACTCGTCCGCCCGGGACAACCGCCCACCCTAGCTAAACGCCCAAACAGACTATTGTAATTAATTAATAGAAAAACAACCGCACAATATAAATTCTCTAGACTAACATCAAAAGAAAGCTTAGAGTATAAATAATCTCTTTTACTCTAAGAAATCTAAATTTTCGAAATAACTTCTATAATAGTGTAAATACTAGATTTTAATTGGTCTTAGTATTACTAAAAACAAAAAGGTGATTAGTAGAAAATATAGAGGAGTTTATAAGCTACAATTTAAGCTATTAAACTATATAGTTTTCAGTATTAGTGGTAGTTATAACTTTCTGATTTTCAACGGCTAGGTAGTAGGGTGGGCGGTTGTCCCGAGCGGACGAGTACCTTTCGAGGGGCTTATGGTGACAGATTATTTGCCGAAAGACTTGCATTCCGCGACTATTTTTTGATTTGGATCCGGAAAACAATTCGAGATTCCTTGAAAATCTCAGACTGCATAGCCAAGAATGGCATCGTGCAACAGCTCAAAGACAACACGCCTAGAATATCGACATCTGCCGCATTGCTAGACTGCTATATTTTGGTATTCTGCTCACGATACCCTTACATCTCACCTAAGAACAAACATTATACACACCTTTAATCATGGGAACTGTGAGGAACCATTGGATGGATTCGCAGCGTGAATTCAAGAAATTCCCGCGAACTCAATTTGTACCGGTACGCAATTTCCACAAGAAGCCTGAAAAGTGATACATCCCGCCAAGTCCCTTCCACAGACACTACTTGACTCTTGCGATGCTTTTCAGCGCTCGGAGGGCGGTTTCGTTCATTCATAGCCATCGATGCCTGGAATGAAGTAGAATCACTACGGGTGAAGACTTTCCACCCTTATATGATCCAATTTACTTGGCGAAACCATCTTTATTATGGGTAAAACAAAACGGAAACAAAACTGGATTCCCTTCTTGATGTATAGGAGATATTCCTGGACTCCCTTTTCGCAAATTAGCACACTATTTGAAGAAATAATCTAGCCGGATGTGGCTCTAATCTAGGGAAAATGGCCCATTTCATTTTCATCAAGCTATGCCAGATGCATAAGACAATGAGAGCGGGTGGAAGAGTCTCTATTTCAAAAAGACTGGCGGCCGAAAAGCTATCCATAGATACCTACATTTACAGTTTGCCACGTAAATGTCCCCTGCCAGTGCCGAATCACTCTCGTAGAATTTCACATCTTCTGTGTCAGCAACTTCGAGGCTAGCCCTAAGCAAGCAATGTCCGAAGATCATATCGAGAAAACTTCGGAGGCCGCGCGGTTACAGCGAAGAGTAAAGATCATCCGAGGAGACTAAGCACTAAGCAATGCCTCAATAACAGGGTCAACTTGGTCGAAAGCCATGACAAGAAGACATGCTTGAGAGTAGCGAAGAGGAAAGACTACGAATCGCCTAGATTTTGAGCGCAGAAGACGCTCATCTAAATCCCTCAACAAGACAATCTCAGGTAGATATCAAATGCCACACTGCATCAGAAAGATAAAGGGACCAAATCCCAAACTACCTCCAACTCGCTTATTGAAGTCACTTCCGGTTGGGTTTCTTTTCATTCTCCCACATATATCCTTGAATCAGACCGCAACCTCCATGATAACCACCCAACATATGAATCTATATTTCAAGTGTGCCGGATGATCGTTGAAGACCAGAACAAAGTTACGTCACTCATCGAGGCGTGTGATATAGAAACATTTGTTCAATAAGGACATGGTATTAAGGAGAACTCCGGATCAGAATTTCTAGAAGAAGGGCTCGGTCGTGACCTCATAGCCTCTCGATACAAACCCGACTTTGATAATAAACAGCTCAAAATAACGATCAATTATTTCACCAGAAGGTACTTCGACTAGCAAGAAAATTGAAGTGTTATTCATGTTGTATACCGCTTCAACACATTTCAAATTGTTCCAGGGGCCCCAATTAAACCGATACTCCTACCTCCCTCGTCTGTCGAAATTCTCAACACACCAAGTTACGAACTTACGGGCTCTCGGCATTGAAAGCACTGGGACCAAAACAGGTAATTACATTGGTATCTAGAAGTGCTCTGGAGCAAAACACGTTAACACATCATAAAATTAACAAAGATAGGACCAACCGAGCTTCCGTTGACCTGGCAGTTCAAGAGTGCTTACAATAATGAGCTGAAGAAAGGTATTGCCAAAACTCTCCAGGTAAGCTACAATACTAAGCGCACTTGTGGAGAACTGGAAACCTTTGGACCGACCGAGATTTCTATTGATCTCAAAGCTCTTGGTATAGAGGATCGCAGCCATTACGTGCTTTTCCAGAGTTTCTGGAGTACATGTTTACTAGGTTCTGCATATTTTGGTTACGCACTTCTGGGTTTACACCTACGATGGGTCCTCTGGACTCTCGCGACCCCACACTTTACAATTCTGCATCTCTGATACGATTGTTTCGCTGGGACCTTTTTGGAGTTACCCTTTTTTGGCTTTTATAATTATTGGCTCCCTGCGTTACTTCGTTTTTCTCAAATCTTGGATTACACACTCCATGCTTCATGTTTCCCGTATAGAACCGGATTAGAATTTGGGATTTTGGTTTCTCTGAGTTTTGGCTTGCTGAGCATTATGTTTTATGCGTTTCGAGTGACGTTTCTTGGATGATGGTTTCTTGCTTTCTTGGGTTTTGCGATCTTGGGCATGAATAGGAGCTATTGGGGGTCGTATTCTCGCTTTCTGTGCTTGGTTTCTATCGAGGAGACGTTTGTCTTTAGCTTTCGTATTCTGAAAGTATACTATTTGGTTGGCAGGAAACAAGATGGTGGACATGGTGTTAGTAAGGGCTTTTCACAAACTACCCAGAGTTTTTACCTCATACATGCGTTTACGCGAGAACCTTAATTTCCTGCACCTATTCTCGCTCAACTTTTCCCGTGCCCCTTTAATATATATTTATTTTCGATACCCACAGAGGGGCCTGGGAATATTTCATTTGAAGGGATCATACTGAGAAGCCCCCCCCCNTTTGAATCGACTCACAATACGTCCTGACTTGTTGGCATGAAAGAGGGCACAGTATTAGGATATGTTTCACATTCAAAGTTTTGATCCATCTCACGGAGTACTCATAAATGGAACATGGCATGAATGTTGCATCTAATATTCATTTGGTATCATTTCGTCCCCACATGCACTTCTGCGCATTATGTGGTTCAAACACGATTACCTTTGAGATGAAAGCCAATTACTATGCCAAGAGGTAAATAAAAATGAGAGCGAAGAGATAGATAACTGTGAACGCCGTCATACAGACAAGATTTACCTCTAACGTTGCCCAATAGTCAATCGCATCTTCAATCGCAGCGTCTTGATCCTCGGGACTTAGTTTCATCCACGTGTAGTTATAGATTTCGCATTCGCACTTCTCCATATCCATCGAATCACTCTTGTTCAGAGTCTCCAAGGAAACAGCTTCCATGTATCTCTTTCTGATCCGGCGCGCTCTAGAAGGCTTCAGACTGGCTAGCTTGACCCACGACAATATTATTCCTGCTAAGCTGAGCAGGAAAAGACGTTGGTAAATGGGGTCTACTTCAATTTCACCGATGACGAACTAGAATACTAAGTCAACAAAGAAAAGGGGGGGGAGCTGGGGCAGCAAAACCAAACGGGATATTTGGAACTCACAGTAATATATCTGGCACATACTATGACAAGAAAAACATAATATACCCCAGCAATAACATTACAGTCCCAACTTGGCGACTCCTGGTTGATGTAGCGTTTCAATCGACGTTGCCCCACGCTCAAAAGGTCGTACTGTTCTCCCTCCAACTTCCTCCCATTGCATTCCTTCATTCGGAAACATGATGTCCAGATTATTCTGCTTTCCAATGCAGAATAATGCCCCAATAGATAACGTCCACGGACCTCTTTGAAAACCTGTGCCTCATCGCGGTATTCCATTGTGGATGCAGTGCTGAGGAAGGCTGTTCAGTGATGTACCAGGAGAAAAGAATGAAGATTGTTTCTGAAGTGCTTTTCCTGGAACAGGATGCTCCGGGGGGAACGATAGAATTTGTAGGCTGTGGTGAGTTGAGTAGTGGATTTGACTATTTGAGTAGTACTTAAGTAGTTATATATAACGTGACTATAATATAAGAGACTAAGGTTATCCTCAGGAAGTCTTGGCTAAGTCCTGGTACGCGGACCGCCCCCCCTGAGGCCGGCTAGCGAGCCGGGCGCGCTACGGAGCATCGGGCCGACACTAATCGAGTTACTTATGAGTTAATCGAGTACTTGGCGAGTTGAGTTGAATAGCGGTTTTCACTACTAGAGTTGAGTTAATTAGATGTTACTACTCAACTCAACTACTCGAATTTACCACGCTGGAATCTACAATGAAATGTAATCGGAATGACCTAAAAACGAATCGCGCAAGAGATTAATTTGCTTTCACGCTACTAGTTGGTTCCGGAGTATATAATAATTAAGTCTTTATAAGTTTATAGTAGTAAGGTGGTGAGGTGCGGAACGATTCTAGCCAATCGGGATTTAATAGGTTTTCGATTAACTTAAATCTTTTTTTTAGGATTTTTTCGTCTGACTGGTCCGCCAGAATCTGACTAATCACACCTCACTATCACTACCTGTAAAGACTTAACTCTTATATACTCCGGAACCAACTAGTAGTAGTTATATAGGAAAGAAGCTGTGAAATCTTCTTTTTATGGACGATAATGCGATTTACCTTCGAGGGGAAGTTCTATCGCCAATTTTTTTGAAACCTTTGCGTCGATAGGGAGAGAGAAGGGTGGCTATTTGAACGTGTTCATTTCTTTGCAGATATTTTCCTGCTCGTACTCAGCTACTTGGATAGATAAGGAGGTATGACGTTATGATGAATTATCGCTTATTTGGCGTGTGTTATGTCGATATGCGTGGGCTTCTAGAACTCGCTAAAGAAAAACTTTACATGCGAGGCCTCTGGGACTATACACTCTGATCAACAGCTAGTAGGGACATCCTTTCCAACTCGCCAGTTTGCTAGTAGATACTGTAAAGACGAACGATTGTTGGTTGGGGATATTGTTATTGTGAGTTCACAAAGCGGATTCGTGCTTGGTGTGAAAAACTAGAGCTACTCTAGGCAAGTAGAGCTGAACCATGATTGTACCAAGTACACTGTCACGTGGAAAGTCACGTGCAGAGAAACTGGTCCCAATCTCCTGTGGACCTGGTGCTTACTTGCTAGTTACGTGCTCAAGGTGCACTTGGCTATATAAACTCGAGCATAATGTCATTCCCCCGAAATTTTGGGTAGTGGTATTCTCCTTGCCGCTACCTATATAGTATTGCAGCTCCAAATACAGCAAAAAGAAACTTGCATTCACCGTAAAATACGAACACTTTGAAGCAAGAAAGTCAACATCTGCTCATCAGATTCAAAAAAAGAAAATTATGTTGTAGCAAAGCAAAGCAGGAATAATATGATTTAGTGAAGAACCACCAACTTATTGTTTTGGTACTGATTGCCACTGGACAAGTCTCAGATTGTGATGAATCCTGTGGCTTTGATGCCTACTCCACTTGCCATTCTTAAGTATAGGTTGTGATGAATGTGCAAATCAGTTGGACTGTCAGGCGGTATAATGTTTCTTTTCCCTTGTCCTTTTTTTAGTGTTAGAGTTCTTGAGATGCATTGAGTTTGGAAGCTTCATTTTATAAGTTTACTGATGAGTTGTGGCAGCATTTCAGTTATGGTTCTTATGACGTAACTGATTGACTGAGCAGTTGGGCCTAAAGACCTACACGAGGTAGCTGGACCTGCATTCATATTAAAGAACGGCAAGGAAGACATGGTACAGCGTAAACTTTGCTTGTTGGGTTGGTTTGTCTAAGAATGATCATCAAGCCCCAAGGGGTAAATGAAGCGAATTTTAAGATTGAATCAAATACTAGGTACCAATGTGCCTTTTGCTTGACTTTAGATAGAAATCAGAAGAAGCAACTAATCCTCAAAGGAAATCATTGCTGTCAATGGTTCAGAGACTTTTGACTCATAAGTTTGTTGATGTCTGTTTTAGGAAATCTGAAAACAGAAATTGATGATGTTCTGCTACCCCTGTGCTTAATGCGGAGGTGATTCCGCAAACGGAGCAGCAGAATACAGAGCGTATTTTCTTGGCTTGCCCTATGATCACTTGATCTCTTGAAGAATTGTTTGCTTGAAAATAAGAAATGCTGAAATTTCAGTCTTATGAGCAGAGCACAACTCGCCAGGTCACCTCCTTATTCCTGAAGTGCGAATGTAAAGAACAGTGACGACAGAATAGGAGAGATCAAAAGGAAAGGGACCCCTGGCTTACATAACGCTGCACGTGTTTCCCACCTAGGGTCCGACTGGGGGTGAGAGAAACTTCGGGAAGTGCCCTGACGAACATTTTCTAAGAGGAGCGGGGACTCTAAACCGATTGACATCCATTGACGATTCCACCACCCCAAACTGACGAGTATATTCCAAAGACTCCCCAGATGCTCCATGACCGATCTTCTGGTCATCGTTGAATCTTGGGGACGTCACACACCGACTCAACCCTAGCAACACAGCTCTCAGAGAGCTTGCACATGAACCATGGCTCCTGTCAACGCCGCCAGAGCTGTCCAGCAAAACCGACCGCGACCAACAGCTGCAAAGAACATCATTGTGCCAGCGATTCCTTTGACATACGTGCAGAAGCGCCAGAAGCAGTCGGCCGCGCATACAAAAGCCAAGATCGAGCAGCCGGTGGCATCAAACCCGCCAGTGGTTGAATTTCTACCTCCCTCAACCTCGCCCATTTTAGAGCCAGCTGCGGCGGCGAATAGTACTTCTGAAAACGGATCGCCATCACCACTGCAAGCTTCGACTACATCGCCAGCATCTGAGGCCGACTACTTGAACGAGAGCCATCATACTGAGAGCACAGAGGAAGAGGTAGCGGAGCCTGCGATCGCTGCGATCGCTGAGCAGGAGGTGTCTGTGGTTGAGGAATCGTCAGCAGGTATGCGGCTGCTTCTTTCCCCCAGTATATTTTTCCGCAGCTTCTCAGACCTCCTTCCGCAGAAGAACCCCAACAAACCCCACGATCCGCGCCTTCTGAAGCACAATCGTCGGCCTCGCGCACCACCTACCAAATGCCGCCCCCGTTCGTCCCATCCAGCCAGAGTCAACAACCAAACATGAGCGCCGCCGACCCAGGCAGCATGCCACCCCCTCCAAACTTCCACCACGGCCAACACCCAATGCACCATGCGCATCCCAGTGCTGGAAGCTTGCGATTTGGCGGATACCCTGAATCGAACAACTCGTCTCCTGCCCCTCCTCCATCTGCGGGGAACTTGCCTCCATATCCATATCCTCAATCGTCCCACGTTCCTCAGCGCCATGGCCAGCAACCACCAACCAACGGAGGTCATCCTAACGGATTCTCACCAATGGGACCACCCCCTCCTCCAGGATACTATGCGCGACCTGACGGTATGATGAACCATGGGCCTAACGAGAGCTTCATGCGCCGACAAATGCCAGGCTTTGGACCGGAGGGCGGTCATATGCCACCACCTGGATTTGAGCATCAGCGCTACAACTCGTTTGACCCCTCGACCCCTCACAGCTTCCATGGATCGCAATCATCGGCACAAAATGACCAGGAGAATGGGCCAGCTTTCTACAGTCAATACCCCACTGCAGTCATTTCCAACGGCAGCAATGGCCATATCGATGAAGTTCGTTTGTATCAACAGCCTCGTCCAAAGCCTCGCACAAACTCGCATGCGGTCGACCCTAGTCAGAACGGTTTCCCTCATCCCACTGGCCAACCACCAGCTTTGATTGATAATCTTGATGGCCTCGTTGGCTACCTTCAAGGCCAGTTCGGTGATGCCCAATTTGCTGACTTGACCCTTGAGTTGCGCTACTCTGATGACCGCGCTGCTCCAGTTCGCATTCCAGGTCACAATCTCATGTTTGCTCGCAGCCCTGCGCTTCATGCCCTCATGAAAGCTCAAAATACCAACAATGATGGAGTTGCCATGAAGACATTGCTCATTGAGACTGATGATAGATACCTGCGATCGGACGCTTTTTGGATGGCCATGCAACGCCTTTACGGTGGGGCTCTTCTTGACATAGGCGCTGTAGCTTCCGTCAACATGTTGCCAAACGCTCAAATGTCGTCTTCAACTTCAGGTATTCCCTCCGATCGGTTTGAACTCGCCTTGGGTTACGCTGCCGCTGGCAAACTGCTTGTAATGCCTCCTGTAATGCAGCGTGGTGTTGAGATCGCGAGCCATACTATCAATATGTCTACCCTTGAGAAGGCCCTCGAGTTTGCCCTTGACGGCGGGCTTGATTACTCATGGACTCGAGAAGCCCCTCCTGATGGTGCTCGTTGCCCAAGCACATACGGCCCTCTTGTCAATCTCTTGCTCACTCGATGTATGCAATGGATCATTGCAGGCATCACCCCAGGGTTTGAACTTGACGCATCTGTTGGCGATTTTGTGCACGTTCGTCGTCTTCCTGAGGTTCCAGTAGATCGACCGACTACCGCCCCAAACCCCCGACTCAGTCAAATCAAATTTGGTGACCACCCAACCGAAGAGAGTGCAATTGTTCAGCCATCAAGTGCCAACTCCGACCTTCTTACTCTCTCCAAAGCATTGATCAATATGCCATTCCACTTGTTGAAACACGTATTGGAGGCGCCTCAATTGGGCAATGCTCAAGGCTGGGCAACCACTGCTTTGAAGCAAAATGTTATGTACGCTGTGGTCGAGGAACGCGAGAAGCGCAGATTGAAGGTTCTTCGCAATCCTCATGTTCTTACAGAGGAACGAAAGACAAAGCGCAAGGCTTGGGAGGCTGTTGGATGGCAAGAATCTGTCGAGGCACATGGAACTATCGAGCCAACTCCTATCTTGACTCGTACCTGGGTCGACTACGTTCTTCCAGCTTCACCACACTAGAATTTATGAATTGAATGGGGGAAAAAAGCAATTGGGTTGGGACGGGTTATTTCCGTGTTTGTTTGGGTGCATTTGGCGTTGCATGACGGTTTTCCTTACCCATAACGAGGCTTTTTAATCTCTCGGAAAAATGGATCAGCGTTTGTTTGCTTCTCTACATACAGTTGATAAAACGGGAGAGTCTGGGTTTCTTTACAAACATTGGAATCTGGAGCGATGCTTTTGATTTCTGGCTTTTACATAACGGCATCCATGGGGCATTTTTGCGTGGATGAGGTACAAGAAGTTTGTTTTTGTTTTCCTTGCCTCCTGGATTTTGATTTGATGATGGGACGAAACATTTGGCGATCAATGGGATGGGAAAAATGGAACGAAAAACGAGAGAATATTTGGCTCTAATTAAATTTCCTAGGGATGGTGGGTTAGCATAGCAGAGTATTACTTTGTAATTGAGAGCCAAAACTTTACCTACCGTTTAGTTTAGCTGATGACATGAATGGATACCCCATTTCAAAATACTTGAAGATTCTCATGGACGCTGGTGATATCAATGCAAGCAGAGATTGCTTCAATTGCTTGCATTTTCGAGTAACGCTACCCACTCTAATCATTAACAGTCTCTTTGTATAATGAATTGAAAAAAAAAATATCTCATTGGTATCTATCTAACACTCCATCCGATTCGAGAATTTACATTTTACATTCGATCGGCAGACTCGATCCATCTCCTGCCCCCAAATAAAGCACCTGAACGCCGCGCTGATTGCCTGACCCTTTCATGATACCATTCCATGTATCGCAGCCCCAGTTCAATGCACCTTTCTAGGCCTTCTTAGGTATCGAAAACCCTCTGGTCATAAAGTCTCCGCTTTTATGTGTTTGCGCACTGTAGCCTCCACTAGAGAATAGAGATTTCAGGTTGTCGTTCAGGCCGAGTTTTCGGCGCTTATTGCGGTCTTCCTGCTCGTCTAGAACTTTGGCTGTTAGTGAAGCTGTTGCAGCGTTTTTGATGCCGTTTGATGCGCCATTTGGTGTGGATGTGCCGCTTCTCGAGGCATTGGTGGTGTTCTCAATCACCTTTGATTTTGCCTTTGGGACGCTCGAGAGATCGCTCGTGGTTGTGGATGCAGCTTCGGTTTCGGTATTCTTCTTCCTTTTCTTGGACCCAGGGGCTTTCTTCAGAGAATGTGTCAGTCCGGCCTCCTTCAGCTTAGTCGCCCTGGCTGTCAATTTGGCGATATCTTCTTTCGCGACGGGGAGGATGAATATGACATCTTCTGGCTTGTAGGCCTCATTACATTCAACGCAACTCTCCCCCGCCACCTCCCTTATCGCAACTTCAGAAAATGCATGGCCGCATGGAACCAAATACACCGATTTCGTCTTAGGCCCTAACTCCTTGCTGGTAATTGGACAGATTTTCTTCTCCTCCTTTTCCTCTTTTGCTACTGTGAACTTGACCTCGACGATGTCCCGTAGTCCTTTTACGCGCCCTTGGAGGATATCTTCTTTCTCTTTCAGTACTGAGGCGGGGGTATCAGGGTCTTTTGGTAATAATTGCTCGAGAATCGCGTCTTTATTGTAGAGTATTCCGGCGCTGTCAGACACTATGGGTGCAATGAGGGGACGGTTGGAGAGTGGACAGTAGGACCAGGCGTGGCCCTGGGATTCTTGGAGGTTGGCTTTTACTTCTGTGGTGTTGAGAGCGCGGGCGGCATTTTTGACGAGCTCGCGGCGGGTTGGGATACTACCTCCGTCGTTACCCATGGTTGGTTGTAGTAGTAGTTGAAAGGGATTATTTAATGGTATTGATGGAGAGGTTGCTCAATGAGAGGTTGGGTTGAGGCTGTTGATAAACTTATTAGATGGGCTTGGAGGACCCTTGCGATAAGGCGCCTATCGCACGTGCCAGCCACTTTTTGGGTCAGCCTAAGATTCACCTCCACCGACCGCAGGTGGTGTGGGTGGCAGATGATAGCTTCAGCCTCTCGTAGCCTGGAGAACCGACAAACTACAAACCTCAAAAAAATCATACCTTCCCACCTACACACCCTGCCTGTGGCGCGTCTGGATGGCGATGGAGATCAGTCAATAGAGCCGCAGTGAGAGAAGGTAGCCATCCCTCATGGACAAGATGTCGCAACCCGCGCATGATGCCCTCAATCGGATTGTGAGCGAGCTGCGCTCCAAGTAAGGACCGACCTTTATTCCTTCGTGCGGGACTGGCAGTTACTCATGCTTTGATTTAGGACAAGCGATGATTTGAGAAAGAGGGCAGCTCTGGATCTGAGAGATCTGGTAGTTGCGTCTGCAAGAGGTAAGAGTGAGAGATCGGACAGAAAACATACCTTTATGATGCGACTGAACAGCTGCTAATGCCCTCACAGCCGATGTATCCCAAGAACGATTCTTAGAGTTCTACAATGTTGTGAACCAGAGAATTACTCAACTAATTACACATGCGAGCGATCCCATCGATAGACTCGGTGGTATACATGCCCTCGATGCCCTCATCGATTTTGATGGCGTCGACGCCGCTCAGAAAACTACACGCTTCGCGCAATCACTACGAACGGTATTGAGAGGAAAGGACCTTGTGCTTATGCAACCGGCTGCATTGGCTCTTGGAAAGATGTGCAGACCTGGAGGAGCTATTATATCAGATCTTGTTGAAGCTGAGATCAAGACCGCATTGGAATGGTTGCAGTCTGATCGAATTGAGGAGCGAAGATATGGAGCTGTGCTCATCCTGAGAGAATTGGCGAAGAATGCCCCGACTTTGGTATACGGATTCGTAGGATTGATCTTCGATCAAATATGGGTTGGACTGCGAGATCCACGATACCTCATTCGCACAACTTCCGCAGAGGCTATTAGTGCTTGTTTCCAAATTATTCGCGAGCGAGATCAGAGTATGCGTACTACGTGGCAAACAAAGATTTACGATGAAGCGGTACAGGGTGTTCGACAGGGCTCTGTGGAGTATATCCATGGCTCGCTGCTTGTTATCAAGGAGCTTCTGCACCAAGGAGGCATGTTCATGCATGACCATTACCAAGATGTTTGTGAGATTATCTTCAGACACAAAGATCACAGAGATGCACAGATTCGCAAGACTGTTGTCATGTTGATACCTGAGCTTGCCAATTATTCGCCAACGGAGTTTGCGGGATCCTACCTGCATAAGTTTATGGTTTTCCTTTCTGGGATGCTGAAGAAAGACAAAGATCGCAATGATGCATTTATGGCAATTGGAAATATTGCGAACGCGGTGAAGAGTGCTATTGCACCCTACTTGGATGGTGTGTTAATATATGTAAGAGAAGGCCTGAGCATAAAATCGTAAGTTTCTCCTCATCCATACAGTGCCTCGAAATCAAGGCTTATATTTTTCTTAGGCGACGAAGTGGCACAGTTGACCCTGTGTTTGATTGTATCAGCAGATTGGCGGTCGCTGTTGGGCAAACTTTGAGCAAATATATGGAGGCACTTCTTGACCCTATATTTGCTTGTGAGTTGACACCAAAATTAACCCAAGCTCTCGTCGATATGGCTTTTTACATCCCGCCCGTCAAACCAACGATCCAAGAGAGACTTCTCGATATGTTGAGCAAGGTACTTTGCGGCGAACCTTTCAAACCCCTTGGAGCTCCAATACCAAATAGTATCGCCACAGCGCCAGTCGTCCCGAAGGACTCGAAGGATCCGCAAGCTTACGAGCACCGTCAGACCGAGATCAAGCTTGCGCTGAACACCTTGGGCAGTTTTGACTTCACCGGCCATGTTCTCAATGAGTTTGTCCGCGATGTTGCGATCAAGTATGTGGAAGACGAAAACCCTGATATTCGAGAAGCCGCGGCCTTGACTTGCTGTCAACTTTATGTACGAGATCCTATTGTCAATCAGACTAGTCACCACGCGATTCAAGTTGTGAGTGAGGTTATTGAAAAGCTGCTCACAGTTGGAGTTGCCGATCCCGATCCTGGAATTCGAAGAACGGTTCTTGCTGCTCTGGACGAACGCTTCGATCGACACCTTGCAAAGGCTGAGAATATCCGTACCCTCTTTTTCGCGCTCAACGATGAGGTCTTCGCCATCCGGGAGGTGGCTATTGCAATTATTGGTCGTTTGACTCATGTCAACCCAGCATATGTCATCCCTTCATTGCGAAAGGTCCTCATTCAGATGCTGACAGAGCTTGAGTTTTCAGACGTCGCCAGAAACAAGGAGGAGAGTGCAAAATTAATCAGTTTGTTGGTACAGAACTCACGAACATTGATCAAACCTTATGTTGATCCAATGATTGCTGTATTGTTGCCAAAAGCACGCGATGGAATTCCTAGCGTCGCTGCTACCATCCTGAAGGCAATTGGCGATTTATGTACGGTTGGCGGAGAAGACATGATTCCATACATCGACAAATTGATGCCAATTATCCTCGAAGCTCTACAAGACCAAAGCTCATCGTCGAAGCGGGAAGCCGCTCTGCGAACTCTTGGCCAACTGGCTAGCAATTCCGGATATGTTATCAAACCCTACTTGGACTACCCGTCACTCCTAGAGATCCTACAAAACATCATCCGCGGCGAACCTCAACGGGGCACTCTCAGACACGAAACGATCAAGCTGATGGGTATTCTTGGTGCCTTGGACCCCTACAAGCACCAGCAAGTCGAAGAAAGATCGCCAGAAATGCAGCTTCGATCTGAGTCTCATCGAACGACTGATATATCGCTCATGATGGACGGCCTCACACCTTCAATGAAGGAGTATTTTCCGACTGTCGTGATCAACGCTCTGCTACAAATCTTGAAGGATCAATCACTCGTGCAACATCATGCCGTCGTAGTTGAGGCAATCATGCAAATATTCAGAACACTCAGCATGGAATGTGTTCCCTTCCTAAGCAAGATCATTCCCGCTTTCTTGTCTGTCATCCGAGGCTCTCCTCCGACAAGACTCGAATCCTACTTCAATAACTTGGGCATCTTGGTTGGTATCGTCAAGCAACACATTAGGAACTATTTGCCTGAAATCGTGGCTGTTCTACAAGAATACTGGGGTGCCACACCTACCCTCCAATCTAATATCCTCGGGTTAGTCGAAGCGATTTCAAGATCGTTGGAGGGTGAGTTCAAGATCTACCTGGCGGGCCTCTTGCCGCTTATGCTGGGTGTACTTGAGAAGGATAATTCAACCAGAAGACTTCCATCTGAGCGTGTTTTGCATGCTTTTCTCGTCTTTGGCTCAAGTGCAGAAGAGTACATGCACCTCATAGTCCCTGTCATCGTCGGTGTTTTCGATAAGCCGCAGCAAGCATCATTCATTCGAAAATCCGCGATCGACACAATCGGAAAGATTTCTCGACAAGTGAACCTCAACGATTATGCCTCCAAGATTATCCATCCTTTGGCGAGAGTTCTGGGTGGTTCAGACCCGTCGTTGAGAGTTGCAGCTTTGGATACCCTTTGCGCGTTGATTTTCCAACTGGGTAAGGATTACCTACACTTCGTTGGCACGATCAACAAGGTGCTTACAGCCAACCAAATCCAACATCAAAACTACGAACTTCTCGTTAGCAAGTTACAGAAGGGCGATGTTCTACCACAAGATCTTAATGCGGATGACCGATACCGGTACCAGGACAGTGACAATGTTCAAGACCCCTCGAACAAGAAGCTCGACTCCAATCCAGTGCATCTGAAGGCTGCCTGGGATGCTACTGGCAAGTCAACCAAGGAAGATTGGCAGGAGTGGATGAGAAGATTCAGTTTGACGGTCTTGACAGAATCCCCCAACCATGCTCTTAGAGCTTGTGCTTCTCTTGCTAGTATCTACCCACCGCTGGCACGAGAGCTGTTCAATTCTGCATTCGTATCTTGTTGGAGCGATCTTTTTGAGCAATATCAAGTACCAGACCACAATCAAACCCCTCATCGATCGATAACTAACCGACCTCAGGACGATCTAATCCAGAATATCGAAGTCGCGATTCGCTCGCCGCATGTGACCCCAGATCTCCTCGGTGTTCTGTTAAATCTTGCTGAATTTATGGAGCACGATGATAAAGCGTTGCCAATTGACATCCGTGTTTTAGGTCGTGAGGCTGGCAGATGCCATGCTTGGGCTAAGGCTCTCCATTACAAGGAATTGGAATTCATTCAGGACCAATCGGGTGGGGCCGTCGAAGCCCTTATCCAAATCAACAATCAATTACAACAATACGATGCCGCTATCGGTATACTGCGTAAAGCCCAGTCGTTCAAGGATGGCATTACATTGCGGGAAACTTGGTTCGAAAAGCTTGAGCGATGGGAGGAAGCTCTGGAGTTCTACAAAAAGCGCGAACAAGAATTTCCTGATGGTGGAGATGCCTTTGATGTTATCATGGGCAAGATGCGATGTTTCCATGCACTGGGAGAGTGGGATCAACTTGCCAACTTGGCACAGGACAAATGGCATACCTCAACACTGGATATCAAGAGAAGAGTTGCCCCTCTTGCGACAACAGCTGCCTGGCAATTGGGACAATGGGACTTGATGGATGATTATCTCAGTGTTATGAAGACAAACACACCCGATCGATCATTTTTCGGCGCCATCCTGGCCTTACATCGAAACCAGTTCCGAGAATCTGCATTATATGTACAAAAGGCTCGAGAAGGTCTTGACTCGGAATTGAGCGCTCTAGTCAGCGAGTCTTACAATCGAGCATACACCGTCGTTGTTCGTGTACAGATGTTAGCTGAACTTGAGGAGCTCATCACATACAAGCAAAGCGTTAATGACCCGATCAAACAGGAGACTATGCGGCATACTTGGGAGAAGCGCCTACTTGGATGTCAACGAAATGTCGAGGTTTGGCAGAGAATGCTGAAGCTGCGCGCGTTAGTCATTTCACCAAAGGAGAACATGCAGATGGAAATCAAGTTCGCCAACCTCTGCAGAAACTCTGGCAGAATGGGTTTGGCAGAGCGGTCTCTGAAGAGTTTGATTGGCAATGACGATACTCTCGATTTGTTGTTGCCTTGGACTGAAACTAACCCTCGACAAAACGGCCATCGAAAGATGGCGAAGATTCATCCACACGTGGCATATGCTGTTCTTAAGTTCCAATGGACCGCAGGCAAGCGGGGCCCGTCTCTCGATGGACTCAAGTTATTGACCGATGATATGAAGAAGAAATTGGATGCTGCACACGCGGGCCAACAAGGCGTCATGAACGGCGATACTCATGTCAATGGTCCCAATGGTGTTGCTGGTTATATCAATCCAAACGCTATCGGTGCCAATAATCCTGGCTTGTGTGCTGCCGCAAGGGCTACTACCACCAATCTTCTCGCAAGATGTTTCCTTAAGCAGGGCGAGTGGCAAGTTGCTCAGAACCAAGGTGACTGGCATCATGAACACATCCACGATGTTCTGGAATCTTATCGTGCTGCAACTCATTACAATCCCAACTGGTACAAGGCTTGGCATGCGTGGGCTCTGGCAAATTTTGAGATTGTCCAATCTATGAATGCAAGCTTGGACCGTAATCGTGATGTTATTGTTCCCCCGGACGTACTAGCCAGCCACGTTGTACCAGCTATTCGCGGATTTTTCAAGTCAATTTCTCTCTCTCACTCAAGCTCTCTACAAGATACTCTCAGACTTTTGACCTTATGGTTCTCTCACGGTGGAAGCTTAGAGGTCAACACCGCAGTCAGCGAAGGTTTCACGTCAGTGAGCGTCGATACATGGCTCGAAGTCATTCCTCAATTAATTGCAAGAATCAATCAACCAAATCATCGTGTACGACAATCGATCCATACCTTGCTTTCGGATGTTGGCCGAGCTCACCCACAGGCCCTCGTTTATCCTTTGACCGTTGCAATGAAGTCAGGCCCCAACACTCGTCGTTCAAGATCGGCAGTACAGATCATGGACAGTATGAGACAACATAGCGCTAAACTTGTTTCACAAGCTGATATAGTGAGTCACGAACTCATTCGTGTTGCTGTTTTGTGGCATGAACTCTGGCATGAAGGTCTTGAAGAGGCTTCTAGACTCTACTTTGGTGATCGTAATATCGAAGGCATGTTTAGCACACTTGCACCTCTACACGACATGCTTGATGAAGGACCTCAAACACTTCGCGAAATTTCCTTTATGCAAACATTCGGTCGCGATCTTCAAGAAGCTCGTGAGTGGTGCTACGCATACAGACAATCAGGAGATATTGGAGAAATCAATTCGGCATGGGATCTTTATTATCAGGTTTTCCGAAGAATTGCTCGGCAATTACCACAACTAAACAACCTTGAACTTGCATATGTATCGCCCAAGCTTCTTTCGGCTCGCGACTTAGATCTTGCTGTGCCTGGCACATACCAGAGTGGTAAGACAATTGTGCAAATCGTCAACTTCGAGACCAATTTCAGTGTCATTTCATCCAAGCAGAGACCACGAAAACTTGTTCTCAACGGAAGTGATGGCAAGCAGTATGCTTTCCTTCTGAAGGGTCATGAAGATATTCGTCAAGATGAGCGTGTTATGCAGTTGTTCGGTCTTTGCAATACTCTTCTACACGGCGATTCCGAGTCTTACAAGCGACACTTGAATATCCAAAGATATCCAGCTATTCCATTGTCGCAGAGTTCAGGTCTTCTGGGATGGGTTCCGAATAGTGACACTCTTCATGTTTTGATCAGAGAGTACAGAGAGAGTCGCAAGATCCTGCTTAACATTGAGCATCGTATCATGCTTCAAATGGCACCAGACTACGATAACTTGACACTCATGCAGAAGGTTGAGGTCTTCGGCTATGCATTAGACAATACCACCGGCCAAGATCTTTATAGAGTGCTTTGGTTGAAGAGTAAGAGCTCAGAGTCATGGCTTGAACGAAGAACAAACTATACTCGATCATTGGGTGTTATGTCTATGGTCGGATACATCCTTGGTCTCGGCGATCGTCATCCTTCCAATTTGATGCTCGACAGAATTACTGGAAAGATTATCCACATCGATTTCGGTGATTGCTTCGAAGTTGCTATGCATCGCGAGAAGTACCCCGAGCGAGTTCCGTTCCGATTGACCCGAATGTTGACCTACGCAATGGAGGTTGGAAACATTGAAGGAAGTTTTAGGATCACCTGCGAAAACGTCATGCGTGTTCTACGTGACAACAAGGAATCTCTCATGGCAGTCCTCGAAGCTGTAGGTACCACTTGGCCCACCACTGACAACATTATACTAACTACAAAATAGTTCATCCACGATCCTCTCCTTAACTGGCGCCTAACCAGTGACGCATCACCAGCAGGTCCCAACTTTCACTCTGACCGTCGCGACTCCATAATGGGCGATCGCCGACCCTCGATCATGGACGCCGACATCCCACCCACAGCTCTCATGGCACAAGATCCCACGGGTCTTCCTGGTGGCGCACCACCTTCCTCTCGTCCGCGTGCACGAACTAACTCGACTCTTCCGGCCAAATCTGACGATGGCGAGCAGCCGGAAAGTCAGAATGAGAGAGCGATGCAGGTTCTTAATCGTGTTAAGGAGAAGCTTATTGGACGCGACTTTAAGCCCGAGGAGGAGTTGACTTATATCGATCAGGTTGATAAGTTGTTGGTTGAGGCGACGAAGTTTGAGAATTTGTGTCAGCATTACATTGGATGGTGTAGTTTCTGGTAAAATCGGGGTTTCCTTTTTTTAGGTCGGCAATTTCGATGTCTGTTGAGTTTTTCTAATGGATGGATGGAATGGAATGGGCATTGAAGGCGATGGATGGATGGGGATCTGGGTGTAGTGGCGTCTTTTTTTTTCCCGCTGCTTTACTGAGCTAGGAAGGGAAGTGATTTCTGAATGGTAGCTTTGAGAAACTTGAGCATGAAATGAAATGGGATTGAATGGTCTTTTTGTTGGTGGAGATGGGTATTTGAGGGTGGTGGGTGTAATACTTTGTATTGTAGGGTAGCAAGTGATACCTTTGATTGTTACCGTTTTTCTCCAAGATTCGTGATCTTCAAGTCGACGTAAGTGGAATGAAGCGGGTGAATCAACCAGGCACAAGCACCTGGTGAAGAGAGTCAGGATCTATTGTATGCATACTCGAGTACCGAGAGCCAAGATGCTGACTAGGTAACTCTTGCCTTATAAAACACAAAATCCCAAGAACAACCCCCAGAATACCGCCCTATAGTACTCTGAAGCTATTACGTCCCAGTACTAGCGAGCCTTGGCTATACCTGTGGTCCTTCCTATATCGTAGCCAGCACCCCCTTCTTCATGAGCTACATCTGACAACAAGTCTACGAACCACTCCATCAAAACCTAAAACCTCTTCCCAAAGAAAACAAACACAAAAGCTCACCACAGCCATGTCCTCCAAACCATCTTCCTCCAAGAACCAACCTACCTCCTCCAATAAGCAATCCTCTTCACCTGCCAACCAATCCACCTCCTCCAATAACCAAACTTCTACAACTGTCAACAACAACTCCTCCAGCAACAACGCAAGACCCTGCTCTCCAAACCCCGCCGACAAGAGCGATTACCGATGGCTCAAAGACTCCGGCTGGGAGAACATGCATCATTTTTTATTGAGCTATCAACTCAAGCCCTATGACGACGAAGACTGGGTGGAGGGAAAGCGTATTTTCAAGGCTTTTAGAGAGGATGAGCAGGAGGAATGGGAGGAGCGGCATGGTAAACGGTGAATTGAGGGATTTTACGGTGTGATGGGCTCTGGGTATGTTTCTTTTGGGTGGTGGAGTGGGTGTGTGTGCTGATTTTATGGAGTGGATTGAGGATAGGGATTAGGACTTGAGGTGGATGATGAAGGAACTGGGTTTTGAGAGTATGGAATATTAGGGATTTGGGGCATTATGGGCTTTCTGGTACTGTATTGTTCGTTGAGCAGTTCATTGATCGGTTTCAGGTATAGCATCTCACTGGAATTTTGGTGATCCTAGAGTGGATAAAAGTGAATGTCCATTATCCCTAGAGTGTGGCAATTCCTTGATTATAGTGCCATACCTTGACACATCTACTTTAATGAAAGCTTGAAGGGGGACTTTGGCCCTTTGCTTTTCTCGTGGAAGTCTCTTAATTGATGCCAACAATAACCACTCATCAAAAACATTCGCACCTACTAGCCTAGTATCTCTTCTATTTGCAAACTTCGTGATGAGTCTTCCTCCGTGTCTTTGGAGTCTAACTCCGATCGTATATATAGCCGAGTCAATCTTTTCTATAAGTTTCGAGATTCGAGACCGTCCAATTTCTTTCCACAGATGATTCCGTACATACGCGTTTGACTATGTTGTGTTTGTTCTGATAGAGGTCTTCAATTGGCTACTTTGATAAATCGGTTACAACTGTGGTGCTTCACACTCCTGCCAGTGGCAGAATGCTGAGCAAAGCCTCTCTCTCACCATCTTGACTGAGCTTTGGGAAGCTCCTACCTCGTCTAAATTCGTGATCACGATGGTGGCTCTTCTGCGTATTCTTTTTATTATTAAGGCATTGATTGAGGAACTAGTGAAGGAAGTAAAGATATAGCGTGCCAGACACTGGGAGGATTAGGCCTTGCAGAAAATATATCTTAAAGATAGTATTTCGCTGAAATGGACTTGTAGGGTACAAGAGGTTTTCTTCTGGTATCTTTGGAGTTCTTACGATTTCTTGGAGAACGTCGCAAAATGCTTCGTTATTAACCTGAGAAGAGTAGCTTAGAGTATTCTTAAGATAATAATACTCATCCGACAAAGGTTTATTTGATCAAAGTATTCTAAATTTAGTAAACAATACTTTTAACAATTGAATAGTAATACTTTGATCTGTATTTAAAAAAGGCTAAAGATAGTCTATCGATTAATGTTTATTGGTTTCTTTGAATCAAGAAAAGAGAAGATGTGACTTACAAAACACTAGATTAGATCACTTCGTTGTTTTATGTTTCTAATTTGCTTTCACAGTTCATGTCAAGGCTATCAAAATCGGATTCACTTTTTATTAATTTTGTTATGCCAACGATTTCAGTATAATTGGTGTTATTTCAGTTATCACCGAAGTATAACTGATAACCGTCTGATCTCAAAGTTCCTATTCAACATCTCAGTCCTCAATAACAACAACTTGGCCACCATCGTCATCTTCAACACTGTCTGCATCCTGAACTTCACTGTTGGCTTCAATACCATCAGCGGCTTCATCATCTTCCTCATACTCATTTGAAACACTCTTTCTGGGTCTTCCTCTTGGTCGGCCAGATGGAGTACCAGAATGAGTGCCTCGACCTCGCCCAAGGCTTGGTCTTCCTCTAGATGCGCCTCGGCCCCTTCCACCACCTCTGCCCCTGCCAGTGCCTCTACCTCTGATACTTGCACGACTTCCTCTTGGTCTACCCCTACCCTGGATTGGATTTCCTTCCTTCTTTGCCTTCTTTCTCATCATCTTTTTCTTCTTAGCGGAAAGAGCGATCAGGGCTTCCTCATCACGACTTCCCCACTCAGAATTGGAATCGTTGGAATCATCTTCGGAGACCACGAAACCGTCAAGTTTGGCACGTTCCTTCGCGGAGGGCTCGTCTTCATCGGTAGTGTCTCCGGCTTGTGAGTCAACCTCTTTTGTGAAGAAGATCCATTCCGTTACCATGAGTTGGCCTGGTGGTGGTGGTTGGTTATCCTCATTATCTCCATCATCGGAATCGTGATCATCGCCTTCATCTTCGTCATCAATGAGGTCATCTTCTGGCCAAATTGCTTCTCGATACAACTCGCTTGATACCTCTTTTTCTCCATGTTGTTCGTGTTGTTGGACTAGATCGACTAATGTCTGATTTATCTGCTCATGCCAGTCTAGTGCTGTCATAGGTGGTGCGCCTCGAGGGATCTGAAGAACGTTTTTTTGCATAAACTTCATGATCTCGGGAATTTTGGGAGCATCAGTGCCTCCACAAGTTCGGTAAGCGTCCCACGCCAAAGCTGCGAAGAACTCGATCGCCCCCTTTGATGAGCCCTTATCCGCTATTGTAAGTAAGAACATATTGTAGTAGAATTGGCCAAGGCGATAATCAGAAACATCCTCAATTCTGCTGATCATACTCAAAAGGCCCCGTCCAATCTTGAACGCAGCGCCGAGTGTCTCCTTATCAAGTTCATGGGCTTTGCTGGCAAGCTTTGTATGAATGCGTAGCTTTCTTTGGATGATGTCATGATTCTCATTACTCTCGTGGAAACGCTCAAGTTGTTGTTCGTCCTCTCTGTCTAAGATGCGGCACCAGGAGCAATAGCAGTTGATTCTGTAGTATTTCCAAAGGTAATTTCTATCAAATTTGCACTCGGGAACGTACGAGATTGTGATTTGGTCACCGGCGTTGATATCTTCGATTGCGTGGAGAGTAGCGACGTTCATCTTTGAATTGAAGCTTTGCATGGAGTTTGGACGACAAGAGTGATTCACCTTGCAGAGGAAGACGGGAAAGAGACCGATGCTGTCTGAATGTTCGTTTGAAGGGTCCGGCGACAATGGTATAGCGTTTGACTTGAAGATGCCGCTACTATTGTGTTAAGATAGAGGGTTTTGTTGTGAGGGACTCGGAGAAGACTTACCTATAATGTGTGTCGATATACACTTTCTCTCCGAAGTTGCCAATGTCCTTGCACGGGAAGTTGTTCGTCAATTCATTAACTTTTTCTTTAGTCGCCTCGTCAAACTCCTCGAACTCAACCTTCAAGCGGTCTTCTATGGCCTGATTCTGAGGAAGGAGCAAGATGCTTGTTTTGCAAACCAGAGCCGGTTCCTCGAGGACGATTCGTGTTCCCGCAGGAATCATGCGGTTAGCGACTAGACCTTCCCCAAGGTCGTGTTCGCCCGTAGGTCTTGATACTCGTGCCAAAGGCACAGGGACACTCGCCGCCTTCTTCTTTGGTGGCATGATGTCGAATTCTTGGTGGAAAGAGATGCGCAGCGCAGCGCAGAGTGCGGAGATTGTGGAGGGGTTGAAGAGTTCTGAAGATGAGGACTTGACAAGATCAGATGAAAGCTTAGGCTAGCCTTCTCTATTTTGAAATGGGTGGCAGCAGGCTACACGCGTGTGTGGGGCGGAAATGAAATTATCCGGTTGGCTGTTCAATGAGGACGTTGCTAGTGAATGCCAGCACACCTATCTGCTCCCTAGAATTCACTGGGTACTACATAACACTCACTATATTTGGGCTTTGAGTAAATTTGAAAATAGGGAAAGAGTTGGCGTTTGTGCTTTTCAATTATTCTCTCTCCCTATTTTCTGATGTTGCCCCCCCTGAATCCTCTCGCTTAATCTTGAATGTGCATACTTCGTGGTTTTTTGCGCAAAGAAAATAGTGGTAACAGAAGCACAATTTCTTGATAGTAACCTAGAAACATAGTATTCTACTCAAATGGTTAGTACATTTGTTCTTTGTCAATTTTAGCGAATAAGAGTGGTTTTCAGAACCCTGTTTCTGTTATAACTTCTCAAAATCCAGGAGAACTACATAAAGCCACTCCTCAAACAAATTTTGGTGAAAACTGTGTTAGAATGGGTTTCACATTTCTTTTGAGGCAGTAATGTTTATGGCTTACGACTTGAAGACTCATGTTTTGTCTTTTATTTGATTTTTAATAACTATAATACTTTCTCTTTATATAGAAATGCCGCGATATATTGACGTGTTTAATCACGTGATAATCCAGTGCTATATATATGCCTGGATTCCATAGGACAGAGAGAACAATACGACTATTAGAACCACTATTTGTGCCTTTGTTGTTGTCTCCTTGCCTCTGATATCTCTGATATCTCTATACCAACAAGAGAGCTTCAAGTATCTACTTTACAGCTCTGAACAATTACTTTATGTTTCAACTCCTCTTGAAGACCTTCTGACAACAAATTTGCAAAAAGAGTAGGTAGTGGTTACTTACTGTTAGTCATCTTATTTACTACAGGCGCTGACAGTCCATAGGCTAGTTTAAGGCAAGCTATTACAATAATATTGGACTGGACAAAATAGGTCATATTGTAACATAAACAGCCCCTCATAAAATATTCAATTGTTAAAAGTATGGACTATAACTTGAACCTACAATCTCATGCATAAGCAAAGAAAAAATAGAAATAAATAAGACAACAGGCCAAGACAACAGGCACAAGTTCCTGACCAGTAGACGTTAGAATGATCAACTTCCACAGGCACGACTATCTTCAGAGAACCATACATAAAATCACCCTGAATGACCTTGCCTTCTAATTCCCATCCTTCTATTCTGCTTCATCTGATGAGTCTTCCTCCACAAAACCCGAAAAGCCCCTTGCTTTGCTTCGTACCATATATTCGTAGAATTCTCTTCCGTATGCAAAGGGATAGTTATCACACCAGGAAAACTATTTGTCAAGAGAAATTGACTCCAGTACTGATATGGCTTCTTCAAATTTGCCCTCCTCCCATAAAATTGTCGACAAGGTAAAATGAAGGCAAAGGAAATCCTCCTCATTTTCGTTTATTGTATGGATACAAGCTTTTAGAATATCTATCGCGCTCTGGAGCTTCCCTAATTTCATTTGGACAAATGCTAGATTGGAAACTGTGAATATGACCAGAGCTGTATCGTAATTTTCGCTTGAAACGCCATCGAATGGCATACCCGTTTCTTTCAGAACTCGAAAGAATAGTTTCTCCGCTTCCTCAGTATCCTCATTGAATTTGAGAATGATGCCGGTGTTAAGAAGACCATACAATATGTTTGGGTGATGGAGAACAGGGCTGTCTTGACACGCTGTGCAGCCATCGAGTATCAGATTATATACTTGTTCGCCAGCCAGAGCCTTATTTGCACATATTACAAAACCTGGGTCATTTGATTCAATTATACCGGTATCAGCTATAGAGGTAAATATTAGTCCGGGAGTAACGACGGCTAGGTCAAACTCTGCTCTGGTCGGTTGAAATCTGAATCTTCGGAAGGCCTGCATTTGCAACTTTTCATTTTGAGTGCGTTTGTACCAGTTTAGGAGATGGCTTCGGGCGTTGTTTTGCTTGAGAGACTTAGACGGTTGCATATCTTTCCTGGCCATCTGTAAGTTCCCCTTTTTGTTATTCGATTGGATAGTTTCGTTTCCTGAATCTGGAGAGCCTTGGGCTTTCTCGGACTCGAAAGGCACATCATAAATTCGTTTGAATTGTACACCACAATTGTCACTGAAAGATACGCAAATGGGAGATACCTACCAGAAGGTGTAGGCGTTTGTTTTACCCACATCTTTCTTCACAAACAGGACAATTATACCATTTTTCACCACGACTTTGATCCAGGGTCCAGCTGAAAACAATCTCCATACCTAAACACATCCCAGGATAGATAGTTTGCCAGTCTTTTGAAAGCGTAATCTGGCGTTTTGTTCGTAAATCTTCGATGGCATACTCCATGTTGACAATTTTATCGTAGCCAGTCTCTTTGAACCGACCCATTAGCCAGTCTTGAAGGACTTATCAAGAACAATCAGTGATATGATTAAAAAAGAAAAGTTTACCATGGGATAAAGAGGAGTGCCTACGGTATGCGAATAGACGAAATCAAGATGGAAATGAGTTTCCTTGCCAAACGCATCAATGAAGGTTATTGGTTTACATTTGTTGTTAGCACTGGGAGTTTGGCCAATTTCTTGTTGTTGTAAAATGCCTTGGACTATTTGTGAGTTGGAGCGCCTTCCAAGGAATAGTCTTAGTCCTTTAGCACATAAGAGGCGCTGGTGATACATACACAATGGAATCCGTTGCCTCTAACAGCCTGTCTGACTTTTGTCCGAGACTTCTACATGTTAGCTGGATCATGAAATAAGACTATTGGTACATACCCTCCCAGTGTGCCTACTAGGTAAGACATAGTGTTATTATAGTTCTGCTGAGTGAGGCTTTTGATGCTCTCTTGGCCAGATCTGGTCCTGTGGAAGTGAAGTTTCGCGGACTCGCTTCGCCAGAAGTTAGCATGCGCAATCTGTGGAAGCTCCTGCAAGACTTACATCTGGATAAGATTAAGAATCAAATTTATCGCGGAAACATTTCCTACAATCTCTGCTCGATACCCTTCAATCTCGCCCTCCGTCAGAACAGCCCACCGAACCTTTCTCCATCTTTGCGTCCATTTCTTCGACTTTCCATTCGTGGCAAGATGGCCCTGGAAAGGCTTAAGTTTTGTGAGTAGTCTGTCGATCGTTTTCTGACATTGGCTGGCTGCAAAGTAGGAAGAACGGTGTAAAGCTTCCAGCTCCTGGGAATATGGGCTATTTGATATTGAATCGACACCCTGAAGTGTCCCATCGTCTGATCTCAAATCTTTTATTCCATGAAGAGCTCTCTCAAGAACGTATAGTTCAGCAATCAAACTTCCAAACGAGGCTGTAGATTCTGACGCGGCAGATAAAGCGGAGGTTATCTGAATGACGAGGTTAATTCCAGCGATAAAATCACCGATCGAGAAACCGAATGAGGCGGCCATTTTCACTTTGATAGCTACGGCAGCTGCTCAATGGCGTCCATGAGATTGAATAGTTTCGAGAACGTCTTTACACATGTATGAGTCTGATGGTGATTTTGTACGGAAATTGTGCATAGCCACATCATGGGTGAGGCGAGGTGCAGAATACTACCTTACACTGCACACGGTCAGGACAATTCTTGGTGTGGCCATGTCATGGCAGATTAAAATGTTCCCAAGTGGCTTTCTCGACCATCGAATGGGGATACGTGTTACAGTAATCAACCCGCTTCCTCGTCCCTCTTGTAATTGGTCACGTTTCGTCACATTTTGCTTAAGGAGTTTATGGTTGTTGGTAAAGCAGGATAATTGGACATCTGAATCCTTCATACAAAACATTTGCATTTGATGAGAAACATTTCGGGAAGTTTCTGTTTAATAATAGAAAAACAGGCCAAAATTACCGAATATGATAAAAATATTAGCTTGGTCGGGCATTTTAATAAAGCAATCCAGAACTAGATACCAACATGTTGCGTGATTACGCCCTGTTAAAACAGGGGGTCACTAGCCCCCAATAGTGTGTATAGGACTTAGTCAGCTCAGTGAGCATAAATCCCCCGCTCGCTCGCTCATATATGCTTGACGGGCTTAATCAAAGTTCTGCTCTTTCTCATTCCAGGAACCATCTCCACCTCTACTACAGACTCTATAACCATTTCTTTAGCCCGGGTATTGACTGAAAGATGGCAGAACTCGCGCAAGATCCAAGCAGCAATGAATCTTGGAAATTCGTCGCACCGCTCGATGGTGGTGCATATGTACTTGGTCCCCAAACCCCACTATCAGATATATCAGCAGGACCTGGCAGTATCTGTGCTGTCTGCGTCAAAGTGTTTCAGGGATATCGCGATTTTTTAGCTTTCACTGAGAAGAATCCCATCGAGCATCGTGGCACATACCTGCCCATAATTATTCCATGCCAATCAGCTACAATATCCAACGACAGTGGTTGCAGCTTGTGCAAAAATGATTATTAAATTTTCGGAAATTATTAAACAAGCAACACATCTCACAGTGGCAATTTATTCAAAATATATTGGGATCTCTGCTGAGCCTCCATTTGGACCACACTTTTCATTTTCTATATACTCAACCGAGACGGTCAGTGCTTCTGATACCAATCTTGCATCATTGCTTATAGTCAGTTAGGAAACATCAACAATGAAAAGACTGGTCGAGATACAGGAGGAGAAATCAAACGGATCGATTCGAGGGTCAACTCTATCTCAGTCGAGATCCTGGTTGTCCCAATGTTTACAACATCACGAAAATTGCGCTTCTAGTCATACGTCACTTCTGCTTCCCAAACGGCTGCCTACACGGTTATTAAAGATCAAGAAAGAGGAAGACGTTTACTCCGTATGCGTCGTCGAGACTTCTTCCCTATCTCCCAAAACAGATTATGTGACATTGAGCCATCGCTGGGGTACAAGCAGGCACATCACTTTAACTTCCACAACATATACAGGTTTTTTGAGAGATTTACCTTGGAGAGAGTTGCCCAAAACATTTGTCGATGCTATCGAGTTGATAGTACTTCTTCAATTCAACTACATATGGATTGACTCGCTCTGCATCATCCAAGACTCTAATCACGACTGGGTCAAGGAGGCATCAATGATGGCTCAAGTTTATTCTTTTTGTATACTCAACATATCTGCGGATGCTGCCATAGATGACGACGGTGGATTGTTCCAACAACACTATGAAAACTTTTGCGTGACAGGTTTCAAATCGAACGGCAAGCACCGCAATTTCGTATGGCATAGCGATGGCATGTGGGAGGAGAACATCGAGGCCGAATGCATAGGGGTGAAAGCCTCTGAATTGGGCCTCAGAGGCTAGGTTGTGCAAGAGCGAATTCTATCTCCGAGAATTTTACACTTTGCTAAAGATCATGTTTACTGGGAGTGTGATCAACAGAGATTTGCAGAGATATTGCCGACATACTCACTTAGTCGTGACCCTGACGTGCTTCGCAAAAGTTTGCCAGAAACTGAATTCGAGACATACCACGCACGTATGGTCCGAAACCGTACAAAAGTATTCTCGTTGCGATCTTACCTTTTGCTCGGACAGGCTTATCGCAATTTCGGCGCTGGCAAGACGAACTTGCGCATCATTAAAATTGTCTCCTAAAGATTACCTCGCAGGGCTATGGAGACCTGAACTAGATTATGAACTCTTGTGGTATACACCTTCGAAGATTTACGATCAGGAGGAAACGATTTCAAGTTGTCAGGTCTGGGACTCTGACCAGGTGGGAGCACCCTCTTGGTCATGGGCATCTTGTAATTTTCACGTCTTGTTACCAGTAAGAGATCCGCGCAATGAGCTTGTCAACTGTTTGGTGGTTCTTGAGGCAGAAACCGTTTTTGGTAATGATCCATTTGGCAGCTTGAGTGGTGGTCGTCTCCTTGTTCAACCTCCTCTTCACCACATTGAACACTCCAAGAAACCCACAGGAACACTTCCCGAAGAGCCATTTTTCCCTGGGCACGGAAAGTCAGATAGTCCATTGCCCATCAAAATAAGGTGGGATCATGACTGGGAGTCGACATGGGACGAAAAAGGCTATCTCAAGCCTAAATCACTGTATTGCATGTGTATTCAAGCTGGCACAGGCAGTTTCTGTGGTGTCTGCTGTCTTGTCTTGCAGCCAACAGGACAAGGCATTGGCCAGTTTCGATGACTGGGAGTATCCACCTTGAACATGGATACTGGATCCAAAGTAGAGCGCTTGCTCAAGGAAAGCAGGAATTTCGCATTGGTTCCCGCCAATATGTATAAGGCACATGACGCGGAGAAGGGATTCACCATCGAAATCGTTTAGCTTTAACATTTTCCTATTCATCCTTCACAATAGAAATATACAAACCCAAGATTCCCAGATCCAACTCTTTTTGCCTGACAAAATGCTTTCGCATATGATGCTCACTGTATGCCATGGTATAAGTAAGGAGCCTCAAGTCGATACTTACGGTATCTGAAAACTCCAAACTCCGCCGTCCTACTAGATACCGAGACAAAAACACTAGACTCATGAACCTCTCCTCTCATATCCCTCCTTCCACCATGCAAAATTAGTAAAACAAACGTCACATAAAATATTAACGTTTCACTTCCTACTTATTCGCTTACTGTATACAGACATACTAGATAAAAGGAAAATAACGAGAGACAATAGCAGTAGCGGCCAAGAAGGCACCAGCGAGAGTGAAGAGGGGTTTCCAGTTGTACTTCACTTAAAAAAGAAGGCAATCAAGGAACGATAAGGTTGGATTGTCTGAGAGAAGATACTTAAGTACTGTATCTAAGTAGGGAAATGAGAGATATAAAAAACTGTTATCCAAGTACTAGGTACAGTACTCAAAAACCTATCATCTTCCCAGCAACGGTACCGTAGAAGAAGATATTTCCAAAGCAGTTCTCTTCGCTATCGCTATATACTGTAGCAAACTACCACTTCCACTTCCACTTCACCACCTCACCACCTCACGTCCCAAACAACAAAAAAAGGGCAACAAAAACAATCCATTTATCTATCCCCGAGAAGTTTAAACAACAATGATATCTAATAAAATAAAACGCCGATCATATCATAATCATAAACTCGTTAACCTCTCCTGGTATCCCTCCTCCACTCCCAACTCTGCCTTTTGACCTCAACCTCTCGACCACCCAGAAAACAAAAAAGCAACAATAACACGAAAAGCAGAAGGTATATAAATCACTCCCTCATCTATCTCCATCTTCCGCATTCGGCATCCACAAGATAAGAACACACCACCACAGCAGACAAAAGAGAAACAACATCTAATTACCCACAACCCCCGCCTCAACATCCACCTTCTTCTTCCTCGGCGTCTCCACCAGATTCGCCAAATCAGGTGCAACCCACAGGTTCCCCTTGACAGCACCCTCAATCGTCTTATACGCGACGACGAGCCAGAGGAGGGTTACGGAGATGGATGTGATCTATGTTAAGTCATCAGTAAAAGTACAAGCAGGAAAGGGAAGGGTTGGAGTGAGAGGAAGAGAAGAGAAAGGAAAGGTGGGGGAAACATACAGTCCCAAAAACATCAAAAAACCGACTCGGCAGCTCCCGTCCCATCTGCGTCGTACTCGCCGTAAAAACACCCAACGGGAAAGTAAATCCCCACCAGCCCATGTTAAACGGGAACCTCTTCCTCGACACACTAGCAACAGCAAAGAACATCCAGACCATCGCAAAGCCCCACATGATCGTAGCCACCATCCAACCAACAACATACAAGATATCCCCAGAGCGGGTGGTGCTCTCTTGCAACGTCTGTGTTTGTGGGAATACAGTCATGGCGACTTTGCCTAGCTGCATGATCCCGAAGCCACCTTGGCCTAAGGGGCCGAGGGGGAGGAAGACGGAGACAGCGACCTCGACGGGAGGGAGGTGGTGTAGGGTGAGGCGTTGGAAGTACATTACTAGGACGACCATGGCGAAGGGGACGCCGGTGCCCCAGAGGATGTAGGAAGCTATGACGGTCCAGAGGGCGTGTTGGGGGTTGGGGAGGACTTCGGCGACGATGCCGCCGGTTGCTGCTGCGACGATGGTTGATACGATGGGTAAGAGCCAGGCGGCCGTCATTTTTTCGAGCGCGGATTCGTGGAGGTACATTCTGTGGGTTTGTGTTACTAGGTGAGAAGGAAAGGGGGTTGTTGGAAGACTTACATTGCGAAGGGGACGTAGAGACAGCAGGCTAGGGAGACGACCATGTCTATCCACCATAGTCCCCATGCCTGGTGTTTTGTTAGATATGGACAACGAAGAGGGGAATGTGAGCTTTACCAATTGAACGGCTGGGTAGCCCCAAGCTGGTACGCAGACGAAGACTATCATGTTGATAATTGTGGCAAGACCCATAGGGAATGTTCCCAGGAAGAGACTTTGTGCTGGATGGCGGATCATAACGCCCCAGATTTTAGGATACAACGAGTAACGTGCAACCGAGAGTAGAAAGAAGACGATGAATAGAACGACATTGAGAACAAAGATTATGACCGAGATGTAGTACAGCCAGTCCCCGTTATATGGCAAGTTATGTAGAAGAATCGAAGTAATACCAGTTCCCATATTCACAGAGAACCATCTATGAATCACAATATCAGCATAAGAAATGACAATCAAATGAGGTGGTCTTACGATGGTGTGAAGCTTCGAACAATCTTCCGCCATCCTCGTTCCCTTTTAGATTTGGTTGCGTCCCACGACGATGGCTGGGTCTTTTCTCCTCCATGAATGATGGTATTATTGACTTGAAGCGTTGATGGACTGCTGCTTTCTCGTGAAAAGGTATTATCTGATTCTGGACCACTATCTTCTCTCAACCCCGCAGCGGGTGTTGGATGTGGAGCTCCAGTATACTCCATCGCCATCTTGTATAATGATAATGATAATGATGATTTCTAGTGCGAAATATATGCGGAACAAGATTTGGGTTGGTTAGTAAAACTTTGAATAGAAGAGAAGAAAGTCAAATAAGAAAAGAAGAAGACTGAGCAATATTATTGAAGCGAGTAAAGAAATGACCTAACACTACATGAGATACATAGGAATGATCAAAAGAGGAAGGAAAGAGGCATTTTAGAGTGAGCAAGTTTAATATGCTCCACTTGAGACCAAAAAGTGGCAATCTTTGAGCTACTGAAATATCTGTAAACAGTTGTTGCTGGATCATCCCCACCAAGACCCCTAATGTACCCTCAGCCGATCTCATCTTTCATTGGAAAAAGAAGGAGGGTGCTCGACTAGCAAATGTTTCATCTCAGGTAAAGCGAGACTATAGGGCCGGGGCGAATAAAGTGCGGTGAGCAAGAGGTGATGGTACAGATAATAACCCAATGCGGCTTATTTCAGAAGAGATGATGGATGGACCCTCAGATTATGCAAGAGATCCGTCAGACTTCCGTTGGTGGGAATTTACCAAGTGGATAGGTGCATGCGAGAGAGGAAGTACAAACGATGGGAAAAAACAGAACAGGGAGTACAAACAGGGGCTACGGAAGATACGAGTGATTGATCTGTCTGAAAGAAACAAACATAAAGCCAAACGGAGTAATTCATCAAACAAAACATTCTTCCTTCCGAGTCTGTATCTGGCCATACTATTCATAGCTGATCTCAAGCCTGTCATAGGTAGGCGAGTAGGTTGAATTCAGGTATGACACTGTGTAGGGAAGAAAGTACCGAAAATGGCTCTGGAGGTACCAATACACGGAAAAGGCTAAGCGACTCAGTTGATCAGACCAAAACACCACTCCTCGTGGCCACTCGGGGAGTGATAGGCGACGAGAATTCGCTTGGCGGGATTTAGCTGACCTGATCAAGGAGGCTGGAATCTTTCCATTGACAAAGCATTTGTGTGACTTGCAGGGGGTGGAAGAAATGTGCGTCTCGTCTGCGCAGAGGACGTCACAGCCGTCACAGCAGCCATCTGAAGTTTAGATCTACATGCACATGCGATGCGGAAGGTAGAGGTTGTGCTGAGGAAGGAAGGAACGAGGTCATTCAACCTTGCAGGCACAAGCGAGAGGGCGAGAGGGGCGGGCGGGGTCGAGGAGGGTCGAGGGTCACGGTTCACGCTAAAAACGATCTCCACCAAACCCTGTGGGTAGACCAGGCATGCGCTGCTAATGGCTGCCGGCATTCAAGCTAATGCCATACGTAGCTACCTAATGCCGCATCTGACAGGTATCGACTAGATATCTTTCACAGCTTCCTCATACAACACCAAGAGACCCCATTCCATCGAGCTGAGGAAAAACTGCGATATCGCCGGAATCTATTGGTCTTCGGCACATCATAGCACAGCACCAGTACCACTTCGCACCGCACTGCTCGGCGCCGTGCATGGCGGCGTCCCCTACAGGTACCACACAGTTGATAGCATCGCTGTCACAACAACGTGCAGCCTTCGCGACAGCATTTGCATGCACGATGCCGATGCTTGAGAAGGACTGAGAAGCTGCCGGGTGCAACTTTAACTGCCAAATCTACCACGCGAATCCCGTCACTGCGCGCCTGTATCCAGTGGACACCACCAAGATCTAGCATACGAGGCAGAATAGACCGAAGCCAACATCATGGACGACGACGACGAGTACGGCGCTGATGCCGATGTTCTGGCAGCGTTGATGGCCTCCGAGTCCGCTGCCACCGCTTCTGCTTCTGCTTCTGCTCCTACTCCTGCTCCTGCCCTTTCGAACCGCATCCAACAACCCACTCCACAGCGTATACAGCAACCAACCACTCAACGTCTCGACCGTGCCCCTCCCGCCAACAATGCTTCGAGCGCACCCAAAGTTGTTCAGCCAACGCCCCAGGTGTTTGCGTCACGATCCACGGGCTCATCTATTTTGGTCTCGACGCGCCAAAAAGGCAACCCGATTCTCACCAATCTTAGATCTTTTCCTTGGGAGTACTCGGATATCCCTGCCGATTACGTACTTGGGGCTACTACGTGTGCGCTCTTCTTGTCGCTGAAGTACCACCGTTTGCATCCAGAATATATCTACAACCGGATCAAGAATTTGCAAGGCAAATATAATCTTCGAATCGTATTGACCATGGTGGACATTGCGAATCACGAAGACAGTCTAAAGGAGCTATCAAAAACCAGTTTGGTCAACAATGTCACGGTAATTTTATGCTGGAGTGCGGCGGAAGCTGCTCGATATTTAGAGCTCTACAAGAGTTTTGAACACTCCAACTCGACCGCTATTCGAGGAACGGAAAGTAAGGGCTACGCTGAGAAATTGGTAGAATTCATTACGATCCCCAGGAGTATCAACAAGACGGACGCAATATCTTTGGTGAGTGCTTTCGGGAGTATCAAAGGAGCGGTCAATGCCAGGCCGGAAGAGATTGCCCTCGTAGGTGGTTGGGGAGAGAAGAAAGTCAAGAGGTGGTGCAGTGTCGCGGATGAACCATTTAGGGCTCGGAAATCTGCCAAAAGAGGAACAGATGCACCGGCGCTTAGAGACACCGTTGGTGCCCGAGTTCAGGATGTGAATGTTTCCACGAGTGGAGCTGAACCAAGTGGTGTAACTTCCACCATAACAGGACAGAAGGAAAAAGAAATACCAGCGAAGCCATTCCATATATTGGACCCGGATGATGACGAAGAAGAGGCCATGGCCGATGCAGCGAGAGAAGAAGAGGCGAGAATTGCCAGAGAAAAGAAAAGAGAGGCTGCCAAAAAAGACGAAGAATTGAGCGGTAGACTTGCTGCTGCACTTGCAAAACTGCGGAAGAGTTGATTTTTATATTCATCATTCTGAAAAACAGAATGGCATTATTATGGATGAATCAGTACGAAGCAGATGTTCTTGGTACCATCGTCCAAACAAGTGGGACATGTCATGGCCAAGCAGCCTTCAACTTCGACGAGCCCTCGTGTTCTTTTTTTGTTTCTTCTCCTGAAACTGGCAGTTCATTGAGTCTTTCAACGATTCTCACCAAATGAATGTTCTCGCCGATTTTTTCACGGATAATTTGGTGGCTAGCTTCGTTTTAAGAGGTAGATAAAAGCCATGCAAAAGCCATGTTCAAGGTGTAAAGAAAATACATGGATTTGGAAGGGGGGCGAGCGCTCATGTCGCAAGTTACTACTCAATTATATCTGGTTCTATGGATGTACCATTTGAGGCTATTCACACTTCCCGCCTACTCGCAAGTCGGATCATGGAATGTTATGGTTGCATACCTGCACTACACCATGCATGGATAAAGTCAACACCCATGCACAATGAACCGCAAGGCTGGGATATGAGCCAAGCTGCAACAGCGGGAAAAGGCAGTCAGTCAGCGACTACTTGAAATAAATTATTAACGAGCAATGTATGCCGAGAATAAAGCGTTGATACGCAAAATGTGGTTCAGTAATCTTTCGTTTTCAGAGTTTATTCATCTATTTCATAACATGTACCCGACTAGTACCAGATCTGTGTCCATCCCATGCTGCTCTGTCCAGGGGAACTCCATGAGATCGCACTCCCAATATGCATTTGCCATTGACTTCTTCCCTTTACTTGCTGCCCTCTGAAGGATCCATTGTTTTTGATACCACCTCTTTTGCGTGGGCATCGAGAGGACCGGTTGGGTTTGATGACAATGCCTATATATAGTCAATATCATATCTTTTGGTATATAGCACAATTGAGACTGGAAAAGTCTTACCTCTCGTTGATCCTTGCTCTCTGCCTGGTTGTTGGTGTCCTTGTTGACGCTCTCTCCAGTTCCAGGAATGGATTGTTGTTGAGCGCCAGTCTGGGCCTCTGGTGGTGGGGATTGACGACCTTCAGGCATGTTGTTAATTGAGGATTTGGCTTTTGGGGATTTGTCTTGTTTATGGGTTTTTGTGATGTTCTGGGTATAACTTGTTAGCATAAGGTTCTCATGGCATGTGGCGAGGGGTAGCTAGCTAGCAGCTCCATGACTAGAGAGCTGGCCAGCTCGATTTCTCCACCTTGAAGACTTGACAACGGGGAAGTTATGATTTCGATTGATGACTTACTTGGTGATGGAGTTTTGTTGTTTGTGAGATTGAATGGATTGAATGGAATGGATTTGAGCTGAAGAAGAGTCCTTATAAATTACATACTAATCCAAGTTGTTCTTCTGATCCCACTAATTCCAGGTACGTCATACCTTGCATGATCAAGCCAAGTGCATCAAGGCGGGGCTTATTTGTGGCCTGAGGATGGAAAGGCTGCCACTTACCTCACAAGAATCGGTCAAACCCTCAAATCTGCCCAGACCCAATCAATCGGCGGGATGGGATGAACATCCATGGTTCCCATGTCACTTCAGCTCAACACGTATTGAGCCGGAAGTCAACAACACAACACACTCAATGTGAAAACAAACCACCAGAGAATCGTCTCCTTGAGATAGATACCTATCCATAGAATCCTCATTTACCAACTCGTCATATTCTGCAATACCATTACTATGGCACCAGACCTAAACTCTGTTCCTGCGTCACCAAGAACCCTCGCGGATGCCACATCCCCGCGTATCACATCTAGAAACACCCCAAGACGAGCTTCGCAGCAGATGGCTCCACCTGCATTACCTCCCACTTCCTTGAATATTCTGCCCTCGAACCAAAGTGCTGTCAACCATATCGGTTCTCCTCCCTTGACATCTCCAACTATGCCATATACTTCTATGACTGCAGCTCCGGTGGGAGATAATACAGGAGTCGGGACTGGACCGGGTCCTTTGAGACATCCCCGTCCTCTCACGGCCGCGGACTTGCACCTTCAGTTGGAGAAGGAGCAGGAAGCTGTTGTGCGTCTCCTAACTACCAAGGACTGAGTTGAAATTAACTGGAGATTCATAGGTCAACCGACTTACCAGAGAGCTTTCCATGCTTCGAGCAGCACAAAACGCCTCCGTCGTATCCAATGCCTCGTCAACCTCGACCGGTATCCCAGATAGCACAGATACAAACGCAAACCACCTCCTCTCGGGGCCCTCTCACCCTCAGCCCTCTCAACGACGCCATCAACGCTCTTCCTCTTCAACCAGCACCCGTAGCATTCCCATAGGCACAACCTCCGTCACCAATTTAGCTCCCTCCTCCACCCTCGATCGCACACGCGGAAACCCACATCGCCAAGATTCAATTCCCCAATCTCACGCTCTGTCCCGTCAGAACAGCATGACCTCCTCCCGCCGCAGCGGAGCCAGTAGTCCCGCCCCTCTAAGCTCGAGTTATACACATCCTGATCACTTCCCGCATTTCTACCAACAACGTCCTTCTCTCACGTCCCACCAACGCGACCCCTCGTACACGAATCTTCACGCTTCGATTGCGCATAACAATGAGAACGTAAACCCTAATCTTCGTTCTGATTCTATAACTTCCGTTCCTACTACGGGTCGGTATGAAGAGACGGCTTTTCATCGACATGAGTTGGATAGTGTGAAGCGGGAGAATGAGTTACTTAAGCGTCGAATTCGGGAATTGGAACGAACGTTACGTGCTCGTCGTCCAAGTGATGCGAATCGACCGGCCGATGCGCGAAGACCTAGTGATGCTAGTAGAACAAGAAGTGAGAGTGTGTCTACCACTGCTAGTGTTAGGGATAATACCGCAGCGGGCTTGGGGATTGGAAATGGACGGGGACGAGAAAGGGAGAAGGAGGGCGAGGAGGATAGTGTGAGGGTTGGGGAGAGTGCTAGGAGCTCGGGGGTTGTGAGGTGATTTCCTCAATCACAACTTCGTATGTGTATTTGGTGGATCTGGGCCGATTGGGGTTATATGATAGATTTCTTTTGCATTACTTTGCTTGTGCTGCGCGGGACGGATACGGAAAGCAATATTCACGATTGGGGCCTTTTTCATGTATGAAAGGGAAAAAAGTATGGCGCTGGCATTGATTTTACTGAGCGTGCTTTTTCTCAGGCAGTCATTCTGGTGGAATTGTCATTTTGAAAGGTTACTTGATATGTATTCATGAAACGAGGTTCTTACTATCACTACAACGTACTGTCATTGAGGTTAAGTGACTAAGTCCTGCACCGAGTAGCGCCTGAGAGAGATATTGAAGCCATGGACAACCAGAGCCAGTGGCTTCGCACATCCGAGATATCTTAGACACTACGGTACCGTCCTAAAAACTATTCCATCGAACTGAAAAGGCTAATAGCAGTAGCTATTCTGTCCTGTCTATATTAGCTAGGAAGTATCTCTAGACATTGGTTACGAGTGCTGCTAGCGAGCAGTTATTTAGCCAGGAGGCTAATGTTATATAGAGGGATAGGAATAGGCTCTCAAAGGAGACTTTTGAGGTTATAACAAGCCGAAAGGCTGCGGGGCTTTACGAGGGAGACGAGAGATATCCTGTCTATTGCCAGCAGGACAATGCCGGTATTCTCACTACGAAGTTGCTAAGGATTGTTTTAAGGAGCACAGAATGGAGCTCTTGGGTTGGTCTACGAACTCGCCAGACCTTAACCCAAAAGAGCACGTGTGGAGCATACTAAAGAATTGCGTACGCCGTAGCTGAAGGAACGATGAAGGACTCTTTGACCAATCACAATCATTCTTTTCTTTGCTACCCTACTTTCTGGCCTCCAATATGCCTCGGATTCTATCATGGAAAGTCCAGCCATACCCACCGACAAATGCGCCTATTTCTTTTCTAAACCTCCCAGGAGAAATCTAGCATGGTAGCGCGGGACACCGGGCTCTCCAGTGGGTAGAATCCGACGAAGACGAGTTTATATAAAGACCAACCTTGTTACTCCGCCACTCAGAGAAGCGAAGTAGTTGTCCCGCCGGTCATCAAGGCGAGTTTGCTAGAGGATAACGAAGGCCTCGACGAATATAATGAACCTCGGTCTGTTCTTTTCCTCTTTTCCGTCAGATAGCTCTTTGTAACCTTTGGCACCCTGTTCTTAAGCTACTTTTGCTTTCGTTGCTAAGAGAAGAGCGGGACTTCTCACATAACGAATGGAACTCGATTGATCAGGGGGAGGTTAATGAGCTATCTCTGTCGGAAATGGTGGTAGGCGACGAGGATCCTGACCATGCCGGAGGACATGGATTATGGTCTACGAAGCGTCCGAGAACATCCAAGTCCAGAAGTCAACAACATACTATAACAGTATCCAGGGCCGCAGGAAGTACAGCGACGATTCAAGATCTCCACCCTTGAGGAGTGAAAAGTCAATATTGACCATACCTGGTCAAATACAGGTCGTTTCCGCCCCTGGGGGTATTATTGCAGTACTTAGTCTGTGGCTGTTACGGAGATCACGGTTCACCAGAATCCACTGACTCCTCTACGGCCCCTGATGAAGACTGCCCATTCTCGCTTAGTTCTTGGGGCTTCATATGGCCGGTCACGTCAGCGAGCGATATAAAACAGAAATCCAAGCTCTTTACCACATGGATGGAAAGAATACTCGCTAACTTGGACGTCTCTTTAGCCTCTCTCGGTCCACTATTCGCCACATATTAACTAATCCAACTACACCCCGTCATATAAGCAGTTCACGCCCAGTCCAGCTTTATGACGGCCATCCGATCAAGTTGCAGATTCTGCGATTCCTTGTTCCTGGCCATAAGGAGGGGAGGAGGGCTGAAGCAAGGAGAATGCCATTGGAACTTGTGCCGACAAATCTTCGGAGTCGAACAACAAAAGTCCATGACGATTCAGGACAAGCTGAGCCTAATGAAGAGACTACGGAGTCAGATCGGGGGTTTGAAGCCAGCCAAAGTAATAGCTGACTAGCAACTCACGTACCTCATTCAAGCGAGTGTAGACCAGGAACAACTTGAAACGACATTGAACGTTATCCGCCAAAGCACCATCGAGATTTCCTTGGATGATGTGGTAGCCCGCCTGAAGGCTAGGGAAACTGAATTAGGAAATGACAGAACCTACTCGGACACTGTAAACTGGGTGGCACGAGGGCGTGGAGGTTTCCAAGGTCGGGGGAGGGGTGGACTTCCATTAGTCGAGGGGTGGAGACAGTTGTTCCAGATCAACAGTTTCTTTCCCAGGTTGCGCTTATCAAAATCACTCCTCTCCTCGACATCAGGCTCCCTCTTCGTATTGAAGTCTTTTGCCATAGTATCCTAGTTACGATCCGCCATCTTGCCAGCGTTCTACATTCACTTATCGCTCCAAAGATGGTTGGGTTATTGGTTCAGCCTTGATCGTCTTCCAATTAGTCTCTTGGAAGAGAACTGGACCTGGAATCTGATGGGCTTGTATCGGAATCAGACGTGGCGTTGGGCGACCTTTAGACCCAGAAGCCTTGCGCCAGAGAGCCACATATCGCCCATTTCCCTCACTCCTGAGCATGCGAAGATCAATGCGCTCCGATACATCGATTCCTGGGTGGGCCGGGATAAGTTATTATATCGAGCCTCATTGTCACCCTCGTAGGCTTTGATGATAGTTTGGAATAGTTGCCAGGGGTCCGAGATCGCCGCAATACGCCCAGAGTGTTCCTTGTTCAAACTCGCTCGGATCTTTGAAGATACCGTCGCTCTCTCTATTTTGTTCGATTCTGTCTTATTCGTGGTGGTGGTGGTACCTTCTTCTATAGAAGCGGTAGTACTATTGTCCTGAATATTCTTAATCTTGATCTCTTTCTCAATCCACTTCACTTGACCTAGGACGGTCAGATGCTCGACGAGCGCGACTTTCCATATTTCAAAGTCCTTTAGGCCTATAAGGATAACACCCTTGTAGTCGGTTTTACCTATAGTGTTGAATAGGTAAAGGGCGAGTCGATCCGTCGAGAAGTATATCCTCAAAAAAAAAAGTTCGGAGAATTCGCACGGGGGCTCTATAACATGTTAATCTGGAATAACTGTCTTTACTAAGAAGTATAGAGCGTACTCGCTGATATACAGTGAAAACTCTTCTAGCGTGCCAAGCTATAAGTAGGTATGTGGAGCTGTGGATTCATTCCAACAGAAACCATCGAAGACTCCTGAGCGATTTGAGACGCCAGGAAATTAGGACAGGATGGTTGCCTTGGTTGTTTCGATGTTATTAGAGGCGTCGTAGAGGGATGAGGTTGAGGCTCTATTACTTATTGGTATATAAAGAGCCTCCAATTGTTACACCAATCTACGAAGGCGATTCTTCGTCTTCGCACTCTTTTAGTATACGAGGACGTACTAAGCACCCGAACACAGCTCCTAAGCGAGTGTTGCGCAATGGAAACCCTCATACGAATTGCCCTTGAGAGGTGGGATCTAATCGATCAGGGACTATATTAAAACCCTTTTTGAGTCTATGGAGGTTCGGATTACGGGCAGTGATTATTGCTTTTCTCTCTCATGGAATCAGCTCAGCTCTCGCCTTAAGCCTGTATTTATATCCCCTTTTCCCCAAACATTTGGCACTTCTTTCATTGACGGTAGGGGGTATCTTACACAACTGAAGGGAAAGACAGCTTTCTCACGGTAATCAGAATTGGTTTTATATATGGGTAACAGGATCTAGGTCACGACGCAGAATTGTATATATATAACATTGTATTATGAAAACTGATATAATCCAACAACAATACCCGCCCTCCGCATCACAACCCGCCCCTCTACCGCCCATTAGACCCTCCACACTCTCCCCCCTCCTTGTGTGAGATTAAAGTATACTATATACATGTAGGTAAAAAAAGAAAAAGAAAAATAGACAATCTACCCCATCCCGTGTTCCCCACCCCGTCCCCTTTCCAATCATCTACATCATCCCAAAAACCCCCAAACCCCCAAACCCCCAGAAAACGCCCCCCCTTTACGGCTGAGGTCTTCGCGACCCCAGCTGCCCTGCCCATTCCTTCTCACACAACTCGACAACCACCTCCATATAAATATAGCCCGTAGCGGCAACTTGAGCGAGCTTCTTGGGAGAAGCAAAAAGGTGGGCGTGTCGCTCACGGTTCGACAACTTCTCCACAACCCCCCGCCACACGCGATTGTACTCCTCCTTTTGAAAGCCTGTAAAGCTTTCCGCCTTGGGGACAAAGAACGGTGGTTTGACGATCTTCACCGGCTCAGAGCCAGCGGGGCCCAAGAATGTCCCATCAAGCGCATAATTATGCTTGCGCATAAGCTCCTTTGCCCCCTCGTACAAGTCTGGGAGCTTTGATAGGGCCTCAACCCGAGTTTCCCAGAGGCTCTCCGGCTTCTGCTCTCGGATATCATTGGCGACGTACACAAAGTCGTCCCAGCGTTCCTGCGACATGTTGGGTGGTTTGCGGTGGGCGAGGAGGGACCGCATCTCGAGGGTGGGCGACGGATGGGTGATCATGAGGAAGTGGAGAAGCTGGGATAGATTGTCAGTAGGGTTATATAGAGATTTTTGAAGCGGAATCTTACCTCTTTGGCTTCATCGTCATCCACGACGTCCTGGTCTGGTGCGGCAGCTGCTGGGAGTGGTTCTTGAGATGCCATTGTGATGGCAATGGTGCTTTCGACTGATTGAGAGTGACAGATTACAAGAATTTTGTATGTAGCAGAAAGAACTCTTCTCAAGACAGACGGTGCGCGCAGTTTCTATTATTTTCCTTCTGCCGCGCTGATATAATTTGCACGCGCGCGACTCGGAGCGGAGGCAATATCGGCCCACCGACGCCAATTTTCACAAATAATCGGACACAAGGCGATTCATTACTTTATAATAGTTTGATGCAGTATTTTCAACTCTAAATAAAGGCGTTTCTATGTTCTTTACTGTGAGTTTTTATATTTTTTTTTAACCTTTGGTTGTCGGCTAAAATAGGGGCTTGGGCATAGTGTCACGAATCACGTGCTCACGTGATACTTGTCATAATAAGAGGCGCAACCCTCGACAGGCACATCCAGGTTTCTTATAGCAAATAGGGATCGTTTGGAGTAGCTAAGCGATCCAGGGATTTCTCTGTATTGTTATCACGTGATATTAAGAGTTCGCCAGTTAGCCGGGCGAACAGGCGAAGTTAGCCAGTTCGATTGTCGAACGAGCGAACATCGAGAGAACGAAGGTTCTATATAAGACTGGCACGTCTGCCATTAGATAGGAGCTTCGTGCTCAACTTAGTTATCAATCTTATCATATTAGTTTGACATCTTTGATACAAGTAACGAGTTCACTTCCAAGTGAACAACCCGATAGTCTTCTTCTTATCATAGCATACCAACCAGCGAACACCCAGCCAAGTTTAGTTAGCCAGTTTGAGTATTCGTTACACATAGTTGCATATCATTGGCTCACTTGCCGAACGTACTAACTAGAACAACAAAAAGGAAGTGAGAATACGTAGTTGAAAAGTAGTAAGGTCAGTTAGAGGAACACTTAACTTTGCTACTTAACAGTTTTCAAACAATAATATCTAACTAGTATCTTTAGAAAGATTATTAAATTTACCTTTTTTTAAATAATATATTCTTAACTTTATATACTAGAATAAATTAAAGAATATAATTAATTATACACACTTTAGATCTATTAGTTTATAATATTATTCAAGAAATATTTAATACTATAGAATAAATATTAGTAAAGAAAGTATTTCTTCTAAAGTATTAAATAATAGAAATAGATATTAACTTAAAATAAATATAAAGAATATTTAAATATAATTGTGACGGAGCTGGATTTCATTTGACAGGATTTCATTCGCTTGGCCAAGCACGCGACGAGACTTGGCATTGGAACAACTTAAATAACTTCGCTCCTTTCAGATTCTCTTCTCTCTTTAGTTTGATTTCTTCGTACCTATGGTTTTAGTTCTAGCAATTGATTCAAAAGCTGTATACACTTTATCCTTTGTTGGCATCCGTGTCAATAATAACTAAGTTCAATTAAAGTTTAAATACTTAGATATTTACTTGATTTAACAAAATAGTATTTTCTAATAAAATAAGTATTAAAAAGTCAATCTCTTTACTATAATTCAATTACCTATTTATTATTAGGTTACTATATATTTTTAAAGATATTAAGTAATTAAATTCTAATATAAACTATTTATACTATTAATATATAAAGACTATTATTTTATCTAATAGTTAAATAACTAGAAGATAAAAGAAAGAAAAAGAATAACTAAATTAGAAAAATAGTATATATATAATAGTAAGTAAAGATAATTTCTATTAGATATAATCTATTTAATATCAGTCTTATATAAATTAGTAAGTCTAAAACCTTCTAATATAAACTTATCTCCTCTCTCTTTTCCCTACTTACCTATATCTATCTATATTCTATAAATATTAATATAGCTCGACTTTAAAAACGAACATAATACCTACCTATAGTTATAGTAACGAGTTAATATATAATCTCTTCTTAAATTCCTCTAAATTCCTTTTCTTTTCTCTTACATCTTTTTATTTCCCCCCTAAGCCTATCTCTTAAATCTATTAAGAGACTTGGATATATTATTATATTACAACTAGATAAAAGAAAGACAGGCCAAAAAAACTATCTAAAGCCGCTTCAACTCTTTCCCCTTCGATTAAGTAATCCGAGGACACGCATATCACCTACTGGGCTCTATAAAGTCAGAAGCTTGCTGTCAATCTCTTATCCGGGCACTTGAAAAAGCGTGCAGTGTCCCTTTCCCTCTCTCCCCAGTTGCAAGTCCTACCACCACCAGTCCTCCATAGCAACTCGTTCCCCTCCCCCTCCCCCTCCCCCTTGCTCTCGGATGAAGGCATCGCTCTACTAAGGGCCACGTCAACCCGTCTCTTATCCACAATATATCCCCCATTATCTCTCTCCATAGTCGTCACAAAATCCACAACACCAACTTCCCTCTCCTTCCTTATTAAGAACCAATAGATATAATATCAACAACCTGAATACCAGCTGGCTTAGTAACATCCCCAGCCTAGCGTAAACATCCACGCAAACCCTTAACCTGCGCATTATACGCACAAATAACTAGTATCTCTTTAGGTGGAATTCCATGCTGAATGAAATGAGAGACCGGATAACATCCATAGCTACGGCCAAGTAGTGGAAGGTGATACGAGAGGTTCCTATATATGACCTCACGGCAGAGAATAGAATATTATATATTATATACGATACTACCATTATTTGTTTTGATGCCTGGGATTTGCCAAGTTCAAGCGTCAAATATTACGCCGAGGATGGGTGTGGATGAGAGTTGGTGTTTTCTGGGGAGGGAAAGGCTCGGTGGGGGTTTTGGCTAGGATTTTGGGGGTCGGCGAGCAGGGGGGTTGAAAGGTGGTATGGTGTTATTATTCTATGGCTTTGGGGAGGGCTAGATGAATGAGATGGATGAAGTAGGACAGAGGGGTATCTAGACCTTGAAAGAGAAGGGTTTCTTTCGGGGAAGTAGGTAGGGGTTAGCTATAGGAATCGATGGATATAGATAGATAGTGTAATATAAGCGGTGGAGTCGTGAGGAATTTGTTTGATACTGTAGGATGTCTCCAACCAGTACTATATAGTGCAAGATCACTTTTGGTTTGGTTGTTACTTACTTACCCTCTACTAGCTACAAACGTGATAATGATATTCTGGATGCAAAACAATTCTTTATCTTGAATCACGAATCGATATTGAGTTGGCAACATGGATAGTCGACTAGAGACTATATCGCTAGAAGCGAAGTGCTATCGTCATTAACGTGTACTCGTCGTCGAGGGTTGGAGGTTTGGAGGTTCATGGTTCAACTCTTACACCCCACTCTACCTTCCATCCCATCTCCCTCCCATCTCCCTCCTGCACTTCGCACATCCACCCTTCCCACATCCACCCCAAGCATACAACCCCCTTACACCCAGTAACCACACAAGCCACACAATCAAATCACTCACCCACCAAGCATCCGAGAAACCATACGAAGGCATTCTCCTAAACTCTGGACTACATAACGTAAGTGCTTACACCTGATACTTCACCCCCGTTAATCGACTGACTGACTGACTGACTCACTTCAACAGTTCCCAATCGCTTAAGTGTCATCTGTCACACTTTGAGAATGGAGATCTCACTGGAAGAGGATGACTGGGTGATAGCTAGCCACTGAATCTCCGTCGCTTGTGTGACTACCTTACTGGAGCATGTAACGGGTAGCACTTCACTGTCAAAAGAAACGTGGATGGAAGACAGGGAACATCACACTCACTTCAGATCACAAATCACAAATGAGGCACATTGATCCATGTAGACCACCACTAGTGTATTCCCCAAAGAAAAGGATTTTCATTCCACTATTAAGGAGGCAAAATAAAAAAAGAGAACTTGACAAGCAAGAGATCCCAATCCTCAATTCCATTCATCCCTAACCCTACAACCTCACTCCGATATTCACATCCCAATCGCCACATCCCAACTGAAAAATATTCATCATCTCATCATCCCATCATAAAAGCCTTCCCACCGTTCCATCACCATCAATCCCCCAAACTCGCTTGAGCAACGCATCGCAGTCGTAAAGCAGAAGATTGAAGAAGCAATCAACGAAACAACAGAAGCGATTAAGCATATGAAGTTTTCTCACTACCAGTAACAACACCCGACTCTTGCTGAGGGGTAGCACTAGTGGTAGCGGGATCTGTGGTGGTGGAGGTAGAAGCTAAAAATAAAAAAGAGGCGCGAGCCAAACGTGTCAGCAAAAAAACGAACAGCAACAATTTTTGGTACAGAAAAGCCTCCTGGCCCGTGAAAAGAAAAAAAGAATGAAAAATTGCCCAAAGAGATGAATGTCAAGGTCAGGTAAGTCAGCGGTTTATTTGGCGCATCCGTCGCCACAGCTGCATTTTCCGGCTTCGCAGGCACAAGAACCTGTATCACCTCCGCATTTGCAGACGGTCTTGTTGGTTCCTGGAACTGGCTTGAGGTCCATGGTGGATTTTGGACAAGAGTTGCAGCTACATTTGCCAGGAGCACTGCAGATAGTTAGCATGAAATTTTCCTGTTGATCATCGAACCAAAATAGAATCCAGAACGAAGTTGAAGAGTGTACGTACCATGGGCAGCTTTCAGTGCTACCACCGCAGTCGCAAACAGTCTTGTCAGTTCCGGGAACGGGCTTCAACTGCATTGTGGCCTTTGGGCATGTACCACAACCACATTTACCTGGGGCGCTACAAATAGTCAGCGAATGTTTTTATTATTGAACCCTGAGGCAGAGAAGATTTGCAGTAGCAATGTCAAGGTTTTGACTGCAGAAGAGGTAACGAAAAGCAAGTTTACATACCATGGGCAATTCTCGGTGCTTCCCTTGCAATCGCATTCAGTCTTGTCAGATCCGTTGATTGGTCTGAGGGACATGGTTTGCTTTGGGCACGAGTTGCACGCACACTTTCCTGGGGCACTGAAATGAGTTAGCGAATGTTGCCAGCGTCGAAGCATTAGCGAAGGATAATTAGAAAGTAAGATTTATTTCTTTCAAATTGCGAAGAGTTACTCGAAGAAAGGTGACGTACCATGGACAGTTTTCGGTGCTTCCGCCACAATTGCATGTTGTCTTATCAGATCCAGCGACAGGCTTGAGCTGCATGGTCTGCTTTGGACACGCGCTACACGCACATTTACCTGCGGCACTGCGAAGAGTAAGCATTTATTCGCAAGATCGATTCAAAGAGGTGGAGAATGCAATTAGAATGGATCCTGCCTCAAAAGTAGAAGAACAGAAGATCTCGAAGATGTGGAAATGAGGACCGAGGCTAACATGGCCCATAAGATAAGAAATAACATACCATGGACAGTTTTCCGTACTTCCACCGCAATTACAAGTCGTCTTATCCGATCCAGGTACTGTCTTTAGTTCCGACTTTGAGCAATTTAACCCACAAGTGCAAGCTCCTGGAGCACATCCACATTTACCTTCATCACCTGAACATTGACAAGTTGTCTTGCCTGCTGCTACCTTCTTGACATCCGACTTTGGGCAATCGACACAGGCACAAGCCCCATCGGCGCAGGGACAATCCTTAGAAACTGCACCGCACTTACAAGTTGTCTTCTCCGTACCTGGAACCTTCTCCACACCTGCCTCCTGCTTCTTGATATCTGCTAAACGTCTTGCCTCAGCGTGAATGTCAGTAACCTGTCGTGATGTTTGTGTATAAAAGTTAACAAGCTTCTTTCCGGTTGGGGTGCCAGTAGCCTTCTCGAAGTACGAGGTCAATCCGGAGAGGAGAGAGTTGGTCTTTTGGGTAACGCCATATGATTGATCGACTGACTTGGCCTTGTCGGTGGCATGATATTTGCTGTCAAGACTTTGGAGGGTGCTCAAGAATCTGTTGGAAACACCGTGCTTGGAATCAAGGTCAATTGCCTTTTGGACCGCATTGTCACCAATAACGTATCCGTGAGCCAAATACTCGGCAACAATGCGGCTGCGGGGCTTCTCCTCTTGTGTGATCTCATCGCTATCTCTCTCCTCGTTGTGGGTATAGCCACCTTCGTCGTCACTGCCGGAGCTACCACTGGCGCTTGCAACCTTGACTTGGGTGGCGCCGAGAGCGGTGCTGTCGAGAAGGAGGGCGGTCTTTGCAGCTGTCTCCTTCTCGAAAGTAACGGTGGCCTTCTGTGTCTCTCCGGCAGAGGTGATGTCGATGGAGGTGATCTTGCCGCTGTGCAGAATAATATCAGCTTCCAAACGGTTTCTCCTACGTGGTTGACGTTGGTGGGATATGCTAACTTACCAGAAAGAGAAGAAGTCCTTGACCTCCTTTTCACTCGTCTTGGAACTGATGTTCGTGACGTGGACGGTGCTGGCAGACATGTTGAGGGTGGTGTTGATGTCTGTGATGATTGTGGTAGACAAGTTTTGCTGATGCAAGTATTGGATGGTGTATTTTGTGGTATTGTAGAAGTAGATGGGTTTTGCTGGCGTTGGTGTTTATGGAAAGAGGACCTCAAGGAGACCTCAAGGAGGGGGTTTCAAGGTGGTTTTGTAGTTCCAGTCAAATTCTCGATGATGGCAGGTGCGAGGAGCTTCTGGCGTGAGGGGCAACCGCAAATGGCCAATTGCATTGCGTTGCGAGCGGTGACGTAACGCTGTTACCCTGCCACTGTGGCTTACGCCTGCGTCCTTTTTGCGGGTTCTAGAGTTGCCACGTGAATAATAGGCTTCAATAAATTCTACCTGGATATACCAGTACGGGTAAGTACCTGGTTTGAATCACGATTGCTTCAATTGGCTCTTATATATTGACTTCGAGGGACTCAATCAATGTTTCCCTGAGTTGACCCTATCAGAGTTCCATTCTCAGCCATCTTTCTGAAATTCTATGACGGTGTATGTTACACATTCGAGTGCTCGGTCCCAGTTTCTCCATATTTCCAACCCTCTCTTTCCATATCAAGCGGTGGTACGAGTACCAAAGCGATGTGGTATGATGTCCTGAAAATATCTTGAAAATATTCAAATTGAATTCTGCCCAGACATTGACTCACGTGGAGGTCACGTTTTGAGATTTCCCGAGGTCGTCGTGTATGTCCTCCTGTCCGGAAATTGCCTTCTATATTGTTACTTTTCTCCAGAACAGAAAAGGGAATCATAAGCAGCGGTGGATGTCTTTTGTTGTTCTATCTGTCTACCTCCTGTCTACCCCCTGTCTACTGTACTCAGTAGAATAGGTAGTAAGTAGAGTTTGGATCCAAGAACCCGGAGTAATTAAACCAATTATTCTCTATCTATAGATTATAAAATACCCGGCTGACCCATGTTTGCGGGAAAAGGACATCAACCATCCCAGAAAACTAGAAGGACAAGCGAATGTATATCAAGTGAGCGACATCTAGATTGGGACTGGCGGTCAAACTCCCAGAATGAAGCTTGGGTATCGTCTGCTGTAAGAGAACTTGATTAATACACTTCCTTTCGAATTCTCCGAAAGACCTTTCTTTTCCTCTATCAACCCAATATCTTGAAACTTGTCATCAGAAATATCCTTCAAACTTCCAACCATTCAGATATTGTCTGATCGGAGCAAAACCGGCTCAGCCCCCTGTCCCGGAGATTTTATCGTACCCCATGCATTCGACATGGAGCCGGGAAGTTGGAAGCGGCGTCTCCTCCGATCATTGAAAGTCAATTCACCCAAGCCGTGCAAAATATCTGTACTCAAAGTCAAGTACCTCATGGGTGACCTGCAGCGGACACAGGAATCAAGAGTGGGCAAAAAGGGGTGAACCTTTAACCTCCCTCACGGTGAGCTGAGTCACCCGGACTGCCCAGAGTTTCAATCGCAACTAGTTTTTTCTTTATTTCTACGACCGTCCTTGCAGATCCATATAATTTTTGGCTTACGATACATGGGAATTTAATTATCTTGACGTCCAAGTTGTTTTCTTTCTCAATTGTTTCTGAGACGAGAACAATTGACACTAAGATGTCACAATCTCAAAGCTCGAGTAGCTCTACTAGTACGGTTGATGAGACGACATCTCTTCTCCCACATAATGATATTATCGCAAAGGCCAAGGTATTCTCAAAAACTCCTGATACTTGATTGCAAAACTAAGAACGTGGCAGTCGGGAGACGCAACGGAAGCAGAGGTCACACCTGACGACAACAATGAGGTTGTTAACCCACCTCGTGCTACACCGAAATTCGGAATTATTGCGGTTCTGTTGATCGGTGCAAATACCCAAGTCATCGTTTTTGAATCAGGATTAACATGTGATTGCAGGTGCCTTTGTTTCAAATTCAGATAGTTCTCTGGTTCTTGCAACTTACGGAACAATCTCTTCGCATTTCAATGATCTTGAAAGTGGGCGATGGCTTCTGACCGCTTCTATGCTTGCGTCTTGTGCCATTCAACCTCTTGTAAGCCGTCCAAACTTTTATGGTATATGTATTATATCAAAATATACGAATACTAATTCGGTATCAGTATGGAAAATTAAGCAATATCTATGGTCGTAAACCAGTTTTACTTCTCAACTATGTCCTTTTTGGGCTTGGATCCGCACTATCGTGAGTAACAGCAACGAAGTTTTTGTTTAAAAGCCAATCTGACATTTTTTGCAGGGGTTCTGGTCTGTTTATGGGACAAATAATCTTTGGACGGATTATCAGCGGCACTGGCGCTGCGGGCATGGTATCTCTTGTTTCGATATTGATATCCGGTAAGCCCTTGAAACATTCGTTCTCGAGAGTCGAAAACTCACGCCATCCACAGATCTTGTCCCTCTAAAAGACGTAGCTTCTTACCGAAGTTATGTCAATGTCGTGTCTACAACGGGTCGAAGCCTTGGCGGGCCAATTGGGGGTTATATTGCACAAAAATTTGGCTGGAGATGGTAAGAACTTGTCGTAAACTCAGGGGCGGTTTACATGGAGTAACATTCCTCTAGGTCATTCTATTTTCAATGTCCCATTGCCGCACTCGCATTAGTTCTGGTAGCTTGGAAACTGAAACTGCCAACACACGTATCACACACCGAACAATCCAAACTGGAGAAATTCAGACGGATCGATTTCCTTGGCTCCATCTGTTTATCTACAACTATAGTAGCCCTACTACTAACATTCGATTTCTTCGCCAAAGCAACATCATGGTCCGATCCTCTTCCAATAATCTCAATATCCGTTGGTGTTATCATGATCAATTTGTTTATCATCACCGAGAAGTACTGGGCGAAAGAACCAATCTTCCCCTTGAATTTGCTTACCCGTAGAGATTCAGTGTCTTGTTACTTGATATTAGCACTGCAGAGCGGTGCCCAGATAACGGTGTGTCTTCACTTCTTATCCCTTCTCCCAGCTTTTATACCGGGATACTAACTACCTACAAAGCTAATGTCCATAATCCCCCTCTACTTCCAAATCACCCACCGCGACTCCCCAGGAAAAGCAGGCTCCTACCTCGTGTCCGCCGTCGTCGGAAACACCATCGGCGCCCTCCTAACAGGAACCTACATCAAACAGTACCCCTTCCCCTCCCCAGTCCGCCTCCCCACTAACACCCCCCAGCACAAGCAAATACAAGCTCCCCCTCCTCATCTCCGCCCTCTCCCAAATGGCCGCCTACACCCTCCTCACCCTCCGCTGGCGCGGCCACACCCCCTTCCTCGAGTCCCTCTACGTCTCCGGCGGCGGCTTCGGATTCGGAACCTCCTATTCCGCCACCTTCATCGCTCTTGCTGCGGCCATTACCGAAGAGGAGTTTGCAATTGCGGGGAGTGGGTTGTATATGTTTAGTAGTATTGGGGCGGTGATTGGGATTAGTGTTTCTGGGTCGATTTTTAAGGGGGTTTCGAAGAAAGGGTTGGATTCTGCGTTGGGAGGTGTGGAGGATGGGGAGAAGGTTGGTTCTCGCACGATGTGGATCATTTGGGGTATGTACTGATGAGTTGCAGATTGCGAAGAGGGCGTTGGAGGATATTGGATTTGTTAATACGCTTGCGGATAAGTTACATCGTCTGGTTGTTGAGGGGTATCTTGGGGGGTTTCGGGCTGTGTTTAGTATGTTTTCCCACGCAGAACCTTTTGGCCTGAGTGTGGTGCTAATTGAGTGGTAGTCTTTTCGTTGATCATGGCGTCTATTTCTCTTGTTGTCGCGGTGTCGGTTAGGCAGTATAAACTGAGGCGTTGATATTTCCTTTCGAAATAATAATCAAAGGGCGTATTAGGGGGAATGTGGGGGACTAGAACGAAAGAATTCAAAAGAACAATGGATACTCGTATATTCGAAGGTAAACCATAGATAGAAAGCATCAACATACATAGCTAGATTCAATGACTTCAAATCATTTTATGCATACATCAATATCAACATACCCCTCATCCCTAAATCAAACCCCCATCATCACAATTCCAATTCCAATCCCCAACCCATCCCCAGTCCCATAAAATGCAGCACATACAAGGGGTCCCACCATGACGTGCTAAACACCTTGATGTCAACATCGGAACTCCCCACCTTTTAGTCAACTCCACCTCAAGGGAACCGCACGGGACCCAAAACCAAAACCAGAAAGACGGTACGGCACGGCAGTCAATTCCCCATGCATGTTACTTCCCTTCCCGTTGTGCAGACAATCAATCATCAGCCTGCGTTGCGTGCGGCATAGGAAGCTTTTTTTCGGGACTGGGTCTGGGTGTGGATCTTTGTCAGTGGAGGTGATGGGAGGGGTAGGGAGACGATCACCAAGACTTACAGGTTACGAATGGGGTAATGGTGAGGCGGGTAGTGGTTGCAGGATTGGGGGTTTCCTTTGTGTGGTTTTGACGTCTGAGTTTGAAGGAGTTGAGATACATGGGTAGTTATTTGTGGCTTGTTTTGGTGTATGTGTGATATGTGATGGAGGTTTGTATAGAGTGGTAGAAGGTATTTCCTTGATTTGTGCTGTTTCGATATACTAATGCATCAACGCCTTCAAAAGTACCTAGGGGTTATGCACTCAAAGATTCTGACTAGATAGGCAGTTAGCCCTTTGTATGTTATCCTGCCACATCGGAATTGAAATTACGGGCAGCATTTGCTGGTCACTCATTGAGAGAACGGAGAGGAATATACCATAACCTTAATTGTGTAGTCCCTCAAAATACCATTACCACCCTGTGATTCTATGTCCACTCGATAACATGATATTGAGTCAAAAAAAAGAAATCTGGAAAAGATCTACCTGCAAAGGGCAAAGCAGGAGCCAGTACGGACTGGGATGCGATTTAACATCGTGCTTTCCATGAAATCCTGGTATGAATAAGTTGCAGCCGGATTGCTGGATTAGAGGAAGGCGCGAGTGGCTTTGGACTTTTCTCGTTATACCTATGGTACTTATGTGGCTTTTCGTCGAGTACAAGGTCGAAAGTTTCTTTGAGTGGTGTTAGAGTCGCTCCTTCCCTTGAGTGACTGGACATGTTCTCTCTTGGACTTAAGTCTCGCCTCGACCTACTTGGATCTGGAAATATACGGGCTGGGAATAGGTTGGTTACGTAAGAGAGAAGGAAGGAGGATGGAGCGAGTGCCAGGTCAAAGTTGTCGCAATCGAGGTCTGAATCTCTGAAGCGTTGTTCTTGAGGTTGTAGGTTGCATGTTGACTACAAGCATTTAACTCCCACGCCAGTAAGATGCTAGACCACAGCGCAGGGGATGCAAGCACTATAGGAGGTTCCTACTTATGTCAACAACACAAACATGCGTCCACTCCGCACGAAAGGTATGAGAAACCTCAATTTTGGGGATCACGATCGTGGCAAAGTGCCACTTCCATCGAACTCCAGCAAAAAATTATCTCTACAGCGCGTACCTTTGCATTCAACCCCAACTGGAAGTCATTCAACCCAAACAGAGTTCTCGACGGAGACACCCCGGCTGTCGTCGTACAACCCCACACAAAACAGCCCCTGACTTTCCCCGCAGCCAATCAGCATCCCTCGTCTATTCCCAGCCCCACAAAAGTCACAAAATAACATTGATATCTCAAAATACCACAACCACCACCATCAAAACTGGTACCTGTCCGCCTGGCCCAGTCAGTTGGTGTGTGTTCCCATGTGTACCAATTCCCACAAGCGCCAGCACCATAACTGTTTCCTCCGTATATGTTGATTTGGACGCGCCCTGGTCAAGCGCCAGACTGATCGGTCGTAGATATATGTTGTGCTGGGTCTACTTTCTCTTTTGCTCCACTCCCTTATTTGATCCACTTATAGTTCTGCTGCCTAAATGCTTCATGTCTGCCTAAACCTTACACTCTTTATATAAACACCTTAGATAGCTACCTTTTACAATGCAATCAATTCTCCATGACCTTCAGTACCCAATACCCTTTCAACCCAATAATATATGTAAGTTCTCCTTCATCCTTAAGAAATGATTGTGCTAATTCTAAATAGGTAGAAAGAAGATTGTAGTGTATCTTTTTTTTTTGGTGGGGTTTTGGCTGTTTTGGGATCGTGCGCTTGGTGGAATGCAATCGCGCTTGTTCTGCTTCACTCTATTCACTATCTTTTCGCTGTTTTGAAGAAGAGAAGACACATTGAGCCTGCGAGGTAAATATTGGGTGGTTGTTACAGATGTCGTTGCTTCGTAGGTAGGTGTATTCCTCTAGAGCTCCGCTAACCTGGGAGACTACTAATGACTTCTCAGCGGTTATCCCAAATTCGTTAGTCGAGGTTGGAACGATAATTAACTCCCAATTTGGCTCCAGCAAGCAGACTGCAACAACTACTACAATAGCAAACCTTTCAACACCATTGATGACGCAAATTACAACAATGCTCGCCCAGGAGACTTTACATCCAGCGATCTCCTCCTTGATCCCTCCACATACTATTGCTCCAACGCAGTCATGTCACGAGATAGCCGTGGACTCATAAGTTACGCTCAAAGATACTTACTTGCCTGATGTGATTGCCGAGAAGGCTTGTGATAATTCGGGTACCGCTCTTGCCACACCGAAACCTTTCTTTTTTGTGGTCGCTCCTGTTGCGCTACACTCGGAAATCAACTTCGATGATTTGTCTACTGGTGTTTCGGGGTGGGCCAGCGGATATAATGGTTCTTTTTCGGGGGCTTCTGCTGGTTCCAAGATCGCCGCATTTCGATCCTTCATTTGGACGTAGGGCTCTGGAGTTTGAGAAATACTTTGATATTCTTGGTCAAGTTGTAACTGGTATCTTTCGTAGCCAAGCGGAGGAAATTAGATCACTAAACTGCTACAGTTAGACTCCACCTACTTCCAGTACCTGGATTGTTTTCACCAATCATGTCTTCGAGCCCGCCAATCAATCGGTGAAACTATCGATCAAACTGTTCGAAAGCTCGCAGATTCAAATATTCTCCATAAAATATGCTTCTACACTTCCAACAACTGGTTTCCCCCCGGCCAGCATTGATCATCCCCAGGAAAAAGCTGTGGTAACGAAGGAGGTATCGACATCCCGCTAATCATCCATGAGCCAGGCATTCGTTAAGAGAGGCATGATTCCTGGTGCAGTTACCTCATACAACGACTTGGCCTGTTTAATCATCATGTGATATATAATATACCCACTTTATATTTTCTCGCGGAATTTGGCGAAAGGTCGCATTCTCATTTATTAGATGATTGTATGTATATTATACATTTCGATGCGGTTGTTTTTCGAAATGACATTGCTTGAAGTAACCAGGTAGTGAGCTTCCTTCCTGGTATACATATCGCTCGATTTGATTCCCAAACTCCGGTCTTAGATCCCTCGCCAATCGAAACTCCAAATACTGAAGCCATATGCATCACGAGTCTCGCTCATGTATATTCAATACCAGCTGGTCTCGGCCATATACCCTGGTCCCCGTGATTTGCAATGTCATTTCAACCCTAGATTGGGACACACCCACACTCTCCTGTGCTACTATATAACATAACCTCAATATTAGCAACTAGATAAACATCCCCCTTCAAAAAATAAGCAGAACATGGAAGATATCCGCATCGGGGATAGGCTCTTACAAGCACATGCGGTCCTGGCTTTTAGTACATTTGAAGGGACATGTGTAGCTTTCCGTGCATTCTTGGGCCTCCCCCACGGCAGAGAAGACAGCTAGAGCTGTGAGAAATTTTTTCATGGTGATAATTCGCATTTTAGGTTGTTTTTGGTTACTTTTGATTTTAAATGAGGTTTGGAAATAGTTGGTGATAATCTTTCCTGGTGGGCGAGATGAGATGGTAATAAAGTGTTAGTGATGTTTTAAGGTTGTGATCTGAGGTCGTTAGCGCGAAACACGTCGCAAAACTATGACGGCTGTCTGAGCGCTCTGAGTTTGTAGAACTATAACTCTATGATACGAGTAATTCAACAAGAATAGACATCAATTATATGACTTCACATTCACGTAGTATAAATTAAAAAGTGAAAACCTGCTGTTTTCAGTAAAATTTAATACTAAATTTTGCTTATACTCAGGCTCGCGTACGAATAGGGATACAGTATACAGTATTATTTGGATGAAACAGCACCTGTTCGTCCCTACGTCTACGCACCAACACCACAGACCACAGACCTTCGTCCCATCCTGTGGCATTTTTGCGAGATCTTAAATAGCTTCTCAAACCTCGCAAAAATAGAGCCCAGGCCGCCTAGCTTTCAATCAAAGCCTATGTCTCTACCCAAATCTGGTGTCGTTCTTGGGGATGGTGGAGGGCCCAAAAGAGCGTCCGCAATCGTGCGTATACCGTAACAATCCCCTGGCTTGTTGTTTGTAGAAGAAACAAGTGCTCCAGGATCTAAACGATATACTGTTTGCTTAGTCACCCTCGCTACTTAAAACACGTCACACTGAAAGTTCCGATGATAGAACAAACCTTACTCAGCCTAAGGGTCCTTTCTCTTTGCGAATTGAATTTACGGTGGCCGTACTCAGCCAACCCAGCCAGCCTATCGGGCTATCGAGCAGAAACTAAATCTCGGTCGGGGCGTATAACTGACACCGTAGCAGAAAGAGTGCAACAGACTGGTTTAGCAAAACTTCTGCCGTAAATGTTCTGTTCCTGGCTTCTAGCAAACCTCCTTCGCTTAGCGACATACTCGGTAGCATTATCCCTAAGTGATGCATCAGAGCTTTTTTGTGGATGATGACTTCTAAGTAGTACGATGTTGTCCAAGTAAGACTCAGTGATAAACAAGATTTGCACTGAGTGACTTTCTTAAGTTTAATGGGGCTAAGACTGGAACTAGATCACGACGTCTCACGAAATCACAATGCGAGGTTGAGGGTTGTTAATTTTTATCAGTGGGTTTGGGATATGGGCTTTATATTGTGTAGGAAAAGGAATCTAAAGGGGACGAAAATGAAAAGCGAATGACTTACCTGGTCTTTTAACCTGCCGTTTTCTCTTACTGGCGCGAACCAAATCGACTAAACCTCCTCGAGTTATACCGGTAACCAAAACTCCTTCGAGTCACATTTTGAGGTGCCTCCGTATCATTCTGTGATGCTCCCTCAAGCCGACGACTACTACGTGCCCTCCTATTAGCTCGCAACCTCCGTCTCAATCGATGGATGAGTGATTGACGAATCATCGGTCGAGAAGATTCGTTCGTGGCACCTGCAGTGGAAAGGCTTAGGGATCTTGCTGGTGCAGCTGGTGGACGTCGGGAGGGACGTTGAGAGCGACGTCGAGATGTTACGGGCGGGAGTATACCTGTTGGGCCATTATCCCATTCACCCTCACTTGTTGATGATATGGAAGAGTGCTCGGGGGTTGAACCACCACCAAGGTTATCATCCTCGGGTGGGTACCAGTATGGGGGTGGCGAATCTGTCGTTCCGATGATGAAGAGAATTGTACCCGAGAACGGATTACCAGTTATAACATTTCGAAGGGCACTGATGTAATTGAGATGTCTAAACTCTATACGGTGGTTGATAAGTCGAATGAAAGCTCGTACTGCATCATGTCGTCTGGGGAAATAGTCGTCACGGATAAAAAGCTCGTCGGCGCGGATGCCATTCATGCCATATCTCGCAACTGGCTCTATAATGGTTTCCCCCACCAGCAGCTGCAGCATTTTCATGGAAGGCAGGTGAGGAATTACTTCCGGTGTATGAGGGTATACCTCAACTACCTCAAGATGTTCTCGGACCGGTCTTCGGAAAACAATATGTCCAACGACGTCTTCGCTCTCCAACACGTCAAATTGGACCAGCTGGCGCGCCAAATCATTCTCAACCAATAGCTCCCTGTAGAGTTCGCTGGCAATGGCATCTCTGTTTTGGCCTCTAACCTCATAATGGAGGAGCTGAGAGAAAGAATGGCCAGGGATTGGATAGTGGGTATTGGCGTGATTGATGATATCCTCTGCCATCAATTCGGCACTCTGTAAAGCGGGTTCTGTCATTCCTAAGGTAAAGCGGTCGGAACCAAACATCGCACCTTCGAGAACGACGGTGTTGTTCTCACTCGCATATCTGATTCTTCGCCCATCAATCAAGTTGAAGAGAAAACGAAAATCAGCTGATTCCGCATCTAGAGATGTAACCTCATTTGACGTATCGGAAAGCACATTCGAGTAGTTCCTTCGGCACATTGGGCAGGTATTGCTACCGCTTGCGAACCATCTCCCCAAATGTGGCCGCAATGGAGACGAATTGCACAACACAGAGCGAAACCCTCAAGGTTATTTCCCCAGGTTCGGCGCTTTCTTGTTCCGAGTTTTCTTGCTCGATTCGAAATTGTTGCTGTTGTGTCATTTTGCTTCAAGTGACTTGAGTTTGTGGTTGTGGTGTTAAATTAGGAGATAAGGTCTCTCTTATGGACTTCAATTATAGTTGTCCATAAGAAAGTTCAAACTGAATAGAGGTACGCATCTACACCTTTTCAATAGACATCATGGAGTATGTTCATTTGATTGGTCGTAGGATTGAATTCCAAGTGGGAAAAGATATCGCCAATAAAGAGGCAGTACGCCACCAATGTGAACAATGTCATTATTCTCTTGTCTCTCAGTCTTGGAACTTAAGATATGAATAGAATTGCCTCAAAGAGAATGAAAGAAAAGGGCAAAGAAGGCGCGCTGTGGCTTGAAAATGAAAGCTCTTAAAGTGCGTAGTGAAGTTATTGTTTACAGAGCACCTGTGACAGCCAATAACTTAGCAGAGCTCTAGAAACCTCAGGTTATAGTTTGCATTGCAGCAGGGGAGCAGGAAGAACGCGGTTCACGTGTCCATAACACGGCAACACGCTTGCTTCTGTGAGTTGAACAGAACCTCATATTGACGCTGCACATCGCAACTATTTCAGCCTGGTATTTCCACAACAAAACGCAGGGATATCGCACGCCTGCACTTGCGAGATATGAACCTGTATCGACCAGACAGATTGCCTTACATCATCGCCCCAGAAAGATTGCCCGTCATGACTGACTGTCAGAATATCTTTGTGAACGCCGCACCCTCAGCCTCCTTTATCCCCAACCTGGAGCACATTCATCCGACCGATCCTGAATACGTCAAGAAATGGAACCAATATGTTGCTAAGACCCGAATCCAAATGCAGGAGCTCGAGAAGGAAATGCAGAACCCTTGCTACTCCGCAGAAGAGAGAGAACACAACTTGATGCTATTGGGAATCGCGAAGCGCGACTGGGTCATTCTAGAGGAAGTCATGGATATGGGTGTACGTGTTGAGAAGAAGATGGATGAGAGTCGTCGCTTGGATCGACAAATTGCCATGCTACTCGAGAGGAAGGCCAATTTGGAGGAGGAAATTGCAGTCAAGGTTGAAGTCCTCAAGGACGCCCATCGACGATTTGGTTCGGAGAGAGCAACATATATTGAAGAAGCCATTCAGCGAAAGGCGGAGGAGAGGAAGAATCATGGATTTCGGGGAAAATTGCAAAAGGCAAAAAGCTTGTTTTCGTTGAGAGGTCGTCAGTAAAAATGAGATTGACTGGTGGGGTCCCTCAACACTGTTTACAAATGATTGGAATTGGTTCGCAGAAAAGTTGTCAAAGTTGAACAGTGAGTGATTGACTGCGGCTTGCTTTGTACGTTGCCAAAGGATGGAAGCTGACCTGTGAATAGGCTGAAGCTGTGGAATGAACTCAGCGATCACATTTACGAGACTGACGGATGAAAAAATACGATTAGAGTTGATAAAGACGGCATCATACGCACGGGAAATTTATGCGCAAGGTCTTGAGCATTGTTGTATTTTGACGAACTTCGTATTCTGTCTTCGGGTTCTATAAGGAATTCTAGAGGTCTCGAGAATGTCTATATCGCCAATAAAATATTTCAACCGCCAGCTTGATCAAGGTTTTCAGTACAGTGGACTGCTTCCAGGCAAGCTTGATTTCAATGGTGTGATGATGAAGACTCATGATGTTAACCGTTTCCGGAAATCCTTGTTCCCAATAGCATATATTTCGTTATTTGGAAACAGCAGAATCGCACCTGGAATTTACCCACTCTCTATCAATAATATTGGTTAGCAAGTGCCAACCACGTCGAATATCATTGATATCGAATCATGTTGTGAGTTGAATTGGGGTGATGGAAGAGGAGTTGACGTTTCTAAACTGCCAAGCCGGTTGTTGCGGCCCGACCCGGAAAGGGGGCCGATTTACTACATCCCATACATACAGATAAATCTGGATATAAGGATAACCTCCGTTATATCTTTACGAAACTTACCCCTGAAATTATCATTATATCCAGGTTTACCTATAGTACAGTAGCCCCATCGTTTTTTAGGTACAACATCATCTCTTTGCATTATTTTCCGTGTTATGAATTGTCACTACCAAACCTCACTTCATTGCGGACAATCAAGCACGGTTCTCACAGATGCATATCACATTTCAATTTCATGATTACAAATTGGGTTATCAAAAGTACGTTTCTATATATCAAAATTCTATCTATTGTTGAAGCTTCAATTTACATTTTGGTCTATATGCAAATTGAGCGCATTTCTATGCAAATAGCTGACTAGGTAGAGAGCCAGCTCTAGATGTCAAAAAGATTGGCAGGCAAGCAATCAAACCCATATATAGTTATTTAGAGAGCACGTTACCTCAGTAAGGGGCATTTCTACCGGTATTACGAGGTGGTGATCTAGTGGGACCGACAGTGCTTGTTGACGGAAGATTGCGTGGAGTCGCTGCTACCACACTCCATGGGGAAGGGCGGGATGGCAATGGTGCTGGTGCTGACCCTGAAGTTGCAGTCTGCTCTACTTTTGGTTCTGCCCCCGCGGTCGGTTGGCTCTTTATCATCTGCAAAATCTGTAGGATCGCTGAAAGCACCAAGATAGAGTTTTCGAAGGCTAATAAATGATCCTTCTGTTACTTCCCCCAATATTTGACTTGGATTCGTGAACATATGTCGTAGCGGACAAGTAAAATGAACAACTGCGTTATTGCTCATTCTACCCCAAGCGCGGCCACAATTTAACCATTCGAGGGTCGCCTCGCTCCATACGATGAGGTGGTCACTTTCCGCCGGCAGAGCATTTTCTCCACCATCCACCTCTCGGATGGAGACGTAAGTTAGTCGTTCTTCTCTGCTTGTCGGGTTTCTAAACCCTGACCTACGAATGTGTAGATCGGCAATACAACGACATGTGTGGTAAATACTCTGAGGACTACGAACTTGCGCTCTTTCTCGTAGACAATAGTTCCCTGGCGTGTCACTGATTGAGCGGCGACAGTCAGTCCTTTTCTCTGGTCACGGTCTCTGTCAACTTGAACAGCCCCAATAATCATACATGCCCGATACTCGGACATTGCGAGCTCTCTTCTCTCTGACGGTTTGGGGCCCCTGTTTTCTCCTATGAAGCTCCCACCATGGGAACCTCTTGAGTTGGTTGGAAATCTGGCACCTTCTGCCAAAAGGGAGCCCCCACCCATATGGGATCCCCCAAAAGCATTTCTTCTATCTTTGTTTGTGTTTTGTGGCATGCCACGTCCTGAAGGGTTCAAAATAGAACCAGAACGACCGGCACGAGAAAACGAGGACTCTCCTCTCCTGGGCGAACTTGCTCCCAGCCATCTCCCGCTTCTTCATGTCCCACCGCCGTTATGGAACCTTCTTTTACTAAATTTTGGGTATTTGCTAAAGTGTGGTGTTCGTTGCGAATGCGTCCTTAAACGCGTTGAATTAGCCTTTGCGCATTTTGGCTATTGATTCTTCGGTTATGTATTTGACTAAATATGATTTCTTGTGAGAACTTGAGGTGTATGGTTTGGTTTTGGGTAACTTGAAGCAGAAAGATCTGGGCGAACGTTTACTGTATATATTATTAAAATTCAATTGTACACGAAATTGTTGTTGTGCTTTCTTTGCTCTATTACTGAATTTCATCTGGCATTTATCAAAGAGAAAAGAACAGTGTATTTCTTTGTGGGCTACCGCAAGATCTTTATAATATTGCTGATGCCAAAATAGATTTCTAATTTTATCCTTATGTTCTTTCTGTTTGACACAAACCATTGTGCAGGAAAGATATAATGGTGCTTGTTGTCTTCGATCACTTATGGTAAAAATAAATCATCTGCTGATTCTACTTGAACCTCAACAAAGGTACATATGAGAAGCGTCTTTGTCCAAGTCGTGTGTGGATATATCTTCTTTGTTCCTTTCACTAGCCCTTGGACCTTGAACAGCAGGTCAGAGGTTTTATTTAATCTCACAGGTTTACTTCCAGATCTCCTCCTTCTCTTAATTAGTTGCAAATCAGAAAAACGAGACGCACAAACATCACATCAAAAATATACCAACAAGCCCCTTGAAAATCTACGACTACAGATATAATGGACGCGATCAGAAGATTTGTCTGTGGAGATACAATTAGGGGATATTTCGACGAGCCCCACAGTAATGGGAGTTCAGAAAGCGGCCATTCTGCACCCAGCCATCCAGCGAGTTCAGGCATGTCACTTCATACCATGACATATAACAATAACCCAAATCCTGACCTCGCAGTAGCCCAAGTAAACCCGCCTGTCCCAAGAGAACCTAGTATCTTGGATTCAAAAACCAGGGAAGAAAATGACAATGAGGCATGAGCAAACAGAGGAGCTTAGCACGGAAGCGGCACATCACCCGCGTAAGCCTCTGTCGGCAAGTTCCATACAAGATCTCGAAATAATATGTTGCGAAAAAGATGGGAGACGCGCTACGGCCATGCTACTTACAGATGAGTTTGTATCCGCGGTAAACACCATTTTGCGAAACGAAAACAAGATTACCAGGTATATGGAGGAGATCGAAACCGCTGAAAGCCAAATTGAGGAGATGGGAGGAATGATCGCGAAGCTTCGCCAGCAAATACATGAGCTATCTGGGGAGGATCCAGATGCGCCATCCAAGAAGGAACGTCTACTTGAAACCGGTACCAGTTATTTGGAGCAATTGAATGAGCAAAGGGATACTTTGGTACACAAGCTAGACAAAGTCGGCAAGGAGTCGGAGAGCTCTCACAAAGGATTATATGGTGACTTGAGAAGGGTCTTTGAGACTTACGATCTCCTTGAGGATATATCGGGAACCAGCGATTCGGGTCACGACGATATTCCTGACGAAGATGATCAAGCAGAGACTTCAATTACCACAGGTCCGACTTACAATGCTGTTCAGCAAACGACTGACTCTCCAATTGCACATGTTACCACCGCCTCAACTCCTAACAAGGTAGAACAGGCGACAAACGATCCCCTTCCAAAAGCAACTCCTGAAAAGACTCCAAGCGGGATGCAGCGAGTTGCCGAAAGGAAAGCTCAGTATGCCTTGTATGACCAAAAAGAGAGATTGGATGGCAAAATAGAGTATCTCGGTCAAAGAGTCGACGAATGGTATTTGGAATACGATGATGCTCTCAGGCGCTATAAGGATAGCTATGCACGGGGAGAGACCGACGATACCAGAACAATGTTCGATAATGACATGTTTATTGCACAACAAGGCGTTGTTCAAGACCTCATCACGGCGGAGCGAGAGCTCCAGCAAACTATGGAAGAGGGAAGAGGAGGGAAGAGCTCTTGGTGTCATCTGGGATGAGTACGACCAGTAATCAAACTTCACGGATTATGCCGATGATGGATATCGAATCTCACACGAACAAGAGTGGATTGATGATGTCGATCATCACAAAATCGAGAAGTGGATGAACGGTCTGCCTGACGACGAACCTCCTAGTCCTCTTGAGGGCCCAGAGGGAGAAGCTGATGACTGGAACGTTCGGGAGATTGAGTTTGGCGAGAGCATCAGTGTCATTGCCGAAGGGGAGCCTAGAGCTAGGATTGATCGCTGGCGATCTGCCCAGAAGCAAGACCACATGACCCGATTTGTCGAAGATGTTGATACGGAACTTGAGTACCAACATGGCCAACAGAAGCGTCGTTGCAAGCGAAGTCATTCGGTATAAGATGTTGAAGGGATAGGAAGTGGGGGACCAACTGGATTGGGAAGCATTTTACGACGGAGTTTGTGAAGGGTTATCTTGATAACCACGTCATTCTTTGAAGCGCATTAGCCTAATACCCTGTAGATAGTTTGAAGCATTTAATCATAGGCATATAATCTTTAGAACAAAAACGAAATCAAAGTGAAATGATTGTGACAAAGGGTGAATATGAGGTAAGGCAGAGTTGAAGTGATTAGTGGTAAAGATACGAGATAAGTGGAGGACTCATCGTAAGGTGGTTAACAGAAGTAGAGCATATAGAAATCAATAAGGTAAAGAACAGGGTATACAGAAACTACGGTCCTATTCTGTATTTCGTAGTATATAACTGGAGGTTAACCCCATACATCAAATTCTTTTTATCTGAAGTGGGTGTACCGACTTATTCGCTCGGCTTAATTTCTTGAAAGATTTTATTTGATGGCCTGAAATACTTCGGATAATGATTTAAGGCAAGAAAGTACATTTATGGAGACTTCTTAAGAAGTGGTCGTGAGTCTACAAAAATATGCATGTATACATTGTGGTGGGAATTGTGACACCCGAGTATAGTTCGGAATAACATCTTGGCTATTTCCATATAGCGTGTTGATCCCAGCGTAAGAAATGAGTAGAGTAGAGTAGAGTAGTAGCACCTACTCTACTCTACTACTCTACTCTACTCTACTCGTCAAGTATTCAAGTACTACTTGAGTACTACTCGAGTAGTACGGAGTAATTCGGGCCGAGCCTCGGCAAGCCAGTCCGACAACTCGGACTTCGCGGGCCCCCTATATAAGGGATAAGCGATAGTATAGTAGAGCATTTTAGAGCCGAACATCCTGTCTCTTTTAATAGTCATTGTTTATTAAGGAAAATAAGGAATAGGAGATAAGAGAGCTACTATTTAAGGACAACTACTTTGTGCTTTAGTCACGTTTTAGTTACGTTACTACTACTTAAGTACTACTTGAGTACTACTCGAGTAGTTAAACTCAGTACTCATCACTACTTAATTAGTGAAATCCGCTACTCTACTCTACTCTACTTGAGTAGTACTCGAGTGCTACTCTACTCTACTCTACTTGAGTAGTACTCGAGTACTAACGTCCGTCACTGCGTAGCGGAAAACACTGCGTGCCGGGACGGGCCTATGGCTTGAAGGTTTTAACTCCCCACCACATACTGGTTAAGAGTTAAATTTATTTTCTAATTACTCTTTTACTATTAATCTAGCGGCCTTTGCTTTGTAGTAAGAAAATATTGAAGTTCTGATTTCTAATCCGTTGTTCTATTAGTAGCGGTGAAAGCTAATTGAACGCTTCCCCCTTGTTCAAATATAGCTATCGGCTGTTCCCCAAAATTGGGGGCTAGATTATAGAGCTCCTATTAAGCTCAGACACAGTTTCCAAGTTTCAAGATATAAAGCACAAGAAAACACGCCTGCCGGATTTATCCGGACCAAGGTGGGGGGGAGTATAAAATGCCAAGCACCCTAATAAGCGAGAAAAATATATGGTCCTTTGTATTATTAGCCACGCCAGCATTATCTAGAGATTTATATCACGTGAAATTGTGGCGCTCTTCTAGAAGGTTCCATACACAGCCAGCCACTTTGTCTAATTCTGGACGGAGTTGCCACCTGGTCTGATGCAGTCTGGTGCAGTATCTCCATCCCATCTCTATGCAAGGTACGAAAGGTAATGCCTTATGAGCGACCGCGCCAGTAAAGCCCTTGTAGAGGCGTCTCTGCCAGGAGAGCCTCGAACATATGATTCCATATCAAAGCGTAGTGGAGTGCCATCCAGTACTCTATACTATCGCGATCATGGCCGTCGCTCGAGAGAAGAGAAGGCCCAAGGCCAACAATACCTCATTCCAGCGGAGGAGAAAGCCCTTGTAATACATATAAAACAGATGGTTGACCTGGGGAATCCTGTACGAATCAAGTACATACCGTCCCTCGCCTTTAGTATCGCCCGCCGGCGCTCCACCACAAGCAGACCGACGAAGCCACCGCATAGGAACTGGGCTCAAGCCTTCCAGAAGCGTCATCCAGAACTAAAATCACGACGGATGAAAGCAATGGACTGGAAACGCCATAAGATAAATATATATGATAAGATATTACACTGGTTTGAAGTAATTGGGACGGTCTTGAAGGACCCGGCTATTTTGCTAGAAAATGTCTATAATATAGATGAGACAGGAGTTATGCTGTGCATGCTCAATTCTGTCAAGGTCCTTGTAAGTAAAGACGATCGGCGAGATTATAGGCGTCAAGCGAACGACGGTGACTGCCATAGAGTGTATTAGTGCAAACGGTAGGTCTTTGTTACTAATGATTATTTGGCCGGCCACCACCCATCGAAGTAACTGGACTACCTTCCCCACGCCTGGATAGCATTATGCGTGCTCGGAATCTGGATACACCGACTCCAAGATTAGCTTTGAGTGGCTCAAGCGTGTCTTCGATCCCCAGACCAGAGGACAAGCTAACAACAAACCACGAGTGTTGATTTCGGACGGCTTTGGAGCGCACGAAACCCTGGAAGTGTTGGGGTTCTGCTTTGAAATAACATTCTTCTTTGTCATCTCCCCCCCCATACTACCCACAAACTTCAGCCTTGTGATGTCGGAGTCTTTGCACCACTTAAGGAAGCCTATCGAGATGAGGTTGATCGGCTATTTCGAGGAGGTATAACCACAATTGGCAAGGAGCATTTTACCTCTGTGTATAGCCCTGCAAGAGACAGGGCGTTCACAAAGAGAAATATCACGTCCGCATGGGCGGCTGGTGGTTTGTTTCCTTTGAACCCAGACAGAGTAATGAGGAAAACACCGAAGCCCCCCCCTCTTTTGACTGTCCCAACGGCCGGTGATATGGAGGTGGGTATGTTCTAACAAGATGAAGTGCCACAAACGCCTGCAACACCAGTAACAGCAGAAGCTATTATGTCGCTACATAACCTAATCAAGCAGGATACCTATACCTAGACGAGACAAGCATGCCGCAGCTACAGAGGCATATACAGAAACTTGCTAAAGCCGGCCAAACATCCATTGCCTAACGTGCCTGTAACGAATACTCAAACTGGCTAACTAAACTTGGCTGGGTGTTCGCTGGTTGGTATGCTATGATAAGAAGAAGACTATCGGGTTGTTCACTTGGAAGTGAACTCGTTACTTGTATCAAAGATGTCAAACTAATATGATAAGATTGATAACTAAGTTGAGCACGAAGCTCCTATCTAATGGCAGACGTGCCAGTCTTATATAGAACCTTCATGTTCCTGTGCTAGCTTGCTAGCCCAGTCGCCCTGTCTAGCACAACTAGTCACGTGATACGAATGGAATGAAATCCATGGATCGCTTAGCTAGTCTAAGCATCCCTATTTGCTATAAGAGATATGATAGTGCTCGACCTGTCAGGACACCGCCTGGTCTTCACTCATCACATGCTTACACGTGATTCGTGACAGTGCCCTCCTCGAAGAACAAGATTTACTCCTGACGAGTATAAACGACGAGGCCAAAACCCGTCGTTCAACCAAGTCCGTAGTGCTAGGGAAGGGACAGGGGAAGGTAATGAGTTTTGAGGACATTGAGGAGGCACGAAAAAAACGTGCTAAGATAGATGCTACGAAGGGTAAAGGGAAGCGTGGTCGGAAGCGCAAAAGTACTGTGGTCGAGGCGGATGAGCCAGATACAGAGGCGGAGGCAGAGCCAGAAGTAGCACATCCTGCGAAAAAGATGATAACAGGCAAGAGGAAACGCGGCCGGAAGCATCAAAGTGCTATACAAGATACAGATGAGCTAGGGCTAGCGCCTGAGCTAGACCTAGACCCAGACCCAGAAGTGGCACAGACGCTCGAAGCGTTAGTACCACGGAGAGCACCAGTGGCACGTATGTATTAAGGCGTAGATTGTGGAGAATTGGATCGCTAGAAAAACTCAATCCAAGGTGGGTTTCATAAGGCTTGATACGCCTCGTAACTAATTATAGAATCAGGATCGGTCATTGCATTATCGGCGCAAACAGAAGGAATAAAGTACCGCTTTTTGGGGTTTCCAATATCATAATCGTGATTGCTTTCGATGCCACCAGTTATGTTGATTCTCTATCTGTGACTCTAATTCCCTCCTGATATGGCTTATCAGGCTGTCCTTTGTACTTAATACGCAAGAAGCAGGCGCGGTGATAATACTTTCCTCTATAATCTCGCAGAGCCTTTGCATCTTGTAACAAGATCCCTCAACCTACAGCACCACTATTAAACATTTTTCGTCTCTCCAATTCATATGAGCCTCCGAACCAGTATACTCTGTCCCCGTATGAGCCCTATTCTCCCTTAATAGTATCGATCCCGCAAAAGCGTCCAGCTCTCAATCTTATGAGAGAAGCTGGCCATAACAAGCGTCAACGAAGGTCGTTCCATTGGTTACGGTGTGTGGCTACAAGCTTCGCTATTTTCTCTTTGTTGCACCGACCGTATGTGAAAATGGTGGAGGAAGAAAGTCGATGCAATGCCAGGATCGAAAACTTTGACCACTGCGAATTTGGACAGTGGTGCTTGTATCTGAATGCTGTCCTTTTGAGGAACAGCAGAGTCTTCGTGGCTTTTGCGGGATTCGGAAGTCATGGTTTACTATCGTTTGAATAGTATTTAGTGATTGTCTAGCGATGGGTGATGACTGAAAATAATCGTTAAGAGCAGAGCGCAGCGCAGCTGGCTTGGCTGACATGTCTTCGGAAGTGAGGCTGCTATTGCTTTAATGATTTGATTTATTCATACTCGGTTCCAGCCGCCCGCCGTAGGGCGGCTATGCCGGAGTGGTCCAGCTTCGGCGCAGCTGCCGAAGTAAGCTTACAGCATTTGGTAAGCGCACTTCACTTCATCACTATACAGTGACCAGCAGCCTCCTCCCCTGGGCGGTCTGGCTTCTATCTACAACTATATACATAGCGTAAAAGAAGTGCTTTACTTGATCTTTTGACATATATCAGGTTCCTTGGCTGCCGCTTCTGCTAGCCATCTCATGTCCTAATACCTTCAGTCTCCCCCCAGCGTTCCACTTCGTCTCTTTGTACTGTACTACAACTCCTAAATTGCCCAAGGAGTTGCGTCTGTTCCATAAATCTTATTACCTTTGTGGCTGTTTTTGACTCTTTCAAGATTGCCTTCAGGTCCAACCACCTCCTCCCTCCAACTTCCCTCTGTCGTAGGTCTTTGAATTTTCGACATCGTAATACAATATGTCCTACAGTTTGTCGTCCTTCTCCACATTCACATCCTGGATCATCATATCCGGGTACGTTCCTCTTCCAGAGGAAGTCTCTTAGTCCTATCTTTTCTGTGCGCATCTGGATCAATAGAGAGCTTTGCCATTTCTTTAGCCTCCGATGGAGATGCAGGATCTTGTGCTTGACCTGTCAGGGCGCCGCCTGGTCTTCACTCTTCACGTGTTAACACGTGATTCGTGACACCTGATTCCACCATCCGATACAAGTAGGTAGTTTTCAGCCAGGTCAATTAAACTCTTCCGCTTCTGCGAATACGAGACTTCAATTACGACGCCAGGCCATGCGGCATCCTTATGATGGAACCTTATATTAGGCACATGTTTGAATTTCTTACCGTCGTCTTTGAAGTGTATTGCGCCGCTTACTGAACTGATTTTGTCGATGAATCGCCGCGTCTCAACTTAATCCTTTTTCAGATTCTCAAATTCCTCCTTGATCTTCGTTACTAGTTCAGCCGCAAAGGTGTCGTGCAACGTCGTTGTCATTCGAATAATGAGTGTGCTACTAATAGGATCGTAATCATATCTACGAACTACTATTAGAATCTTACAAAGATCTACCGATTGTGTCTATCACTTACCTGACCCTATTATCAACGTATCCCCAAAGTTCTACGTCGTCTTTCAGTCGACGTTGCAGGTCCTCGTACTCCCCACTATTGAGCTTGTACACCGTCCAGGGTACTGATGGTGGATAGCCGTTTTGGCAGCTCTTGAAGGCGCGAAGGATCGCTGCGACACGCGCTAAGAATTTGGCGTCAGCAGTAGAGGGTGGTGTCAGAGGGCTGATGCTTGCTGGAGGTGTAGTTTGCTTGAATGAATCTAGAAGCGCCATGGGCGTTGCGTTGAGGAAATCTGGGGTTGAGAGGCGTGTTTGGATGATGGAGGGGAGTAGTAGAACCTGCACAACCAGTGTTGCTGTGCTGGGGAATGGAGTTCCAGCCCGGACTGAGAGCGCAATTCTACGTGCACCATATCACACGTGAGACACCCTAAGAGATTACTAAGCTGGAAGTAGGAGCACGAGCCATCACAGCCACAATTGGCCTTTATGCCTAAGGCTTAACAATTTTATCTCAAATTACGGCGTAAATATTGAGGGGTCGGCTGGCGCTAACCAAAATTGACATTGGCTTCATTCCGAAGTACAGATCTGTGTGGCGATCATGCAGGAATTGCGCGCCACATCAGCCACAAGGCGAATCACGATTTACCGCATGGCATGTGGCCTTAGAGCTCGGACGAGACCCCTCTATTAAGCATTGGGAGTATTATGAGCTCAGTGTCAGAGCTGTAGTAGAGGAGCTCTATTACGCTATAAAAAAGTATCTTTGCAAATCAGCCAGGAGGGCGACAATAGCAACGTGATTTTCTAGTGGGAGGAGCATTGGGTGTCCGGGAGTGGTCACAGAATATAACTTGTGAACTATTATAGGGGATATCAAGGTGTGCATAGATTTTGAGATAATTAAAGCCAAGGTACCTTTTATTTTTTCCGGCACGCAGTGTTTTCCGGCACGCAGTGTTTTCCGGCACGCAGGGATGGACGTTACTCTAGTAGTTGAGTAGTTCTTTCGTACGCTGGTTGATCCTTATGTGCTTGAAAGTTGAAAGAATTGAGTAAATTTATACACATGTGTAAAGCAGCTAAAATAGAATTGACAGAGTTAGCTGAAGGGCAGTTGCTGACACGCACCTCATTCATTTCTTGTGGTCACTCTTCCGATCCGTCATGGATGATGACTTTATGGGCGGTATCACTTTCACTGCCTCAATATAATACTTCGCGTAAGTTAGATCACGTGAAAATATTTCATCCATTCTTATTCTGATACCTGGGTTGGACGTACTAGGTATCCTCAACAGTGAATTCTAGTTGATATAACTATTGATAATTACAATATTCCAAAAGCTCCAAATTTTTCACATGATTCTGTTGATGCCCACATGGAAGTAAGAACCATGGGGCGGAACGAGGGCGGAAAATTTCCGCAACACATTTTAGACGATGACGATTTCAAGATCACAGGCTAGGCAAGTTGAGTTCTCATATGTATGTGTCTCTCAACCCCCCTCCACCCCCTAAATAATTATTGCGACTAGGGAAATTTCAGTAAGTAATAGTGAGTTTGAGATTGAGCAGCTCGCTTCCTCGGTTAATCGCGGCCCCGCTTCAAATGACAAACCTTGTGTTCCTCCACCCCGTCATCCCTTCCATCCTTGAACAAACGACACAACCACCTTATGAATAGCTTCCAATCTTCATATTGTCGAGGCTCAAAGATCAATAAACTAGTCTTATGCTAAAGCCTCACATTAATCCTTTGTCGTGCCTCCATAAAAAGCGACCCCGCTTCTCATTTGCGCTACACTTCCATATCAAAACCCGAGCTCTCTCAACCAAAATGGCACCTCCAAAGTCCTGGCTACCCATTCCTGAGGACAGTGACTTTTCACTGGCCAACATTCCGTTTGGCGTGATAATCAGCAAAAATTCACAAAACTTCAAAAGACCGGCGATTCCTATTGGAGATCATGTTCTTGATCTCAAAGCATTCACCGAAGGAAATGGATTCTCGGCATTAGCTTCTTTTCCTTCAGGCCAATTTTCAGTATTCTCACAGCCAACGCTCAGTGCATTCGCGGCTTTGGGCCAAGAGACTCACAATTTAGTACGAGAGTATATTCAAGATGTGTTCTCCGAGACGACTTCTCATCCCGAGGTTTTGAAAGACAATCCTGCATTACAGAAAGAAGCCTTATTACCAAAACACGAGACAAAGCCTCAGATACCGATGCAGATTGGAGATTACACTGATTTCTATGCTGGGTATAATCATGCTTTCAATGCTGGGTATGTCAGCTTTTTTTCGCACCCTAATGTTCTTTCGAGTGTAATGAGGCCATCCAACTAACGGACAAACAGTGCACTTTTCCGTGGACCTGAAAATGCTCTTCAACCAAACTATCTCCATATTCCAGTAGGCTACCATGGTCGTGCATCATCAATTGTCGTATCAGGGACACCCATAATTCGACCCAGTGGACAAATTCTCCACGACCCAGCGGCAACTCCAAAAGCCCCAATCTTCTCTCCCTGTAGAAGACTTGACTTTGAAGTCGAACTAGGCTGTTTCCTCTGTGAATCTAATTCTATGGGTACATCACTCCCAATCAACTCCTCTGCGGAGAAAGCAATTTTTGGCTACGTTCTATTGAACGATTGGTCCGCGAGAGATATTCAAGCCTGGGAATATGTACCACTTGGTCCATTCAACGGAAAGAACTTTGGCTCTACTATTAGTCCTTGGATTGTCCTTCCGTCTGCTTTGGAACCATTTCGGGCTTCCAAATTGGAGAATACGACGGAACTCCTTCCGTACCTTCAGGAATCGAGGGAGGATACCGTTTATGACATTTCACTCTCTGTTGATTTGACAACTCCCGAGCAAGACACGACGACTATCTCAACTGTATCATCATCAAATCTCATATGGTCATTCCCCCAAATGATAGCTCACCATTCAGCCGGTGGCTGCCCCATGAATGTTGGGGATTTCTTAGGAAGTGGCACCATCAGTGGGAAGAGCGACAAGGAACTCGGCAGTCTTTTGGAGATGACTGAAGGTGGGAAGAGAGAGATCATGTTAGCAGGAATGGATGTGAGGAAGTTTTTGAAGGATGGTGATACTATTACTCTTCGAGGGAAATGTGGAGAAGGTGTGGGCTTTGGGGAATGTACAGGGAAGATCTTTGGTGCTGTTCAATCTTGAACATATTGATCACGGAATTAATGGTATTTCAAAGCTTGTGATCTGAACTTAGCAATATGGAAATTGAACCTTAAATAAAGTTCATATACATCTCAAGGGGGTGGAGTTGCGATGCACCTCGCAAAAGAGATAGTACTAGTAAGTGCGTGCGTATTTTACAGCAAGCGCGTTTCACTGCTATCATCGCTCAAGATTTCACTTCTACTTGACCCAAGATCTTCTTTCGGTACTAAACATGTTAGAAAGGAAGCCATCCACCTCTTTCTCACCAAATGACCACATAGTAGCACGACCAAGAGAGGAGCCAGTAGTAGCTTCTTTTGCAACACATGAAGACACTGGATTGAGAAATTTCCTGCCAACTCAACTGTATACCTCATTGGGTATAGATTTGGAATCCAGGTAAAAAGATTGCCAAAATACATCTCAAAGAAGCTATTTGGTTGGAAATATTACAAAAGGGAAGAAAAATCAATAACAATTTTTTTAATTACAGTCTTCAATATTAAAATGAATAACTAGTAGGTTGTGTAACTGTGCAACAAAATATATCGGACTTGGTACGATACGGACGAGAGTGGGAATTCTATATTAAGCCCTAAAGCATCTGGCGAGGCAAATTTCAGCTGTTCAGTATCTTGCTGGTCTGCAAGTATTTTACTGCAGTGCTATAGGCGGAATACGGGGTTCTTAAGGTGGCGGTATTCTTTCTTTCTCCCTCCCCCTCCCCTCTGGCGAAGAATTCAACAGGAAAGAACTTTGCAGATCTGTCCTGGCGGAAAACAAAGATTTCGAGAACAGCGTCATATTCATTCAGAACATCTCCAAATGGCAAATCCCCTTACTGTATGTCCGACGGAATGCCTCGTATGCAGGTCAGCTTACAGCGGCAGTACAGTAACCCTGCGCCCGAAACTCCTTGAAATCTGTGCCGCATGCACTCTTACAGTATGTTTTGCAGGACGTGGAAGATTTGAGAGCACTCCCAAAGCCATGAAATATGTAAGAAAGCACCCGTAGTCGAATACAAATGGACAGGAAAGATCGCTTATAAATGTTCAAAGGGTTCGCCACGATAGGTGATAATGAGCGGAAAGACGCAGGAACCCGACGTGACTGGGGCTGGTGACTAACAGAATATGCATGGTGCTTATAATCAAGTTGACTTGAACCCTAACATCTCTCATCTCTACTGAAGTTGGCCTTGAGTGAATAAGCTTACTTAACGCCGACACGCATTTCATTTACGCAGAATTTAACTATGCGTGATTTGATCTGAGTAACCTCATTCTGATTACTATCTATTGTAGAGTCCGTAATCCACGCCTATTTCTCCACCCTAGCTCGCCTCGTTTAGTTCTCTTTCCTAGAATGTCTTTCTACGTTACTCCCATTAATCGAATTCAATCTACTTTTTGATCGCTGTTTTAGGTACATTTGTATAGGCCTGAAGTGCCAGGAATATTTTTGAACCAGAAAGGATAAGGTAAAATCTCGCTTAGCTATGCTCTATGAAAAGCAAATATCAGAGCTCGCAATCGAAAATCGAATAATAATCGATAGAGCATGCCCTTAGTTCTTATTAACTTGCACTTAAACCAAATTTCCCACATCTAAACCGCAATTTGGATACCACTTCTGTGATGATGAGTTGGCCCAATGTGATTCTAGAGGAAGGATGGTTATCTGGACCCTCATAATAGATATCACAACTTTATGAAGAGCGAAATATTCATGGGGCCCCACGGGTATCGGCTGGCATGAAAATATACCGCTTAACAAGGCGGCTGTACTTGCAACCGTAAATAAATGTCCACAAACTAATCGATCCATCGTCTTTCTTTCCTGGCTCATATTTAGTTAGTTAGGAATATTTAATCTGATAAAGTGGCCTGAAACTTGAGTGTAGGGATTTTGAAGTGATATTTAGCGATAGGATCGTGGCTTCGGCTCACGGGTCGTCTATGCCCTAGATTTCTTTCGGACCCCTTTAAATGGTTATTCATTCTTTCTACGGCCAACCTCTTGTATCAGACCCGCAGGCTCGATTCCAATAATGTAACTCTCCATTCTCTATATGACTACCTCTTCTTGTGCTACCGTTAGACTAGAAATACATTAGGGTAATTCATGTTATCAGAGCAATATATGGGACTTATGAAGGTAGCTTGAGCGCCTAACATAATACTGAAATAAAGGCATCTCTTTCAATGCATGAATGATCCTAGCTTCGAAGGAGGTTTTGGATCCTGGGTTTTATCTAAAATTTACTTTTCCACAATTATCACACTGATGCACCCTCCATGTATCCGTATCCTACGCAAATTATACAGTGATAATCCCGACCCCTCGAAGGAATCGGCCATCATCTCTCAGTCTATGAATAAGCATCGGAGGGGACAGTTCAAAGATTTTGAGCTTGTCGTTCTCATTTCTTTTTGAATCACTTGCCACCCCGAACTCCTAGCTTATTCGCAGATCCTCATAAGTATGTCAGCGTCGGGCTTTAAAGTGCACAACACTTGGTGATCACGGCTCAGTCACTGGCGTCGGAGTCTGTGTAAGGTTACTACATTCGCGATATGGATTAGTTGAGATGTTGAAGGATCGTCTACGTTCATGACTGAAAATCTCACGGCTTTCGTGATCGAAGGTTGCGAAATATTGGTATATAAGTCTTTCAAAGTCCCCGAAGACTACATCCCATCAACACTCGATTCCATTCATCCATTCATCCATTACGACAAAGACTTTCATCAACCTGCCCTTTACTCTCTCTTAGTTTTGGCATCAAACCACCTCAATCCCCACAAACTCTCACTCACCTTCCAAAAATGCAATTCCTCACAACAATCACCCTTGCCATCATGGCCACCGCCGCCTCCGCCACCATCGACTACGGCATTCAAGGAGGTAGCCACGTAGCATGGCTCTCAGGCGACAACCCTTGTGGAGACTCCAAGTCCATCACTTCATCGAGCAGCAACCCTTGCGGGATCAATTTCACCTTGAGAAATGGTGGTACTTATCAGGTTAGTTCTTCACTTCTAAACTCCAGCAACCTTTATGCATCTTCTGTCTGCCATAGCAGAGCAGGTGAGCTAATAGACATAATGATTCAGCTCCGCGACTGCGGAACTCCCTCTTTCGCGCTGTGGAATAGCGATGGCTCTTACAACCACATCGGGGTCTCTCACAGCGGCAGTTTTGGGTGTAATAGCCAGCCTGATGTTCACCGTGAGTGGACATTTTAGGCGGTTTGCAAACTTCGTGATATTACTGAGTTGACGGGGTTGAGGAGCTTTCGAGAAGGAAATTGTGAAGGCAGTTATTTTGAGGGGAAAATGGTTATTGCGGCGGAGTCGGATCCTGGGTTTCATTTCACTCGTTTTGAAAATCTTGTTGGTCCCTATAGATTTGTTGGCTCATAGAATTAGTACAATTCATTCAACATGGATTAGCTAGAGAAATAAAAGTTGCCGTTGCAAACCAGGATTCGAATTCTAGTATACAACAATATAAATATCTTTACTCTTACTTCTACTACTTACTTAGCTTGAAATGTCTTAGTCTACTCGGCACTCTAATTACTGTCACTGTGTCACTGTTGGGACGAATACGACCCCTTTCTTTATATCAAAAAATTAGACCCACTTGTTCGAGGACCTTAAGTACTCGAACGATTCCACTCCTTAGCACTTAGACAAGAATTGACTAATTATCCTGTATACATTTTTTCTTTGCTTTGATATCCTTGATATCTCTATACCAATAGTCACCCCCCACCACAAAAACTCAAATCCATCGACCCGAAAAACCTCATCAGTTCTTACATATATCAACACAAAAGCAATCAATACATCAAAAAACAAACCCCCTCTCATCAACAGCGCTGTGTCTCCTCCACTAAAAATCAATCTAGTAGCCTCTCATACCTATCATTTCATTACTTCAAAGCATTCATACTCATAACAGAATAAATACCATCCGCATATCCCACCCACCTCCGCAATCCCCATACATTTCACAAATTACAAGTACATATCCCCATCCACTACCCACACATACCCTCCCGCCAACCCATCAGCCACCCCCTAAACAACTGTAGGTCCATAGCCATTCTTTATAGCTTCCTAAGACGACAATCTGTACGTAGTTGAGCGAACTGTATTCCATAATCGGAATCGAATCGCTTATTGCCAGTGCCAGGCCAGGGTAGGTGGATAAACAACATGAAGGTTGGGTACAGTAGGTACAGTAAGTAGAGGTAGATGGTACAAGGACATGGTATATTAATAATAAAGTCTGTACATTATTTCATTTTTTTCAATTACTGTAGCTATGTAGGTATACTCCCTGGTGCTCCTGTGTGAAAACGGAGTTTCAGAGCTGGTACTCGTACAGTACACAATCATCCTCGGCAGTCATAGGGTACAGTAGGAGACTAACAGACGAACTTCCTCATTCATACCAAAGAGCCAGAACCAAACCCACGGGAGAAAGACGACCTGTCGTACAAACACAAAGACTGTAAATATACAAATACATTTCTTCCTTCCCCTTCTACTCACCTACTATCTACACCTACACCCACATCATACCAGCGAAGCCTAGTTACCGCCCGCTCAAATCAAAAGTATACATATCCCATCCATGCCATCATATTCACATCCTCATCCCCCTTTTGCATCCATCCCTTATGCCTTTCCGTCCCCGGAATATACGCCAAAACAGAGCAATTACGGCGTCAACGCACAGCAAAAGCAACAATCATTACAACAAAACCCAAAGAAACAACCACCAGCATCTAAAACAAATCCCTCAACTGGCGATAAAGTTCCTCATCCCCTCCAAAAACACTACTCCCAATCCCATTAAGATTCACCTGATGCTGGGAACCCCCACCGCCACCATGTTGTTGTTGTACCTGCATCCCCTGATCCCCAGGTGCCTCATTCAAGACATATCCCACACCACCAACACCACCCCCAGGAGCACTGACCCCGTTCCCGGGCACATTTCCAGTATTTCCATTCACACTCCCAAGCGCTGCCTCAAAAAGCGTCGTCATATCGTGACTCATCTGATATCCATCCGGACTACTCTTCGCATGCTGTCCGTTCACCCCAACCCCATTGACACCTGCTTGATACCCATTCCCGCCTAGATTTCCAATTTCGTGTCCTGCGAGACCGGCCATCGCAAGGGCAGCACTTTCATGATCTTCGTCTCTTGAATTATTATGTTGGACCTCATCAAGTCCTAGTTTGGGACCAACTTCCTTGAGGCCTTTGATGGTTTTCCACAAGCGTTTCGAGACCCAAGATTTATTGCTGAAGCCCTTGACAAGGTCGAGGGCCATGTAGAATTCCTCGCGACAGAGGGCACTGAAGTGAACCGGTGCATGGCATGATGCGAGGAAGAGCACAGCGATGGCGGAGGTGAGGAAGTAATTGAAGCATACTTGCTGGGCACGGTAGATATCCGTGGTTTGGTTGAGATGTGAGAGGGCTCGGATTGTGTCCTTAGCTAGTTCTACTACAGTGCTTGCGTGATTGAGGTTCTCTTGGATGCTGCTTGCGGAGTGTAAGACTGGCCGGTAAATAAGGATGCGCATTTGGTTGGCGCGAATGTAGAGGAGGATTTGGAGACGGTGTATGGTTCGTGAGTTGGTTTCCGGGGCGGCGGCGGTAGGGAATTGGAGAGTTTGCGGAATGTTCTTTTGCCATTGGAGGATTTGATAATCGAGGAACTCTATTTCTTCAATGTTGAGAGGAGATGACTTGAAAGAGCAAATCGACCTCCAAACCTTCGATCCGATTCTGGAGTAAGCAATCATTACATTAAGGTAGGGGATACTAAGTTCCTGTAGTCATCGTCATTAAGAAGTTCCATTGGCTGTTGGCAAGGCCACTTACTGGTTCTGGAAGGTTTGGATCAATATCTGCATCTTGGAGAGCAAATGGCAAACCAGTGCCAAAGCTCCATCTCCTATCTAAAACGTAAATAGACCAAAACATATTAATGGCCTGGGATCGTTCATGCTCATCAAGCACAGCTTTGAATAATGACTCTCTTCTGTGAAGTCCCAACTCGATACAAATACGAGCTACCTGCCCGATCATACGCCATGCTAGCGCCTCTTCGTCGGAGTGGAAATGGTACATGGTCTTTGGTGTTCATTAGCAATATGATCGCAAGAACACTGCATAAATCCCAAGTATATCTGTCTTGAACAAGTCCGAATAGACTCAGATTGAAGCTATCGCAATGCAAAAAGAATTGGGAAAAGGAAGTATAAACACAAGCATTTTGGCTTCTTAATTTGCCTAGGAATACTGGTCCGGGCCAGGTTCACGCGCATAAAATACACAAATGTGGCTAGTAACGCTGGGAGGTTGCTTTTTACTCAATCGTGATGTAGGGAGTTTGTTGAGCGTGAACCCGGTTCTTGCGAAGTTATGAAATTTGCCGTGAAGCTGCCAGTGCATTTATAACCCTTCATACTCAAGAAAGCTTCGGCAGAAACGTTACCAATACTTATTTGTAATTTGAAAAAGGCGGAATGCTCTCAAGCCATATTAGAAAAACTGGGGGTTTAGAAGGATTTTTAAGCAGGCGCAGCACCTAAGATCAACACAATTTGGAGAGAGCTACCGTGGCAAGCAGGCCCAGTAGCCACTTGCTATTGTTGGCATGCCGGGCCATGTTGACTTCGAAAATGATGTATTGAGATAAGGCTGGAGCATGACGATGTACAGAACGAGGAGATATAGCACTCACCACAAGAACCAAGAAAGGCAAATCCTTCACACCAACCTCGCCATGATAAATGGCATCCGCAGCCTCCCGAACGCTCTCATAAAGGCTATCAGCAATCTCACTTTGACCATGTCCCTCGGTCAAGAACGAACACGCAAGGACCATCTTCAAGACGAAGGTCTGTTCGTCGCGAATAGGACCTTGACCTTCGCTAGTCGTGTTTCGAAGACCATTCCTATACACGGAGTCCACAAAATCGTAGACGTTCGTGCCATGTATAATTACCCGTTCGATATCAACAATCGGGTACATGATTCCCATCTCCTCTTCATAAACCCGACAAAGACGAATCATCTCCGCCTTGGTTATTTGCCATAATGGTTCTTTGACTGCATGTGCCCCTTCCGGTCGGGGAGATGGTTGGACAGATAGACGTCTAGGAGATGCCGTGGGCGTAACATCGTGAGTAGGCGGGGCTTCGTCCACCATAAGTCCTTGATATCCCATATTCTGTAATGTGTTCTTCGCAACATTGAGGCTGAAAGCTGAGCTTGTAGGTCCTCGATAGGAGGGTTGCCTGACAATTGGACGATATCTCTGGCTCAAGGCAGGGGAGACGGGTGGTGGAGGGAGCGGCAGAGACATTGGGGTGTCCACGGGTGGAGGTAATATATAGGCATTATCACGGTTGCTCTTCAGAGCATTTAGTCCGGCGTATAGGTTGTCGACTTGTTCCTGTAAAGAAGCAATCTGGGCATTCATCTGTCGGAATTCCTCCGACTCTTTGAAGCCATTTGTGCAGCAATTGGGGGCATATTGGCATTCGAGATTCAGGTTTCCGCACCGCTGACAGGGAGTATTTCCATTACATTTTATCTTTCGGCGTTTGCATTCGTTACTATTCCATCCACAGTGTCAGTCGAGGTTTTCTGCCAAGTAGCTGGTGCATCAAGTCGGAATGCAATGCAATGGCTGAATGGGTAGACTGAGGCTTTGCGCCGGAAGACTTCGGACAGCGATAGAGCAGGGCGAAGTCATGATGGTTGGAATTTGCGGAGGAGTGATAGAAATATATCTGCCATCTCTCTGCATCTGCTTCACATGCACCATGGATACATGCAGCTCTGCGCCCTTTCTCGAGGTCTTCCGTCTTTTGTTGGGTCATGACGGGAGTATTCCGTCGTCGCCGCAACAGGGAGCGCGACCTTCAGGCCCCTCTCAGCGGCCTCGCAACCTCATCCACCAAACAACGCAACACAACCACTCACCAGGCAATACTGATATATCGATTCCTCTTCGCGCGCGTGTGCCCCGTTGGTGCATTGCCCACCTGCTGGTCGATCTTCCTCTTGATGCCGTGTCCTTCGTCACCGGGACTGCCGACGCTGGACGAGTGCTGTCGCTGCTGCGTCATGATGGAGCTGGAGCTGTAGCTGTTGGTCGGCAGCGGGGAGTTGACTCGACCCTGCGACTGCGACTGCGATGGAGATTGATCTTGATTCGCGAGAGGAGCTGGGAGAGGCGAGTTGACGAGGTAATCAAGGTCCGTGACTTGATCGGAGAGCTGGTTCATAGTCACTCTTTTGCCTTTCCACTTTCGTGCCAAAACTCAGCAGATATTTGTTGTCGGAGACGAAACTGATGTGCTCGCAATCCGTCGCAGTTTGGCTTGGAAATCTATGTTGGGATGGCCTTGGCGGCGAGGTGCGGGGACAATCAACAGGTGCAAGTCCACTGGGTCCGTCGTGGTCGTGGTCGTTCACTGCGGTACGAGTTACTTGCGGTAACTACAACTGCAGTACTACCACTACCAGCTGCTTGCAGTGAGGGCATCCTGGAGGTCAAGTGATGCAGGGAATCTCCTTATTCCCCTTTTCGACGACATCAACTTCGCCGATGCGACTACCTTTCGCTGTCTTTGGTACCGAATAAACTCTCTCTGTATTACTCTGGTCTCTCTCTTGGTCTTTGCACTATCTCCCGCTATCTCTCGCACCTCAAAGCTTTGCTCTCGTCTGATAACAGAAAACCGCCATCCCAACACAATAAAAGCAAATTGATTGCCCGCCATGGCAATTTCCGCACATCAGCTCATAGCTTGCTCTATACGCTCTTTCATCGGCCTAATTTAGATCAACCAAAGGTTATTGGGCGTCGTTTGGCTACTCAGATTTCGACATCAGATCTTACAATCCTTTGTCTCGGCTGATGTCCACCGACTGCCAAGCTGATTTGGACATCCACGTTTCTGCTTAAAACATGATACACAATCCTCTCGGTACCCCGGGCTTGAGTTGATCATGACTGGAGCGCAGCGTTAACACAAAAATACTCTACTACCCAATTCAACTCGAGTACTACTTGAGTTGAATTGAATGAGTATGATTGGGTGATTCCGTTGAGTTAAGTAGTAGATTGGATTATTCGAGTAGTACTCGAGTAGTTATATAACGTGACTATAATATAAGAAGGGCACTCAGCAAAGTACATATACACAAATCGACCGACCGGAGTCCGGCGAGCGAGCCGGTCGCGCTACGGTATATCGGGCCGACACTACTTGAGTTACTCATGAGTTAATCAAGTGTCGGCGAGTTAAGCTGATTAGTGATCTTCACTACTCTTGTTGAATTAAGTAGGTGCCACTACTCAGCTCAACTACTCAAATTTTCTACGCTACCGGTGGAGCGTGAGGGTGTGATATATACGTAAAATCCTTACTTAAGCGTTTTGTAGGTAAGTTAAAAGGGGTGGAAACCAATCCTTGAACTTAACCTCAAAATACGCCCTCATGTCCCACCCAGAAACCTCCGATGACGCAATTGTAGCATCTAGGTCCCTTCTGTGTAAGGCGATTGAGCTTGAAGACAACCAGCCCAAGAAACTCGCTCTCATGGACCTACTCAACCTCTTCCGGGATTATACCGAGGGAAAACCACTCAAAAACACAATTACCACCCTTACCAACTCAGTCAACAACCTAGAGAACATCGCAAGGCGCCTTCCTAAAAGAAGCTACGCATCGGTAACCACAAACAACAAACCTACCACAGACACAGACACAGACAACAGTACTCAAGGCCTCATAGACCGGCAACTCAACCACGCTCCTCCTCAAAAAACAAACATGGACAAGAAGAGAGACGCTTTTAAAAAAGCTGCTACTGAGAAAAAGAAAGCCATTAAAGCCCAGCGTCTCATTCTCATCGAAGACCACCTTCAACCATTTAGCGACTTACAACCAATTACCCTCAGAGACACTATTAACAAGGAATTCAAAGCTCGTTTTAATGTCAGCCCCGCAATTAGCACAGTCTCCAGATCACGAAACAACAACCTTGTCCTTACAGCAGCAGAAGAATACAATGCTAAATTCCTGCTTGACAGAATCGGAGCTGTCCAAAAGGTACTTAAATTCAAAGAGGCAAGAGTCGACGCTATCAAATACCAAGTAGTAATCCACGGCATCCCAATTAAAGAATTCAACTCTCTCGCTGGCCTAGCACAACTCAAAGATGAGATCCTCACTTTTAATAAGAGCCTCAACCTAGAAATCGACGACATCCCTCACTGGCTTACCTCAAAAGATAAACGAGATAGCGGCCTACAACACCAAGGATCAATCGTTGTAGCTTTCAAGGAAGAAAGCCAAGCAAACAGAGCACAAAGAAACAGACTTAACCTTGCAGGAATCAGCGCTAGAGTTGAGCACCTCCGGAACACGTCGAGGAAAATGCAGTGTACTAGATGCCAGGAAGACGGGCACCCTCTTAAATACTGTAAAAACCCTCCAAAGTGTAAATTCTGCTCCCAACAACACCAAAGCTCGCAACACAAATGTCGTCAGTGCGAAGCTCAAGGCGGAGCCTGCGTACACACTACCACCGATGCTATCACAGAATCCCAATGATAGAAAGCCCGATCAAAATCATCTCTTTTAATGCTAACACTACATCAGAAGCCATGGAAAACGCGCTAGAAATAGCTGTCCAAGTCAAAGCAGACATTGTACTCTTCCAAGAACCATGGTTTCACAATGCACGAAACAGACAAAATTACACAGCTGTCACCTCAACAGCACATGGCAGTTTTACGCAAATTCTCCCAAACCACTTGCCCAGCAAAAGGCCTCGAACAATTACCTATATCGCAAAAACCTTCAAACCCTCAGTCAGCCTCTCAAGAGAGTCACCCAGCGACACCGATATCCAGTTTATCGACATTACTGAAGGAGAAGAATCAATACAAGTAGTCAACATCTACAACCAGAAAGACCAGGGAGAGCACGAGAAAAGAACGTTCCAAAGACATCTACAAAACTACAATATTAGAAATAATACAATAGTCATGGGAGACTTTAACTCACACCACCCATGGTGGAACCCTGCCATTTATACCCCTAACCAAGAGGCCGAAGAGCTGGCAGAGTGGATAGAAGACAATAGCCTCAGCCTCCTTAACAAGCCAGGCGAAATAACCTTTTTCAGACAAAACTCTACCACTCCCTCTGTGCTCGACCTTGCACTAGTATCACAAGAAGTAAGTGAACATCCAAAGCTTTGGAATCAATAACGCCATCGCCTCAGAACACTGGGGCCTGCAACTTCATCTCTACGGAAAGAATAGAGACTGGGTCAACAACCCGCTACACCAGGCACAATATAACACAAAAATAGCGGACTGGAAGCTCTTC